GATTAGCAATACTAGGTAGATTTGGATCAAGTATCAGCTAATACTAAGAGCAGGTACAGTATACTCTTTCCCAACCCTGGGGGTTATGTCGCTGTAATTAGCCAAATTAAAAACTATTTTCTTTCGCTTCTTTCCTAAGTCAGGAATATTTTGTGTGTGTCTGCTGTAAGCACACCTTTATTGTGTCGTAGTGGGAATGCATTATGCACTGTCCCTATTCCTTTGACAAGCGGCAGGAGGATGTGTCGTACTCTCCATCACACAACCGCCCGAAGGCTAGTCTAAACACGTAGGGTCGTAGGCATACCTACTAAACCCCCTCCGATGCACCCTCACTTTTAGGGGAAGCGCCTGGGATTCGACAGGGACGGCTCCAAACCCAGCCACCGTTCAGGCCATAGGTCACCCTTACGGAGGATGAGGCTTGAGTGCATCAGAATCTCCTTCCAGATAGCCAAGTAATTTCTTTAGAGAAAAGAATTTAACTGCGTCGTTACCTACCATCGCCGATGAGAAAGGTCATCAAGTCTTGCAGACCGATCATCCTACGTCCCGACACTACATTTTATTTGTATGATGTCATCATTTTTATTTAATTCAAGTCTCGCGGCTCATCAAATAGTATTTAAATTACAGTTCATTACGCAATAAAAGTTATTCACTCAGGTGTCCGAATTTACTTCAAAAGCGGCATCCGTTCAACGTTGAATCCAATTAATATTATAAATGTGAAAGTTTTTTTGTTTGGATGTTTGTCCGTCAATCACGCCGAAACTATTGAACGGATTTTGATGAAATTTGGTATACAGATAGGGTATTAGCTGACTTAGATAATAGGATACTTTTTGTCCGACTAAACATTTCCCTAGTGACCACGCGGGCGAAGCCGCTGACCAAAGCTAGTTGGTTATAAGTGAAGGAAGTTTTGAAATGGCAAAGGAGTATAATATTTGAGACACGTATGAATCAATCAATCTTATTTTTATACAAAAATGGAACCAATAAGAATTTCTACGCTAAATGACGTGAATTCAGACACATGAGTGAAATTGAATTCGGGTTCGGACTTTTTACAGAATTGCTCCCCAGCTCTCATTTATTTGCCATATTGTTTATATTATTTGTTTTTTTCGATTGCGTTTAAATGATTAAGTAAAAATACTACTTTTTCGGCACAAATGTATACTATCTTATGCAAAAGCTTTTAAAGCTCTTGATGTTACTTTGAAAGACACGACTAATCGTGTCCTATACAGATGTGACAATTGAAGCGCATCAGGGGTGTGATTCATTACATCAAAGCAAAGATCAATAACATGTTATTTCCAATCAAAATTATAAATTACATATCGACGCTGGAAAGCAAACACGTAGTAACCCGCAAAACCAAAATAGCCCTTCAGAGCAGAAAAGCTTTTTTTTTTCGACAAATAATTCCTATAAACGTCCATGGTAATAAATAAGGTGTTCCTTAGTATTACCATGGACGTTTATACGGAAATAAGATATGTTATTTTGGAAAAATATAAAGATTTTCCACTTGAAATATCCATTTTGGTTTTGCGGGTTACTACGTGTTTGATTTCCAGCGTCGATATGTATTTATTTAATTCATTATCCATATAGCTTGGTTTTTATATATTGCATCATCTAAGCTACGACGAATGGAAACCCAATTAATAATAAAAATGGTTTACGTTGAAATCGATTATCCGGATTTTAGATTATACGGAATACGTTTCAATTGATCCGGATAATTGAGATTCTTCTGTAAGGATTCAAACGGTACGGCTTCACCAAATATTTCAACCCGAAAATTCGGCCGAATTACCATTTCATTATTTTTATTTAGCCAGAGTGTTCCTAAGTGCTCTTTGTAATATAGCGAACAATGATTTCGGAAGCAGATAACCTATATAAAGGATAAAAATTTAAATAATACTTATCTCAAAAGCGACTTATTCAAGGAACTGTAATTAAAGTCGGGCGGAGGTTTACTGTAGGTTATGAATTAAATTATAGGCGCCTGGTTTCAATAGCAATTGCTCGAATAAATATCTTTTGAGATAAATATTATTTATCCCTTTTTTAAAATTTATTAAAAAATATTTGTTTCAACCTTTTTAGTGATAATGATATTTTTATATCATAGGAAACAAAAAATATTATATATTTGTATAAAAATATGTCAACAAAATGAAAGTCTTAAGAAATGAGATTTTGTTTATTTGCTCGACATGGTTTTTCCAGTGGAAAGAGGAAAGATTTGATTAGGTACTTGTTTGTTTGCATTGAACAGACTCCGAAACAATTGTATGAATAATAAAATTATTTCCCAAATTGTAGAATTTGGGAAATAATTTTAGCTACATAATACAGAGTAATAACTCGTTAAAGCTGGTTATTTACGCAAGCAAACTCGCGAGGAAACAGATAGTTTGATAGAAAATAGTTCAGATTTCAAGAGGAAATCGATGAACATATCTACTTACATGAAAAAAATGAATATGCTCATTAAACACAAAAAATCCTCCATTTTGATTTTGAATGAATGCAAAATACGCAATCTCTCGTTTGGTTTTTACTGATGAAAAGCATATTTTGTTTTGTTATAAAAGGGAATTACTGCTTCAATTTAGATAAAATTTAAACGGGGCCACATAGGTCCATTAAGCTGTCTTATAAAGAAAGAATTTTTAAAATCGGTCTTAATTCGCTGAAAACTCTGTGAATTAACATACTCGTACATAAAAAATACAATGCTGTCGAATATATAAGCTCCTCCTTTTCGATTTTGCAGGCGGTTAAAAACCCAACAGACTTGCCGGAGAGAGCAGAGCTTGGTGCTTCTACACCATGAGTTACAGTCAGTCTATAAAGTCATGAAAAGAATGTTTGAGGAACTAACATTAGACACATGTATGACAACACTGAATCAAAGTACATCGACTGTCAACAACTTGAATTTTTAGCTCGATTTTCTGCATTTAATTGACTTAATTAGATTTGTTTTGATTAAACTGAAGCTACTTCTTCTAAACTCCGTAGAAAAGTGTTAAAAATGAAGAGAATTAATCGGAGTGAAGCTCAGGATATTATTTATAAAGTGTTTCAGTGATGTTTATTGGAACAAGAAGCTGGACACATTTTATCATATTTGTAGGATGTTAAAGCTCGAACGGCAGTTATGACTGGTATGTAATCGTGTTACTGATTGAGTTTTGGTTACCAGAAGTTTCAAATTTACTAAATATATGAATTTAAGTCTAAAATAAGTATTGTTTACATTATGCATTTATAGGTTAGATTGAAAATGTTAGAAGGCTATATTGTAGTGCGGCCCGAACTTTTAATACTTTTGGATAATCAAATTTCTCATTGATTTTAATCTGAATAAAAAATATATCTGTTAGGAATGTACGATTTTTACCTACGTACGTCAATAAAAAGTTTGTGCTTTATATTACTTAAAATATAGCATTAATTTGATCATTGTGGCGATTCCATTCTTTTTGCCAAATATCTATAGGTATTACATTTTTAAAACTTACTTTCAGGAAAATCAGAGAATATAGTGATACGTATTGTAGATGAAGGCTATAAAAATGGTGGCATATTTGAAACCCCTGGGAAATATAGATAGTCGTCCTAAGAAATAAATGGTTAACTGCAACATTAGTGCAAAAGATTCAGTTCTTTTACTCTATGAAAAAAAGAGGTACCTACATGAAGAAAACATCAGTGGATTGCCAAAACCGATCTGGATTTTAATTGTAGCCTAGAAGTCCTGCGTTAAATTCTGAAATAGATTGGGTTTTCTTACAAGGAGTGTCAAAGTACCAGGCTTTAATCGAACACAAGCACACATTGCAGTAAAACGAGAAAACAACTTGGCAATTATAAAAAAAAAGATTTATCAAAAATTACGATTACTATATTGTAATCTTCAATGTAGAATAAACTCATTGTCTACGAATTATACGCCTTTCTTTACCTTTTCTGGGGTAATAAAAGTAAAAAAAAATATCCGGTTTATTTTACTATAAATAAAGAAAATCCAACTATCAAAATCATTTGTCGCACTACACAGGGTTGCTACGTGCACGATCGCAGCGCCCTCAATTTTTTTCATGACTTTATAGACAGACTGTACCATTGATTATTAAAATATATTTATTTTTGCTTATCTTTTATTTAATTTCTGTTCTCTATTATATTTTTATAGTTTATTAGATAAATATATATGATCTGAAGCTACATTATTTTATTAAGCAGTTTTCATAGGATTTCTTTAAATTATATTGTAACATTTTTCCATAAGTTTTGTCTTTTAATTCTTTTGCGTGTGTAGCCATGAAAATAGAAATACTTCAACCGAATATGCTCGGTACTAAAACTGAACGACCAAAAAAAACGCATTTATTGTAAATATTTGTTTAATTTTAATTCAATTATTTATTTTTAAGCATACTATTATAAATATATATTCTTTAAATATTTCAGGCATTTTCTTGTTGTCGTCAATATCGAGCAAAAACAAGAAAAAAATCACGTTTGTTGTATGGGAGCCCCTTTAATATATTTTATTCTGGTTTTTAGTATTTTTTGTTGAAGCGGCAACAGAAACAGATCATCTGTGGAACTTTCACGGTTCATGATATACAGCCTGGTGACAGACGGCGAAGTCTTAGTAATAGAGTTCCCGTTTTACCCTACGGGTACGGAACTCGAAAGCTTCATATTTCTAAATTTATCCCTAAAATGAACAATTTTTCCATTTCTTCTTCACCTGTATATTGTATATGTAAAAGTATTTTGCTTGTTTTCCATCTGTCCATCCGTGAAACAGAGAAGGTTAGAAAAAACCGAGGCAAACCGCCATTGAAGTCGTGGCTGTGGCGTATGATTTACTTTTTGCAAAAACTGGAATACGGCAATATTATATAAAAGGATTCAACTGTAAAGAGTATCGATATATGTTTAAAAATTAGACCTTATAACATAATACTAAGTGTTTTATTATAAATTAATTGCTACAATTTAAGCAGCTTTACAATAAATTGGTGCTCTAAAATTAAATCACTAGGTATCTTTTTTCATTCTTAAATATTACAATGCCAATATTAACTATAAAAGTTTAAGGCACTTTATTGCACAAGACAAAACTTAAATCACAGTGATACTGAGCACTTAATATAAGTATTTTTGACGTTTACGTTCACCGTCGATCATGAGCGCATTAAGATTTTAGTATGGAATCCGGTACAGCGGTGACTACTCCATACAAATTCTTAATGCGTTCACTACTGAATGCGTTAGCATAAAATTTACACTTTACCACTCTGTACAACAACATCTGTGATTTACTCAAACTATGGTTCCAAGGAGAAATTGCAATAAAATTTCAGTATAATAAAATAATCACATCAAAAACATTACAATTCATCTTAATTACATGAAGATGACCTCTATAGGGACAATGAATTCCATTATAATATTACACTAATAGTCCCACTAAAAATAACATTCATATTTTTCATAATGACAGTCCAACTTTAACAGAAATGAAATTAATATTTTTAACTGAATCAATTAAATGGCTAAGCAGGTTACACAAAACTGTAAAACTACTTCCATTTTTAAACTTAACTCATAGTTCTTTGAATGATTAGTTCAAAAGCGATAAGATAAATTGTGCATATAAAATCCAGCAAGATTCGCACAAAACTTGCTCCTCTGACAGGAGCCTCAGTTATCAGACCCTAACATAATAAATAAAATTTAATAAGACTGACTAAGTCGTGTGAACAAATTTTGTTTCACTAATTCTATCACATTATTTTGACTGAAAGCATCTATGACCGCTTTAGTCAAACAAAGAGTACTGGTGGATCCATCCACATCGTCGTCCTCTAACACAGCATCAGTACTCACATTCTCTTTAAGATTCTTCTTTAACAAGTCGATTAGATCACTAGCAGTTATACTTGGAGCAATTTCCATTTTATTCGCTTTATCTTCTAGTAGCATTTTAAGATCGTACTCTTCGGGATCAGCCGTCGTAGCAAGCTTGTCGTCTTCACAAGTTTTTTGACGTTTCACACGACGCGCTTTACGTCTACTGTCTAAATAAATGTTCGCCACTGTTTCCAATTGCAGAAACAGAACTGCCAACGGTGTATCAGATATATCATCCTGTTAGGGTAAAAACCAAAATGTGCATCCGATAAAGCCATATTTATGTACTATAAGTTCCAACTATTATAGGGTATGGTGAATCTTCGTAATACCGAGAATAACCAAATGTACGATTAAAATTTAAAAGTGTCTTGTTTCAATAGTTATAGAGGTGTAAATACTGAAATAAATTAAATACTGAGTAGCTCGGTGGCTGTGGATAAGCGCCGCGGCCTGCGATCGTTGTCGTTAAGAAAATTTCGCAAGGGTCGGTCGGGATGGGTGACCAAAAAATTATTATCTCGAGCTACTCCGTGCTTCGGAAGGCACGTTAAGCCGTTGGTCCCGGCTGCATTTGCAGTCGTTAATACTATAATATATATTAATAAGCGTGGAAGGTCATGGCCCATCCTCCTTAACCATCCATAAGGAAAGCCTGAGCCCCTGCAGTGGGGACGTAAAAGGGCTGCTGATGATGATGATGAAATACAATGCGTTAAGTGCCTGTTTCGCCTACATTGCACGGGGTTCACACACGTTGATGGAGCGCCGGATGGCATGATACTTGAATCAGAGTTTATTTTAACTGGCCAAATAAAAAATATAAAAAGAGGAATGGCGCCATATCAGATATAAATGGATGCGCCTAGTGTGACGGTCCTGCCTGCTCATTTACTTTCATAAAATAATACATGCATAGACATTCTAAGCCGGTTTTCTTAACTATAACAAGATTTTGCACTTACTTCATTGGGGTTGAGTAGCAACTTTGCTGTTTCTTGAGGCAAATCTTTGCATATTTGCGCTATAAATATTTTAATCAGTGCTTCCGAGACACGTGTTGTTGTATCTTTTTCCTGTACAAAAAATTTCCATAACTTTATTTAAGTGTTGCAATACGGGTTTAGTAAACGAAAATAAATACATTATTTGTATATTTGATCAATTTCACATTCTCGATGCTATACTGTAAAATATTCTTAATGATAAATGATAAATGCTTAAAAAATCTCTATCTCAGGGTGCCAGGGGCCAAGTTTATGATTAAATATACTTTTTTTTGATAGTGGTTAATATACTATAACCGTTTATCACACTTTATGCTTATTATATTTGTTGACCGCAAACAACGCGTGAAATCCCTCTTACTTATATCACAACTTGGAGGATTCAACCTAATGCATATGTAGAACGATATTAGTTATAGAGGGCCGTGACGTCATAGCGACGCCATGACAGCGTTTCCGCGGTAAATTTTGACAACAAAATTTATTTTTTGTATTTAACTAATTATATGAATCATACTTTCTTAAATATTTTTTTTTATATTCATCTATGAAATCAATATACAAAAGAGAATTGTCAACATCACTATTGAATATTTTAAAGCAGAGTTATAACTTACATGAGGTAGCCACATATTCAGACTTATGTTGAGAGGGTCAACATTTTGGACGTAATGCCACCATCCTCGAGGTACCAAAAGTGCATCACCAGCTGATAACACCACCATTCGACCACCAGATAAGCCTAAAATGATGGTCTGGTTAGATGCCCATTATGTTGTTTCTTATTGTTATTTATTTTAATAGGAAAATAAATTATTTATTTTGTTATGTATTTAGTACTATATGAGATATATTTTGTATTCACAGCAGAATGCTTTATTGATATTTCTTTTTACAATAATGTTTGCAATGAAACCATAATTTTATTCAATGAGTATCTAGAATCTAGACCAGCTAAATAAATGACTGTCATGTCTATTGTTTATCTAGACCAGAGGTTCCCAAACAATTTTTTCTCGTAGACCATTTTAAAAAATTTACTTGTTCGGTGGACCCTCTGCTGCTTTACCATATTCTCAAAATTCGTCCAAAATGTGAAGATCTAACGATGGAAATTGGCGTCGCGGGTGAGTTCCAACCCTTAATTCGGGGTGGTAAAAATAAATAAAAAATAGTATATTTTATCTTTTTATTGAAATAATAATGATAACAGACTTAATAGACTTAAAATGAAATACTAATAACGTTACGTAACTTCAACAATGCAAATCAATCAAAAGTTTTCTCGCAATTTCCCACAGCTCTGGATATTTTTCGGGTATTTCTGGCTGCAGCCAAAATCTTTGATAGCCTTTTTTAAATTGCACCTTTGAGCTAAAGGTGCTTCATTGGTGCCGAGCTCGAGTAGTTCCTCTTGTAATACCACATCCGCCACATCCGTTTCATCAAATAGATTTATGATCCATGGTTGTATTTCCATTAACAAAATATCTTCAAATCTGTTTTTGAAGTCAGTGCAGCGCATTTAAATGTTGAACGTATGTCTGGATATCTTCATCAAGACATGCTGTATATGAAGTTTGGAAACTGTGAGAATTCGCGCCGACTAATATTTTGCTTCATAAATTTGCAAGAAAATCCGAAATTACACTCTTTGTTTTTATTAAATTAAGACTATCCCCTTGTAACTGCAAGTTAATGTCATTATGTCAAAATCTGGATCTTTACTTTCCAGAAACTCTAAAATTAGGAAAGCCTTTTTAAACACGCACCTTTCGACAACCAGCAAACTTCATTCGTATATAGAAGCAATCGTCGGAAGTCTTCATCATTTTCGTCGCCGTTGGGGTTTCTCCTGGTATAACTCTCAATACGTTTCATCAATACGTCTTTGTACAGTGTTGTTACTTAAAGGAATTATTTTAAGTACGTCACGTGAAGGCATGTGTAGAACAGTTTTTAAAACCTCTTCAACAGCGGGTAATATAAACTGTTCTCCGATGGTGTGCGGTTTCCCAGATTTCGCAATAAGCAATGAGATATTGAAAGATGCCTGCAAGCCATCATCGTTACTTTGAGACTTTGAAGCGAACATACTGGCCACGGTGGGTCTCTTTTCATATTTTTCCTTCAATGCTTGAAAATATTTAAATCTTTACCTATTTTATCAGGATGACACCTTCTTAGATGGTCTTCGGGCTTCGATGGTTTCTGAGTCATTGCTTAAAACTTTGTTGCATAAAAGGCATGTCAGCAATCGTATATCTGCCTTTGATAGAAGAAAAGAAAACCCAATTTCAAATAATCAATATTGTATTGCCGACATTTCTTCTTAGATTCAGCCATGTTTCGTATCAGTTACCTACCTAAAAAAATAATCAAGTGTATAGTATAGTATAGCTAGAATAATTTACTTTCTGCCAGGATCTGTACCATCCTACAAAAAATTAAATAAGTCATATTATTACAAACATGCAGGTCAATCATATATCTCCTCCGTTACTGAATAACTTCAGCCGGGTAAATAAATAATTGTATAATAATAAGTACAAAATAAATCAAATAATGAACCTGTTCAGTATTTAATTTTTATTAGGTATGAATCTACTACACGCAAACATAACAAATATAATATTATTACAATCAAATAGGCAGGGAGGTACTTACTTTCCCGGGACCGGCAAACACTGACATAGATTCACTCACACTTTTCTCTTCAAAATTCGTATTTATATTGGTGAAGCATCCAACAAGTTCATACAAGATTGTTAGCACAGCAGAAGTGGTATTTCGTAGCTGTGCACGTGCAACCAAGCATCGCGTGCGGGCGGGCGGCGGCGGCGCATTGCAAGTCATGCCGACATGCGTTGTACTGAATATTGAAAAAGCAAATTTTTACAAGTAACACACGCTGACCTTACAATTTTATCGCCTACCTGCACATTGTGTGTAGGTAAGGCCAAGCCAACATTTTTGTTCTCTACTATCGAAACCAGATAATTTTAATATTAGATTAATAATAATTTTCTTGTAGACCCCACTTACAACTTATGAACCCCTATTTTAATTTCACGCCAACATAGACCCTCATTAAATCCACTTAGGGAATCAGTGATCTAAACTCTAGATTAACAGTAGACATGACAGTCATTTATTTAGAAGGTGTGTATCAAGGTTGGTTGTTTATCTAGTATGCAGTTAAACAGCTATCACTTTTTCTCTAATATATGTATAATAATACCAAAAAAATCAAAATTTCCATTAGCCACCAATTAAAATAAAAAACCAGTTGCATATACTTTGTAACTAGTGAAACTTATAGCCAAATAAATGTGTGTTTTAGTTTTCTACAAATTAATTCTAGAACAAGTATAACCTTAATAAAAATACCATTAAAAACATCTAAATTGTTGGGACAGTAGAAGTTAAGTTCACTGTATATACTAGATTCTTCATAAGGTACTCGTGTTGGCTTTAATCCACCTGCCTCTGGTGGAAATAAAATCCATAGCTTCCTACAAAAATACATCTTAAGTAATACTTTTTAAGTTGAGAATAATTTGTCATTATATCAAAAATTAATGCATCTCTCACTTTCCATAAACCTGTGATACAATATTAAATCCATAGGTATCCTGGTGAGCGGGTGTGTGGGCACCCTTGTTGCCTACCCATAGTGTTGTATCACTTGCTCCTTTGTTAGAATATCCAAAATCTTTCCAAGATACTTCCTAGAACAAATAAAATATGTACAATAACTATTATTGATAGATTGTTTATTCTTAAGATTAGAAAATAAACAAATATAATTCATATTTTACAAAATAAAATGACTTACTACAAAACTCAACACTTTTACAAAACATATCATATACATAAGAATTTTTAGATTTTAATTGAAAACCAAATGGATAAAATAGTAATGTAGTGTAATAATTACAGGGACTTATGTTATAATAATTCTGACTCACAATTCATCAGCTCCAATTAACTTTAAGAACAAACCAGTAAATTCTTATCAAATTACATTACACAGTGGGCATTTATAAAGATAATAATTATTTATTATTTCTTCACATAAATCAAAAATTAACCAATATCATAATTATAGTTACAACAAAAACCTATAGCATAGCCTAACATTATTATATTTCAATCAACATTTAAATATCTTTATGCACCTTAAATAGCTCGGAATCCGAACTAAACCATTGATGAAGATATTTGTAGTCAAAATACATCCACTCGTCACTAGAATCCAAATTAGAAACAAAATTTTTGAAAGTCATCGATTTTACTTTACATTTACGTTCCCAGCAGGGTTCATCAGAAACAAAATTCCTTTTTGAACACCGAAATGGCATTTCTTTTTCACCAAATATTGAACACCACTTTTCAGCGCTCCATTGACACATAGGCCATTTTCTAATGAAATCTCTAAGCACTAATGGCGCGCCAATCTTTGTTGATAAATTTCGTAGGATTTCGCCATCTAATGAAGACATTTCTAATATTTCTCCACTACCTGTAAACTTTTAAACTTATCTTACAAGTCAATTATACTTGGAATCACTGGAATAATAAATAACTCCAACCAAAAAGTAATCATAATAATCCAAACATTTTTTTTTAAATTGGCTTGGTTGTAAAGTACTTTAAGCCAAAACTTTGCTTACACTGTCCTCGGTCGGTTTAATCATACCACCGCCACCGATTATTTCGTCCTAGGTTTCCACATGCAAACTTTTTGTCGTTGATGTTCAACATCAGTTATTTTTATTATTCACTTTTCGTAATTAGAAATTTATAATCCAATATGCTCTTTATGAACTCTGAATTTTATAATGTCTGTTCATGAAAATCCATTGAGTTCGGAACATTATACAAATTTGATTTTAATCAATAGCAATTTCTTGTAAATCAGACCCCATTTATTATTAACTGTTTCCGTTATGCTTACGAGTTTGTATTTAATCAAATATAGTAAAGTTAAAATACTCATCAAATCCGTTAAATCAAGTTCTCAAGCTTAATCAGTTTTTTATTAATTTTGCCTATGCATCAAACCCGTCACAAGGTTAAAATCAAATTAAGTCATTTGACAAATTTCTATAAGCTAACGTTATGTTGACTGTTCATAGGTATATTAACTGAAATAGTAAGTGACAATATTTTGCACACTTGATTTATTTTTAGCATACAAATTGAATATATTTTATATGAAGATAAAAAAATTAGCCTAAGAAATTATTACTGTGGGTACTTATAACATGCATTTCTGATTCCTGTCTTTCTTAGGTAAGAGAGAGAATTACTGATATCGTAATATATCTGTAATGGAATAAATTAAGATTGTCATTTATCTTATAGAAGAAGAGTCGGCTGCTTGAGAAATAATATGATCTTATTTTTTTCCAATAAGAGTAGAAATCACAGCGACCAATGTTTTGCTGATGTCTACTATTACCTATGTAATATTCACACTTGCGATCGCGATAGCTATGGGTTGCTGAGCCATCGAAGTAAAGTACTATACACACGTTTAAAGAAATAATCGTTGGTTAATCGTCTATTAGGAAATAATAATCTATAGCGACTGATTATTTGAAAAATCGATTAATCGATTTCGCACATCATTAAAGTGGCGTTTCTGCAAGGCAAGGCATATCAAATCAAAGTTAAACAATAATAATAAGATAAAATTCAGAGGAAATATAAACGATACCTATCCTTTAATTCAAGAGTGAAAAATTTGTTTTCTATAATTTGTATCCCGTGTTAATTCAGTATAAAGAATTAATAGGCTTGTTTTTTATGTCGAAAAATAGTAATACTAACCCTACTCTCACTCTATAAAAATAGGGTACCTATACTAACACTCAGACAGAGTAGAAAACTCGGATGTGAGTTTTGAAAATATGATACCTTTTGGTAAGTGGTGAGAATGATCATGGAACCTACTGAAGTTAATACTGAAGTAATATCATCTTACTTCTCTAGAGAGATTGATTTAAGTTGTAAATTTATAGACCTAATAGATGAATTAAATAGCTCTTTAGAACTGTTGGAACTCCCAAAATCAATTCAATGTATCTACAATCCAACTATTTATGCTAGGCATACATTCGAAAAATATGTTTGCAAATATTGCAACACAAAAAAGCAAATTGTTTATTTTGGTATGAACCCTGGCCCATGGGGAATGTCTCAGACTGGTGTAAGCATTTGTTTTTTATATGCATGCAATGTATGTAGTATATATCTACTGTAATTTTAGTAAACCAAATGTTAATGTGGACAAAGAAAGAATTCCATAACAGGCTAATATAAATATTATATACTTACTCACTGTCAGTCCATACATTTATACAGGTGCAAACCCTTTGGACCTGTTTGTTTGTACTACACAAAATAGGTCTTCCTGAAAGCATTTATCAGTATATTATCTAGTGTCTGTAGTAACTTTCAGTTTTTCTATCCATGTAGCACTAGATTTGTAAAAGTTATAACTGACTTTTCATATTTATTTAATTTTTATGTCACACCTTTAATATTCAGGTACCCTTTGGTGAAATTGGTTCTGTAAGAGATTGGTTGCGTATAGAGGGTCCAGTTGGGAAACCATCAAAAGAAGTTATTACTAGGCCCATCAAAGGATTCAATTGCAGTAGGACTGAGGTATTACCTACATCGTTTCAGTATTTTTGTTATAAAACAAGTTTTACAAATTGCAATAAATACTTTAATAGTTATTTTAAAAATGAACCATAACTTTTCCTAATACAAATTATTTTTTAAACCATTATTTACAGATAAGTGGCAAGAGATTCTGGGGACTGTTTAAGGATTTATGTGATACTCCTGAAAACTTTTTTAATACAAGCTTTGTTTATAACTATTTGCCACAACAGTGGATGAAAAGCAATGGCTGCAACATTACACCTGCCGACTTTAAGGTAACCAATTGTGAATATTTTTTATGATAATTGTAAATAACAAAAGTATAGTTACATACTGCATACATAACTTTAAAAACAGTAGTTGATAACCCGGACACTTATTCTGCACTAAAATAATTGCCTAGTACCCTTAAGTACATATAACAGATTTTAACAAAAATAAAAAAGAGATTCTATAAGTTAATGTATATTATTTGACCACACACAAGATTCCCTACCTTTCTATTGTTACTGAATATAATAGGGGTAAAGAAAACTTTTTTATTTTAAAGATATACATGAAATATATCTATCTACAAACAAAATATTAAAAAAAAATTCATTCATATATTAAAGCTAAAACCGAAAACTAAATTTAATTTTCAAAGTTTGTTAACTATATCGCCACTTCTGTCACGGCGTCGCTATGACGTCACGGCACTGAAACGATGTGTATAATTAGCAGACCAATTGGGCGGCTAGCCTTTTAATTGAATGGCACCATTCAATTAATGGTCTGACCTTCGATCAGCCGAGTAGCTAATCGTAACATTTTACAATTTGGCTGAACAAAGGTCAACTAATTGACTGTCAATTCACTAGGAATACTTTAATTTATTGGTAGGATTAAACATAAAGCAAAATAAATATTGCAGTGGGTGATTTTAAATAAAACTTAAAAGCTCCTTGTTACGATCTGTAATTAATACAGATACAATACTGATTAAAAAGATACGATCCTATACAGCTAACATACACACCATTAACGCAAGTAGTACTAATAAAATTAGACAAAGACAAGGTATACCGATTGAGATGGCCACAGCGCCGTCTATTGAATGTATTTGGCTGCAATAGGGATGACGACTGGGTAAAAATAATGCAATTCTTTTTAGTCCTGCAGTCAGATAATAGAAAAATATTAGATACGTATTTTTTTTTTACTTCAATTTAACAAGAAATAGCTTAGATAACAGGCATTAAAGTTGAGGAGTGGGGGCTCGCTACGTCACAGTTTGGTAGAAAACGTAGCATAACGTGACGTCATGCGAAATTTCAACTCCATGTAATGCCGTAATTTTATGATTACGAAAAAAATTAAAAAATACGTGTTTAATATTTTTTAACGCTATCTGACGGACAAACAAACAAAAATTAGTCGTCATCCCTATTGTTTTAGTATGTTTATTTCGAAGTATGGTGCTACAATCGTTAACAACAACATAAAATGATAAACAACAAAGTTATTTTGGTCCTGTAGGTCACGTGATTGGTTAGAAATTAAAATTTTGAGGACATTTTTTCAAAACGATTTGACAAACGATCCCTCAATTCAATTAAATGGCTAGCCGCCCAATTGAACGACTGTTTTAAGCAGTGGATGTGGTTGAATTCTCTAAGTTTTAATACCTGTGTATTTATTTTTGTTTACTGTCTACACCCGTATTACGAGTCTTGTAAAACGTTATTTTTTCCTTTTAATATATTGTCAAAAATTTATCTATATTAAATTATAATTTCCCTTTATAGCATTATCAAAATATTCGTACTTGAACTTGACTTGTAGTATAACTACTGTTTACAGATGATGGAAATGGAACCATTATTTGAAATTTGTGATCCAATATTTATAAGAGTTTTGGAATTGTATGATGTGAAAACTATTGTGGCCATTGGAAAGTTTTGTGAGGTCAGAGCACACCGAGCGTTAAAAAAATATTTACCAGATCATTCCATTCAGGTATAATTTATTTTATAATTTAATACTGAATCAATAACAAGCTTTAAGCTTATAGTAGGGGAGCCCAAGCGGGGATTTCGGGATTTACAAAAGCGCGGCAGATTAAGATACAGGGGGATACCTTGTACCCAGTTAAGTACCTGGACCAAGTATAAGCCCTATAAAAATGGCCGCCTGGCAAGGAGAAGGGTCAGATTGGTAAAAAAAAATTGATCATCTGAAAATCTCGAGCGCGTCAGATTAAGGTAAGGTGAGCTAGTTACATGCTAAAATGTGTACATACCTCTAATCTGACAATTTGAGAGTGACGTAAAGAAGGGGGAAGGCTACAAAGTTGTAAAAAAAAAGTCACTTTGACATTCTCGAGCGTGGCTATTTTTTTTTTATTTTGAAGGGAATCATTCACGGATTACGAAAAATATATAATCTGACGATTGTCACATGCCGAAGTAATAAGAATTCATCGATAAGATTTAATGCGTTTAAGCTACGTGATACCTATATTTCCTTCTCCGCATCATTATTTCTCTCTCTTTTTCTGTCTATTTCTCTCTCATTCCGTCCCCACTCTGGTTTCGGTTGCCATGACGCCATGACAGCTGATCGTTCGTGGCGTGATATTGTTTACATCGTATTTCCAACGTTTTTGCTTATTTTGTTATTTTAATATAAATTTTGTGAATTAAACTTTTTACATATTTACTAAGAGAAGAAGAGGAAGATGATTCTAGCGATGAAGATGATAATTAATAAAAAATACTGTAAAAATAAAATTTTCATATAATCATTTTCTTATAAATATAAGTATTTTACATAAAAAAACATACACTTTTTTATTTGCATGCTAACTCCGGTGCTTTTCTATTTAATTAAGCTCAATGATTTGAAAAAATTAAAAAAAAAAATTTTTAGTGTCAGTTTAAGTAAATCCCTTCAGATAATCGTCAGATTATGAGATATCACGTCTGGGGCATAAAGATGAACCATATATGTCTTAATCTGACGCGCTTGAGTATTTCAAAATGGCGATTTTTTTTTTGCACATTCTAATAATGGCCACGCGTTTGCGTCACATCCAAATCGTCAGATTATTATATGAGAGCTTTTTTTTAGGTTCACTTGACATCCCCTCAAAAAATCAGACGCGCTCGATTAAAATTTTTTTTTTTTTCATTTTCAACCCTTACGTATAACCACCCCCATCAAGGAAACGATCAGATTAACATACTACAGTTTTTAAAAATGCGTAGGACATGGATGATATTAATATCTGACGCGCTCGAGTATGTCCATACAACAGTTTTTTTTTTTTACATTTCTATAATATATAAAGCTTAATTACCACTCACTGACTCACTGACTCACTCCATGCTTTTTTCGGGTAGAAGAAGGGGGAAAATGACATTTTCATGTATGGAGACTGATAATATTTTTTTAAAATGAGTTGAAATGGCGTATCGGTACAGCCAAAAAACAAAATGGCGGCGAGATAATTTTTTTAGTTTCTACATTATTCACTCTACGGTTACGATATTCGAAATGGTCGTAGATTTGGCTAAAAAAATGAGACTGGAAAAAGGTTTGTTAAAAAAAACAAAATGGCGGCCGAGATATTTTACCTCGAAAATTGACATTTTTCGACCTCTGTTTGGGCGATTGTCATTTCTTTTTTTGTGGGTCCGGAGGGGGGATTTTTGCTCCTTCAGCTCGGAAGTATAGTCGATTTTCACGTAGAGGGAATTTTCATTTGCGCTTCAACATGGCGACGGCGGGGGCGGCCATTTTGTTTCGGCAATGAAAAATCGCCATTTTCCAGTGAGATTTTCTCCAAGATGGCGGCAATATACTGGTTTTCTTTATATGGGGCGGTCGTGGGGCTCGGTAGGATCTTTCCATATTAGTACTAATTTCTACCATTTTCGTGGTAGTTTATGAGATTTTGGGAGAAAAGTGAAATTTCGAAATACGCACTTTTCGCGGAAAACAGACTCGGTGCGGTGTGGTGCCGGGGGAGCCCTATGACTTTTGGTAGTTTTCGTTTCAGCGAGCTGACAACCCTGGGCTCCACGGTAGAAAACGTGTTTTTCGACATGCCCTCATAACCCGAATTGTTTGGGAACCTGGGTGGCCAGTGGAGAAAATCTGTGAATGAGGTCCCTTGCCTGATATAGTCGTGACTATGGGAAAATTATGAAACTCGGGAAAATCAATATGGCGGCGCCGGCAGCGGCCATTTTGTGATTTTTTCACTTTTTCGAAAAATTCAATCGCACTTTTACCCTACATGGCAACACTGTAGCTCTTCGCTTGGTATGGACCGGTCGTGAGTCTCCGCCGGCTCTTTCTTATGAGGTGAAAATTTTCCCCGATTTTAGGGTAATTTCGGAGATTTACCCCAAAAAGGTGAAAAGTAGAAGGAGCCGTTTGGGAATTTTAAAAATGCTTTTCCTCGATGGAGGGCACTCTCAGAAATGACATTCGGCCTTTTGATCGTCGTCACCTAGCAACCCTGGTAGGAGCGGCGATTAGAAAAATTTCGCCCATTTTTTACTTTGTCGACTTTAGCGCAGCCAGTATTGCCACTAGGAAAATGGTAAAAAGTGCATCGGATGCACTATCGAGTTGGCCACACCGGTATGGAGCCGGATTTTCAAAATTCAAGATGGCGGCCATATCAGCGGCCATTTTATCCGAAAAATTGGGTATCGTCACCACGTCGAGCCGATTTTGACGCACTTGGCGACATTTGTCAGCGTACTTCCGAGGAAATAATTTTTAGGCAAGTAACTAAAGTGTTGCCAGGTGAAAAAAAATCTCGAAAATTTTTGATACTTTATGAGATTTTTGGGGAAACACTTTTTGTCGAATTTTGAATTTTTTTCGATGCAAATATTTTAATTTTAACTTTTTAAGATACCCGATGGAAAAAATAGAACGATCGACTGGCAGCACTGAGAGCAAACAACGTTTGAAATTCAACCTACATTTTGACCGACTTGGCAACCCCGCAGGTATTTGGCATGTATGGAGCGATTGTGTATCTCTATAGACTCTTTCATATGGTGGAAAAAAATTACCCGATTTTAGGGTAGTTTTTGAGATTTACCCCAAAAACTGTAACTGTCAAAGGAACAATTTTAGAACTTGAAAATTGATATCTGTCGATGGAGGGCGCATCCCGAAATCACATTTGACTGTTTTCATTGCCTACACCTGGCAACCCCGGCAGCTACAGCGGGTTGAAGATTTAATGCCCAGTATTCACGTTTTGGACTCTAGCACAGTCACTATTGCGGCTAGAAAAATAATAGAAAGTGCGTTGGATGCGCTAATAGGTGGGTTATATAGTTATGAGGTTAAAATTTCAAAATTCAAGATGGCGGATTAGATAGCAACCATTTTATCTAGAAAATTGATCATTTTTCACGACTTTCACTTTATAGAGCTGATTTTGGCGTTTTTGGCAACATTTTTAAGAATACTTCTAACAAAAAACATGTATTCTGCTGAAGTGTTGCCAGATGAACAAAAATCTGAAAATTTTTTGATACCGGGATTTTTGAGGAACTGTCATATATGACATTGATGAAAAAAGTTTTAATTCAAAAAATTTACTGTTGTTTTTGTAACATAATCGATGGAATAATTTGAGTGATCGACAAGCAACACTGATAGTAGTCACCATATTTCAGATTGATTTTGACCGAGTTGGCGACTCGGGAACTTTATAGCATATTAAGATCGTTTGTGTATCTTTACTCAATCTTTAGGTGGTGAGAAAAAAGAATCCAATATTTACGCCAGAAAAATAAAGCGAGCGAGACATTGTCATTCGGTTAAATTAGAACTGTGACTAAAACAAAAAGCGAGCGAAGCGAGCCATAAAGGTTGACCATTTAGAGAGATTTGAATAAATGGCAAGGTTTGAACTATAACTAAAATAAAATGCGAGCAAAGCGAGCCATAAAGAACACCATCAATAGATATCTGATCAATCAGTTAGATTAGAACTGTAAATAAAACAAAAAGCGAGCGAAGCGAGCCATAATAAATGGAGACCTGGTCAATCGTTTAAAGGACTGTGACCAAAATAAAGAGCGAGCGACGCGAGCCAAAATCCGAGACCATTAAAAGAAACCTGATCAATCGGTTATGTTAGCACTGTGAGTACAACAAAAAGCGAGCGAAGCGAGCCATAAAGAGTAACCATTAAGAGAGATTTAGTTAATTGATAAGGTTAGGACTGTGACTAAAATAAAATGCGAGCGAAGCGAGCCATAAAGAACACCATCAATAGATATCTGATCAATCAGTTAGATTAGAACTGTAAATAAAACAAAAAGCGGGCGAAGCGAGCCATCATAAATGGAGACCTGGTCAATCGTTTAAAGGACTGTGACCAAAATAAAGAGCGAGCGAAGCGAGCCAAAATGCGAGACCATTAAAAGAAACCTGATCAATTGGTTATGTTAGCACTGTGAGTAAAAGAAAAAGCGAGCGAAGCGAGCCATAAAGAGTAACCATTAAGAGAGATTTTGTTAATTGATAAGGTTAGGACTGTGACTAAAATAAAATGCAAGCGAAGCGAGCCATAAAGAACACCATCAATAGAGGCCTGGTCAATCAGTTATATTAGAACTGTAAATAAAACAAAAAGCGAGCGAAGCGAGCCTTAAAAAAATGGAGACCTGGTCAATTGCGTAGGGTACCGTGACAAAAATAAAGAGCGAGCGAAGCGAGCCATAATTCTAGAGATTGTTGTTGTTAATACTAAATATTAATTTACTATTGAATAAGAATATGAGCGTAAAATAATATAAGCTTTTTCTACTAAATATTTCATTTTCTATTGAGTGTAAATGGGCAACTGTTTTTCTTTTGAGTGTATGGTGCTTTGTGTACTTAAACAACTTTCATTTGAAGATAGAACTTATTAAGTTTTACTAGGCAATTTTATACTGTAAGCCCAACATAACAAGAGGCGGACTTAAAACCCCAATATCTGTATTAATTAAATATTTATTTACTATTGAATAAGAAGAAGAGAATAACAGACTACGAGCCAATCTATACAAAATTTATTTTAAGGTTTTCTTGCGTTTTTTGACTGAATATTTCTTTTTTATTTAGTGTTAACCGGCAACCCTTTTTCTTTGACGTATGGTGCTTTGTGTACTTAAAAATAATTCATTTGAAGATAGAACTCACTAACTTTTGCTAGGCAATTTCAAACTGTAAACATAACAAGAGGCGGACCTATACTTGTATAGGTTTATTATGTCATATGGGTTAGGTTAGGTTAGTGTATGAAAAACAACGCACGAGCCGAGCGAGCGTAGCGAGCGTGCCGCGGCAGCGGCCGGCGAAGTGCCAGAAACGAATCGCTTTTGTTGCTGGTATGGTGGATGGTAAACATTTGATTTATAATGTTTAAAAGATGATCGTGTAAGGCTGACTATGAGCAATCCAGCCCACGCTGTGGCCATTTTAATTTCAGATTTGATTTTGATTCACTTGACAATTCAAGAGCTTTATAGCGTGTATATGGATCATTTCTTTTCCCAATTTTTCCAATTTTTGACACGATAATTACTTTTTAAAGTACACTTTTCTATACTTTTAGACTAATAAGAAATTATGTTATTTTTTTATAAAAACTTATTTAATATTGTAACTTAATTTCTGTGTAAAAGTTTCTATAAACGCACACACCTTTTCTCAAAGTTTAGTATTATAGAGTATTTTTTCCAAGTTTTAAAATATATGTATATGCAAAAACAATAAATAATGATTAATCATAGTAACACTTGCGGAAATATATTTTCGATTGTTATTGTTAATAATAAATATAAATTTAGTATTGAATAAGAATAAGAGTGTAAAATACTACAAGCCTATCTAGCGTTTTTCGACTGAATATTTCATTTTCTATTGAGTGTATATGGGCAACTGTTTTTCAATTGAGTGTATGGTGCTTTGTGTACTTAAAAACCTTTCATTTGAAGATAGAACTTACTAACTTTTTGTAGGCAATTTCAAACTGTAAACCGAATGTGATAAAAAAAAAACAAAAAATATTAAAATCCGCTTCCGAGGCGGACTTGAAACCCCACCGCCCCGATTCCACCAGCTTCTCGTTACCTCCCCGGGCTGCTCGCAGCCCGGGGCAATCAAGCGATAGCTTCTATTCTGAAACGAAGGCGGACTTAAAACCTCATCGCGTCGTGAATTGATCTATTCTAATATCTGGCCACGACATCGGTTCCCTTTTCGTATCTTATATATAAAAATGAATCGCAAAATGTGTTGGTAAGCGCATAACTCAACAACGCCTCGACCAATTTGGCCAAATCTTTTTTTAAAATGTTCGTTGAAGTTCAAGGACGGTTTTTACGGCGAGAAAAATTAGAATTATTGCTGGAAAAACCCTAAAAATAGCCCTTTTCTTTTTCCCATACAAATGATTTGTAACTAAAACGTAGTCAATTTGAGCTTTATTGCTATGGTATAAAGTTCATATTAAATTACAAGCACTCACTGTTGTCTAAGCAATGTAGGTGTGTTCCTAACGTCAAAGATCATATCTATCAAAACAATGTGCGTGTGTGCGTTGGAGCACAGAATACATAGTTGGAGGAGTTTAATGTCGCGTTCCGAAACTCGCGTTTCTTTTGTATTAGTTTCGGCACGCGAGATAAAATGCATCAGAATTTTTTTAAATACGTAGGCAAAAAAACTGCCACATTACAAATCTTTTTGACAGGACGAAGTCTGTCGGGTCAGCTAGTAATAAATAAATCTTACATAAATAATGTAATGTAATAATGCAAATACAATAAATACTATTTCTTGACATTTAATTGATTAATTAATGATAGTAACACTGATGGAAATATATGTTCGATTGTTTTTAATATTATACAGTAATTTACTAATAAATAAGAATAAGAGAATAAAAGACAAAACTTATTTTAACATCTATACAAAATTTATTTTAAGTTTTGCTTGCGTTTTTCGACTGAATATTTATTTTTATATTAAGTGTCAACTGGCAACACTTTTTCTTTGATGTATGGTGCTTTGTGTCCTTTAACACCTTTTATTTGAAGATAGAACTTACTGACCTTTTCTAGGCAATTTCAGACTGTAAACCCGACATAACAATAGGCGGACTTGAAACCCCACCGCCCCGATTCCACCAGCTACTCGTGACTTCCCCGGGCTGCTCGCAGCCCGGGGCAACCAAGCGAAAGCTAGTTTAATAATCTATAGCCGCTTCCCCCACCGATGAAAAGGTATATATTATATGAAATTTTTTATTTGTTATCATCTAAGCTTCGCAACCCAATAGGTCTCTATGATGCTCGAGTAAATCCTGATTTAGCATCGTGGGCTCCCCTACTATTAACAATGGCAGAAAGACAGTATTTTTATACGAATTTTAATTAAGACAGTTCTCTTTTTACAGGTTGTGTATTTGCCTCATCCAAGTCCGCGATCTGTAAATAACAACAATTGGGACCAAAAAGCTAGAGACCATTTAAAAAAATATGATCTTTTAAAATTTTATGCTAATTCTCAATAAAAACTGAAGATACTGAAAGATTATTGTAAGTCCCTTAGTGTCAAACTGTAATCATAATGATAACATATGAAAGTATGTTTAATATTATTTTCTAGTTTTCAGACCTATTAAAAACATATTCAATCATGACAGAGCTAATGAGAAGAGCACTTGATCTAGCAAAAGAGGCACTTGCAGCCCAAGAAGTGCCAGTTGGGTGTGTTTTTACAGTAGATGGCATCATTATTGCAGAATCAAGAAACACCGTAAATTTCACCCGAAACGCTACCAGACATGCGGAAATTAATTGTATTGACAAAATAATACTATACTGTAGACGTCGCAATCTTAACTACCATGATTTTTTTAAAAGAATTGTAGTATATGTTACTGTTGAACCCTGCATCATGTGTGCAGCTGCATTAAACAATCTCTGTGTCAAGGAGGTTGTATATGGATGCGCCAATGACAGATTTGGTGGTAAAACTGTGTTAGATATAAGTAATTTTTATAAGCATTGTTACACATTAACAAGTAATATTTTAGCCGATGAAGCAATGTCACTACTAAAGCAATTTTATAAAGGGACTAATCCCAATGCTCCAGAATCAAAGATTAAAAAGAAAAAAATATGATTGCCATTTTTTTTTTAAATTTAGGTATTTTTTCTTATTATATTACTTCAAAGTTTAGCGTGTTCGTAACTATTCAGTCTTCATAATATGTCGAAACTAAACAGTGTCTAACGTGTCTGGCAGTTGCACGATCGTCCATTAAAATTGTCATTAGTTAAAAGTGACATTACCCATACAAATTTGACATTCATTAAAGTATAAAGACATCATTAAACCCTAATGGTCGTTTGTGCAACTCACCGTAAACATGATAGTCAGGAAGCTCAGAAAGATGTTTAATGATATAATTAAAAAGTAGTATACTGAGCATTGATCATATTTTTTCAAGACCTTATATACTGTGCCAATTTCGGGATCCATTTATTATTAAGTAAGCAGGTATAGAACAGTATAATACCAAATTCTTTTTTCGAAAATATTTATTAAATCTTTATAACCTAGTAAAAATAAATAAATTACAGATTTATGCCAAGAGACATTCTTTACCAGTTGAACAACAGTGCTATTATGTTAAAAACAGCCTTGAGCTCGTCTTCGAGCGCAGCGCAACTAAATGAAATAAAACCTCAAAGGGGAAATGCTACCTTAAGCCTCTCCTAAAGGGACTTAAGGGATTCTCTAACCCCGTACCTATCCTAAAAAGGAAAGGCTTAAGCGAGGCTGGCCTACCTGGTAAAAACCACTGCGAGTGCACTAGGGGGGGAAGGTCTCGGGATCCAGCACGAAACTCGTTGGGTCAAATCAACACTGAACAATAACAACAATCAAGCATTCTGTTTCATCAATTTATGTTCTTTGGACATGTATATGAAATTTACATGATGGCATAGACTGAACTTCTGCAGTAACCACACTGTTGATGCATAAATTGGCCAAACCTCCTCTGATTAATCCACATGTGTAGGCCACAAACTGGAATATAAAATAAAACTGTCTTTAACCATGTCTGGATGTATAACATAACTGTATGGTATACATTCATTACATTCATAATAAATTGAAAATTTAGGTATTAAAATTACATACCCTTGGGGCAAATTCCAAATATTGATGACCATTGGAAAAGTTAGTCAAAAATCTAAAGGCATTATCTTGTAAAACATAAACTCCTTGATGGTTGGTCCGCAAATTATCAATTTGTTTTTTATATATACATGTCCAGAAATCTGTGCATATGAACTTCATTGTATCCAGCTCATCTTTAAACCTTGGCCACTCTCTAGTCAATCTTTCCATAATTTTATATCCAGCAGCAAAACCAATGTATTCTACAACGGACAAATCCACCTCCTAAATAAAAACCAAAATATATTGAAAGAAATAGATTTTTGTAACATTTTCTTTAAAATAATCAGTAACTGACTTTATCACAGGGTGAGATTAAGTAGAGCAGTGTTTCCCACTTGCTGGGTCGCAATCCAGTACTGGGCCATCAAAATACCGGGTCACGACATTCCCGCCATGTTAGATTAAGTAAGCTCATCAAGCAATAAATTTTCAATATCTTTTGTCACAACTTATAAATATGAGGCAGAGTTTACACACTACTTAAAAATTAAATATAGAAACCAATCTGAAGTAGAACCCTAAGATAAAATTTTTGTTATATTTAGTAAACTTGGATTTAAAGAAGAACATCATAGAAACCATGTGAAAAGTTTCTTTCAAAAACCTCAAACCATGAAAATTCTATCTCAATTGAAGAAACCTATTACAATAAAACTGTAATTACATACTTAATGAACAAGTTTTTGGGAAACATGGAAATTGTTGAATTTATATTCTATAAAGTAACTAAACATTTTATGTCATCAACCTCTAGCTGGTAGTATGTAGGTATTTATTGTAATATTGAGTAGTGAATAGAAATCATCATGTTAAACAAGGTAGGCTCTATCTAGTAATCTGTAAATTATATTGAGAAAAAACATGAACACTACAAATACTAACAAACTCGGTACCTACCAAACAAACTGAGCTTAAATGGAATTATAGAAAGAATACAAAATAAATTTTACTTTCCAGCTGATAACTTCAGCAACTAGTGGAAGGTGAAAGCGTAGTAATCTATTCAAAACATATGACCTCTATTAGAACAAGACTGAGTCAGTAAGATGGTCTCTTTTGGGAAATCCACCTTGAAGCAGACTTGCAGGTCACTCAGCTAAGGTTCATAATCCGAATGTAGTAACATGCCTTCATGTTCAAGACGAATTGTATGAAAATGAAATTGTGTGAAAAAAAGTTAATCTTTGGAAACATCAGTACCAGACGAATTCCCAGAATTCATGTAATCTGTTATGAATGGCAATAAGAAAACTCAATTCGTTCAACTTCTTCAACTATAATTGATCTGCTATCAGTCAAGGGAATATTATTTATACCTGTACCCACATACCTTTTTATCGCAGTTATCCTTACTTTGTCCCAATGCATAATTTACAATTTCAGAATGCAATAGTTCAAATAAAATATCATCAGCCATTGCCATTTTGCTACGAGTACACCAATTATGTCTAAAAGTGTTCTTTTTACTTTATATACCAGTATTATGTATTACCTATGCTTTATATTTTCTTCAAACAAAAAAAAAATATTAGCCCAGAAAAAAACTTATCATAATCACCACAGACTACATAGGGCCATATGGGGCCATATTATCAGTGCAAATCAGTGTTGCCACCTTGGATTTTTTAAGGCGCTAGATCGAAAGTAAAATAGCGCCAGATTTCATACATTTTCGTAAAAATAAAACCACCAGATAGCGCTAAATCAATATATTATCTGAGAATAACAGCAGACTGGTGTTATTTGTGTGTTAGCTATAATTGTTTTAACTAAAAACTAACAATTTCGTATAAAATAGAGCTAAAATAGTTGTATCTAGTGAAGTTATTATTTATTATAAAAAATTACGTATTTAAAAAATGTAATCTACCTAATAGATATAACTTGACTTAATAAAATTTTTAATATTTAGTAAAATAAAACAAAATAAATAAAAAGCATAAATCTGTTCATTCATTTGTACTTAAATTAGTAAAGAATCAATGTTCAATAAAAAAAAGGAAAGTTAAAATTCAAAATTATCAAATGGTATAACTTCATCATCATCCACAGACGCCGACTGTACTATCGTTGACGTCGACGCCGATGCTGAAGGTGTTGTTGGTTGAGGATCGTTTTTGTATGAGTACTTTATATTTTTCCCAATGGCTGCAATGACATCATTTGGTAATTCATAATTAAAACATCTGGCATTGATAAATTTTAGTCTATTTCTTATAAATATTATGGCATTGAGTAGTGGACTAGCCATCCTATTCCATAGCTTGTTTTTTATTATGTTCATGATATTGAATATTCTTTCGATACCCGCATTAGAATGGGGTAAAGTGTTGTGTCATGTAGCTGGCAATGAGAGAGAGAGCGGGAAACACACAACAAGATGGCGTAGTTAAGGCAGTATTTAGAGTATAACAGAATAAAGTTGTAAAAGCTACAAATACAAAGAAATAACAATAAAACTAAAAGTAGTTTCACTAACAATACATAAAGATAATGCAGATATGGCAAGATCGACTAGTTCTCCAAAGACGTTCACTCCAGACCAATGAGTTTAATAACTAGAGAAGCAATCCCATACAACAGACGCGCCAAAAAGCGTAGCACTTTTCCGAAATCAGGACGTAGCTTTGCAAATAATATTTATACTATATAATATAAATAGATTTATTATATTTATCTCCCTCATATCTACGATTAAACTTTAAATTAAACAAAGACAGAATATGCGCGAACGACAGAATGAACGGAAAAATGGCTAATTGATATTGTATTGCCAGCTGTCGAAAATTTCACCCATTGTGATGAATGAACGAGTAGTGTAGATTTATGTATAAAATCAATTAGTAAAATACTGTAACTTTGAAAATTTGTTTGCAACTTTGAAAAAAAAACAATTACGAAAGTAGGCTCTGTGCATATATATCCCTTTGTTTTTCGATAAAGTTAGTGGTTAAGACAAAAGCATTTGTCAAAGTTCATAAAACATCAAACAAACTATTTTACGTATTTTCAAAAGTTGTATCTCGACAACGAATTATTCCACGCATTGAAAAAATTAAACTACATTAGCATCTGTGTGCATAAATAAAAAAATTTGCGCAGTTGCCTATACTTAAGCTGAGCTATATAATTAATTATAAAAAGATATTTAGATAAATTATAGCCACGTTAATTAAAAAGAAAAGGTTCCCATATACTTGGGAAAAATGAAAGTGAATAGCAGTGGCAACACTGACGACAAAATGTCGAAATTTTATTTGAAAAAAATTCAATATTTTTATTTTATAACCTAGCTTTAATTTTGTATTTATTGCCAAAAATGTTAATGATTTAAGTGTGAAACTTAATATTCTTTCGTATTATGTGAATTTGTGAAAGAGAATCGAATTTTATCTACTGTTTTTCTTTGTTTTTACGGAGCATTTTTTTTGTACTTTCTTGGCGGGAGTTGAATGAGTAATGAAGTGCAAAACGAAAAAACTAAGACAAACGTCTTAGTTTTAGTAGCTTCAGATTTTTGGTATGTATTGCGTATCTAGACATATAAATATCATTGCTCCAGATGGTTTCTGTACTCATCTACCTCGACCCAAAATACCTGGACAAAACAGATGTTATGCCATTGGGTTAATATCATGTCAATGTCACTTGCATTATAGCCAAGTTCTTTGGCTAGTTCTGAAATTGAGTTGTTCTTACCTTGGCAAAGAATCGTCTCTGGGGATAATCTAGACATCAACTCCAGCACACTATAATTAGTAGGCAATCTTTGTTGAATTTCCGTTGCTAGTTTCACATGAAATTTAATACAGCGACGTTTTATGGCTGATACAGCATCAGGTCTTAATGCTGTTCTTGCACTTTCCGATTTAAAGAGGTATCTTATGAATGGGACTGGGTTAAGGTTTTGTTCCATGTCAATATTTAGAAAATCTTTATCTGTAATGGCTACATTCGGTAACTGTACCCTGTTGCAAACTGATCTTAATAGTGTTATCAACACATTAAATAATTGAAGCGGATTTGAATTTCTTTTTTTTTTTATGGGATAGGGGGCAGACGAGCAGACGGATCACCTGGATGGTAAGTGATTACCGTCGCCCATGGACACCTGCAACACCGGAGGAGCTACAAGCGCGCTGCCGGCCTTAGAGGGAAGGGTTGAGGGGTAGAGGGAAGAGAATAGGGAGGGGTTGGGCCTCCGGTACCCTCACTCACACGACGAAACACAACGCAAGCGTTGCTTCACGTCGGTTTTCTGTGAGGCCGTGGTGTCACTCCGGTCGAGCCGGCCCATTCATGCCGAAAGTCTTTACAGCAATTGGCACATCGTTTAATATACTTTTCAAAAACAGTAAATACAAATAATTCGACTCGTCCTTATACATAGAATATAATCACTCTGAAGTGTAGCATCGATCACAGACTAGCCCGAAATGTAGGGACAGTTCTTTCCATTGTGTAATAATTCTTTGCACTGCTGGTTCAATAGACAACCAGCGTGTGTCACATACCTGTAAAATTTTTAAAGGTGCTTCACTGCAATTAATAGTTTCATAAATTTTTTGGTATTCACTTTTTCGTTTCGTAGAGTGGGCAAACCAATTATATGTTTCCCTAATCAAGAATTCTATGTTTCTTTGTAGCGTCTGTTCTGATGATGAGACACTGCAAGCTGTAAAGAATGGCAAGTTCATCTAATAAGAATTAAATTTGGTACTTATATCAGTTTTCAATATTTTGTACACTCCATTATTTACACCAGTCATGACTGACGCATTGTCTGTTCCCAATCCAACCATTTTACTTTTATCAAGACCATATTTTTGTAAGCAAGAAAGAAGGGATTCTACAATTCCGGCTGCATTGCTGGATTTCAGTGGTTCTAGAGCAAGAAAAGATGAAACACTTTTTAAGTTTTCGACTGAAATACCTGATTACAATACCCAGTTGCTTGCTCGTACTAATATCGGTTGATTCGTCAATGATAAGACTGTATTACTGTCCTCCTATATCCTTTATTAATTCTTCACCGAAATGTGGCGCCAAAACATTCTTAATAACTTCAGTACACTTGGTACGATGCATTTTTAAGTCGTCCGTTGCTTTGGAATCAGAGAAAGTCGATGTTACTAAATCTATTACATTATCAATACAGGAAACTGAACTGTTCTGTAATGTATAGAGCGAGAATTCCTTCAGCTTGGCGAGATTTTGGGTTTGTAAACTTTTCACCAGGCGCGAATTAAATCGTTTTATTGGCGAATATAATTTTCATTTTTTGTTTCAGCATGTCTCCTTAAGTCTACTAATTTTGCTAATAATTCTGCTTTGCGGTCCAAGGAAGCCCACCCGCCCAACCTTGGTGATACAATAAATCAGTACAGAGTAGAAAGTTCATAACTACTATAAACAGATTGAGATTTGGTCATGGTCAGTTTCGTACTCACCTGCATAGACTGAAGATGACAGATGATTCAAAATGCCCTGATTGTAAAGAAAATGAAGATCTGCAACATATCATATTTAAATGTAAACGGTTTGGACTACATCGCTTGATACTTGTTAGCGAACTTGAAGCAATCACCAAGAACATACCATCAACGCTGGAAGAATTATTAAAAGACTACAAATACTTTAAACCGTTATTCAAGTTTGTTGTCAACACAGTAAAAAATATCTGAGTGAGAAGCTCGTGAGAAGAAAGAACAATGAACGAATTTTTAGTCTTGTATTCTGTCAAAAAACTATGTTAAGCTTAAAAGGACTAGTATCCAGAGCCGTAAACACCAACAAAAAAAAATTTTGTCACTTTTGCTCGGTTATTGCTGTCTCCCTTCTGTTAAATCGCCCACCCACCCATATTCTATCCGTACTTAGAAGGTTGGTATCCCTGCTCATTAATTATCTAACCTTAAAATCAGTGCAGTGAATTTCTATTGTGAATAAGAATGGATTATTAATAATCATTGACATGAATTCGCTTATCAAAATCAGTGGATTTTGGAGAAATTATCGGTTGTATTCAGTTTTAAGTGGAAATGTAAATAGACAAAATAAAACTAAGTTTCATCTAACACTTTGTGTCTCTAATCGTTATTTGTTTTGGGAGCGTGATAGAAAAGGTGGATATGATACTTCTCATAAAATTTCCTTACTAGATCATTTGAAAAATGGATTCAAGGAAATCACAATAGAGTCTAAGTTATTGGGCAAAGAAATAAAAGCTTTGATAGAAACGGATCCTCTTCTTGTTGCACGACCAGGTAAAACTTATAAAAATACAATAATCACCATAGTTATTTATGAAAAAATAGTCATATATACATATTCTTTCTTAATTTCACCCACTTTTTCATTTATCTTATTCATGTAAATACTAAACAACAGAAGCAAAGGGGCTGTAGTCCGTACAGCCTTGCTCGTCAATCTGTATTATTATCATAAGATTACAGTATAACCTTAGTGACGTGACGACGCATGCAGAAACGTCCATAGGAAAGAGGTGACCTGTTAGGATGCAAACTGGTCACCTCTTTCAATACACATTCATAACCAATTTTCTTGCGACACATATATTTTTCCCGAAACTACTTTCACACAACTATTTTCGCATAGTTCGTATTCGCGCATAGTAAAGCTTCGATCTTGACGAGCCTGCCTGTTTATCAATTACACGAAAATACTTTCATGTGTGCCAAAATTGCTATATAGAATGTATCTTCGGCTTACATAAAATAAAAATCGCATATGGCTGTAAGGACTTGATTCCTTTGTATTTAACTAAAAAAAAACGGTTCCGCAGGCGTAAAATGTCCGTTGGAAATCTTTGAAAATAATACGTCTGGAGACTTTTGTTTTTATTTGAAGAGTTAAAAATAACACGACTCGTTGAACGAACTAGTCTAGTCTGTCTCGGCGTTTCTTCTATATTGGTATAGTTGCTCATCAGTCACTTTAAGGGCATCCTTATAGGGTGCAGGCGTTGAATGTTTTCGACTACGACTAATTTATCTGAGCAATCTTTGGAAAATAACGATAAAAGCAATTTGAAAAAAATTTATGATAAATTACAAAACTTCATAAAACGTCCTTATAATTTTAGTGAAATAAATAAACCTACATTGTCAGCTCGGAGCATGTCTGCTTCAGACGAGAATACCTTTATTACACCCGTGTCATCCATGGGCGATTTAATGGCAATGTCGCCAAAAAATACGATTAATGTAAAGGAAGAGCCCGATATAACTAGTGATCTACTCACTGGATCCGAATTTGACAGTATTTGTGATGTTACTAGGCAAGAAATTCCCGCTTTTGATGATATGTTCATAGATGCAAGTAGTTTAGATTATTTAGTGAAATGTGCTGAATCTAATCGTCATCATAACATTATTGACAGAGGAAAAGAAAGTCTATTCGTGAAGTTTGATCCATTATATGCAAAAAAATATCAGGAGAGTGCAACTTCAACTCATACGGATTCAACAGCAAATTCCACAGAAGGTGATATTGGTTATGAAACAGGAAGTGCGGTGTCAGCCTTTACTGACAGTCATGTTGCTTCACCAAAACACTCTGTGTCTGTTGGATGTATTCAAACAACATACACAAGAGAAAAGCCCATGCAGGTTGTCCCACCAGTGGTAAGTTTAGAGCAACAAAAATGTAGTTCATCTCAAACACGAGTCACTCCAGCTCTTATTCGTAGTGTCTCTGCTATTTTAACCCCTTCAGAAGTAGCTACAGATAGACTCATCAGTATTGCTGGTAACACTCCTCCTACAGCTGCTCCTCGTAGCCCTCGTTATCACAATTTTAGCATGCAGGAAGTGGATCGTTTACAATCATTGAGAGTCATACTTCAAAAACAAGATCAAGAAGTGCTTCTCCTCAGACAAGATAACAGAGAGTTAAGGTCAGCATTACAAGATGTCGAACATAGACATTCACGGTCAATTGAAGATTTAGAATCAAAATTAAAAAAGATAACTGACGAAAGAGACAATTTATTACAAAGAGAAAATAAACTTGTACAACAATTGAATGAAAAGAACTTAAATAATAGACAAATGAGCATTGTTGTGGAAGAATATGAAAAAACTATATCTTCACTAATTGGAGAACAGCAAAGAGATAAAATCCAACATCAAGAGATTCATGATAAGTTATTATCTGAAAGAGATCAGGCAGTTAACCATCTATCTAGTATGGAAAGTTCATTCAATGACCTTTTGGCTAAATATGAAAAATGTAAGAGCATTGTTCTAGAATTGAAGGACAGGGAGAAAGTTTTTGAACAGAAAATATCAGAATATGAAGAAGGTCTACAAAAATATGAAACTTTATACAATAATCTTAAACAAGTTACATCAGATACCTTAGCTAAAGCTAATGAAACATTAGAAAATAATAAAAAAAGTCATAATCTTGAAGTGACTAAGCTGAATGCTACAATAAAAAAACACGAAATTACTAATGCTTCTCTCCAGGAATCGCTTGCACAGAAAATAAGGGATAATGAAGAATTAACCAGAATCTGTGACCAACTTATAAATGAAGTTCGTTGAACAAATATTTAGTACCCTATAATTATAATGGTGCTTTTTGTTATAAAAATTTAAAGATTATGATTATATAAGGGTCTGAAAATCTTTCTGTGATGAATCTTAAAATTTATTTTAAACTCTTCAACTTATATTTCGACTTGACATAAATGACATTAAAATTATGACTAAATTTACTATTATTATATTTATAAACTCACTTAGTTGATGTCTTATATAGTGTAATATGTTTCTGTAATTATGGTTTTTATTATTTCATTTTGAACATAGTTATTTTAGAAACGTTGTTCACATTTCTGGAATTACATTTTTAGTTTAATATTCTATTTATTTTGAGAATTATAAATACAAAAGTCATGACAATCATTGACTTACTTTTTATGCAGACTTTTATGAATGTGGCCATCCTCTGATAACTAGCTGAAACATACATACAGAACTTCATCATTTTTATTACATACATTGAATATATTGTGAGTAGCCACACCTAACATTGTTATGAAAAAAGTGCCTATTAATTACATTAGTATAACAATTATCTTAAACTTATATTCTCGGTGCTTTCATTTAATGTACTTACCTAGTTTTAGACTATTTTATCAATAAAATCTTTTGTCTTATTTATTTCGTGTACCTATTTATTTCACTTCAATTAATACTTGTTTAAATTATTGAAAGTAGTGCTACACTACCCAGTCAATACTGTGTCTTGCTAGATACGTTTCTATAGTTATATTACTTCCCAGACCAAATAATAAATTGGCAATACCTATTAGATGTATAATCCCAAATATGGCGGTAGAATAAATCATGAATAGAGGCTAAGAAAATTATGTCTGTTTGGCTTCAGGAGCTACTACATATTTTAAAACGAAATTTACCCCTGTATTCAGTAGGGAATCAAATAATTTTGTAGGCTTAATACTGAAATTTGTTGTAAAATAATTATAGTAAAAGTGTAATTTGTAGGAAAAGTATGAATGTAAAGGTGGCTTCTCAATCTAAAGATCCGAATTGAGGAGCCACATGGAAAATGGAAAGTATTTAAAGTTGGAAAGTATGTAAAGGCTTAAATTTATTAAGCCTTTATTTGAATCTTGCATTTTGAAATTAATTCTAGACCGATCAAATTTTGAAATGAGTTCTTTATCCATGTATCCCATCAATCCGTTACGAAATAAGCACAAATAGTAAAGTTACGTAATTTCGGAGTTAAATGAGAGCCTGTGACGCTACTGCTAGAACTCTGTATTTATAATTAATTTAAAAAACTTTTCAGGGTCATCTTTTAATCCCCTATTTGTCATAGAGTCAGGGGGATAGCGGTGATAAATAACCCCATTCTTTTAAAATACAAGTCAAGTCATAAGTAAGGCTTAGATTTATATTCAATATTCTAAGAAGTATGGATTCATAAAATATTGAAATGTTTGACATCCTACGACTATTCACCAGAGCCTAGTGTAGCCATGAAGTGGAAGCTAGAATGAGGAAGTATTTAAAAAAACATTAGTTCCCGAAATCAAACTACAGATCGCTACGGTACGTTCTTGATTTCTCCATGACAACCTTTTCGGTTTTCTTTCATGTTTAAAAGTAAATTAGTTTTCAAAACTCAATAAACAACTCATATTGTATTTGTACTTTTTCGTATTTGTTTTGATATTTCAGTTTTTTATTTAGTTAGTTAAAAGGAAAGGAAATGATTGTTTTTGGTCCATCATAATTATTCCGGTTCTAGGTTCGATTGGAATAGTTGAGCGGTAAAATACTAGTGATTGAGAATACTTGCGAAATTTGTTAATTTTCAGGATGGGCAGGATGTCAAATGTTTCAATGTTTAATGAACTCATGCTACGTGACTTGACGTTTTATAATAATAAAATTCTAAACTGCTATAGCTTAGAAGATATAGCGTGACGCTCCCAGACTGACGTCAACGTTAAGTATTTGCTTTAGCCGTTTATCGCCTCATGTCTATATATGTCTATATATATTTTTTAAAATTTGGTTATAGGGGAGATTGATCTTCTTTGGTGCTTTAACGAGCCAAATGTGTTGGACAAGTTTGTAACAACAAGTGATAGTGATCACAATCAAGGTTACAGCACGTGCAGCTTAGAGATGAGTAGTGCTGGGCGTGCACTGTTCCACGGCAACTTAGACATGAGAGTGCCAAAAGACGGCCGAATTAAAAAAGCCGGCTATGCAGCGATGAGATCTCAAAGAATTAGAGTAGGTGAAAAGTTTTTACTAGGTAATATTTCATAAACGCCAATAATCTTGAGTTTTATGATGTTTGTTACGTATTAAAAAGACCCTTAAACACTAACTAAAAAAAAAATAACCTCTATTCATTTTCCGACTGGTAATTCATAATATCTGTTACTGTAAAGGCGTTCTCCTCATCTAGTGTCCAAGGAAGATCAGCGTCGAGGTATCTTAATTACATCTCGGCACTATGCTGAATGAACACCATTTAGGCCCACTTTGTGTGTTTATTTATTCATTCAATTTATTATTTGTACATTTTGTGCCATCTCTGAGGTCCCGGGTTCGATTCCCGGTCGGGTCAATGTAGAAAATGAACTTTTCTATATTGTCTCGGGTTTGGGTGTTGTGGTACCTTCGTTGTCGCAGATACTCCATAATACGGGGGCTTTAGCTTCTCGCCTTGGAATCCGAGCAATGTATGTGATGTTGTTTAATATATTTATTTAGTCATTCAAAATAAAACAAACATGAGTGATTCTTATATAAAAACTAATGTGAAGGATGAATCTGATGCGAAAGTATGTCTGTTGCCTTTTATTTTGTTTGTTTTTGCCTACTTTTATTTCGAAACCGTGTCATGAATCGTGGAACACATTAAAATAGAATCATCCAATTTGGTGCAGTCGGAACTAGATTTCGGAAGTTATGCGCCTACATACGTTTAGGCGATTCATTTTTATTTATCGATATTTAATGACTCGCCCGGACATTTTTTATTTTTCGATAACTCATTATTTTTATTTTTTTTGATATAGTGTAAAAAGCAATTTTGATCTACATTGCATGTACGTTTGAAAACATGGTCGATAAATATTTATTAAAAACTCTGTTTACTAAATAAACCGAGTTTTTAAATTAAAGATATTATTTGAAACATTTTAATTGAATGACATATATTAGGTAACTTATTAGAATGCCTATTTATCCATGATCTTTGCGTTATGCTTTCCAAACTAACTTTAAATTTTTCTTTGCTTACGTTCACAAGTCAAATAATTCGAAAAACTACAGAGGTTTTGATTATTTGGGTCTATTAAAATTTATTTATTTTTTGTTCTAAAATAATGTGAAATACTTTAAATAGTTTTTTTTAATGAATAAATGTGTTTCATTTGTATAATAATTAGCCTAAAAAACCCGCTAAGTGCGAGTCAACTCATGCACGAAAGGTTCCGTACCGAAAACGAACAAAAAAATCACGTTTGTTGTATGGGAGCCCCTTAAATATTTATTTTACTCTGTATTTTTAGTATTTGTTGTTATAGCGGCAAGAGATCTGTGAAAATCTCAACTGGTTTGCTGTTAGTACCATACGGCTATATCTCACGAACCGTGAACTATTTGATGAAAAATCACGTTTTGTTGTATGGAAGACCCCTTGAATTTTTATTTTATTCTATTGTTCTTGAAGCGGTAACAGAAGTACATAATCCGTGAAAAATTCAACTGTCTAATTTCACGGTTCATCTGATACAGCTTGGTGCCAGACAGACAGACAGCGAAGTCTTTATAATAGGGTTGTCGTTTTACCCTTTGGGTATGGAACCCTAAAAATTAAAGATCTGCCGGAAGTCACTATTCCACGCGGACGAAGTCGCGGGCACTACTATATATTTAAATAAAACTTAAAAGCGGATGAATGAATTCTAGTAAGTGTCACGTTTGAGACTGAGAATTCGTAAATTTACCGGAGCTATATAAACAGCTATCCCTGGGCACTAGGTGCGTCTTATATAAATTTGTTTGTCAGGGCGATAAACAGTTCTGTGTGAAGAGACGTCTAATGAAGTGACCTTTGATCTTTTATAATTTTTACAAATAAATTACCTAATTTTGAAGGTTGTAAATTTTATGGTGGATGTATATGTTCACAAGCCTGATCATCAGGGCTCATATGAGGTTTATTAAGGACATTTTCGAGTTCGCGCAAGCGTTGAGTAAGCGTTTCTAATAAGTGAGAATGTGTTTCGCAGAAAATAATAATTCCGATTGACAGTTAATATTTTTTGAGTAACTGGCTGGCGCGTGAAAAGAGAATGAGTCACAATGTGCCCCACCCATAGCGATGTAACCGAGTGTAGTTTGAACAGCAACGTAGATGAGTTCGGTATACTAGATGGAAATGCTTGTGTAGCTATGTATGAACCGTTCTATAGGCAAACTTTGTTAAAGTTTACATAATAATCGCATCTCAATATAATCTCAACGACTTGCATTTTACCATTGTATTATCTACCCAAAGTCCAATATTATTAGTGCAATGTCTTGCTCACACATCGATTGAGACAGATATATAATAATATTGGGCTTCAGGTAGATAGTACAAGGGCTAAATGCAAGTAGTTGAGATTCTATTGAGATGCGATTATTACATAAACTTTAACATACTTTATCAACTGAAAGTTAAAAAACTGAGACGTGCTTGACTTTTGTAAATTCCGGTTTCTGAAAGGTGTTTTTGATGTATACTGCAGTTACTAATTTTAAAGTAATATCGACATTCAAATCAGTATTCTTAATATATAAATAAATAAGTACTATAAATATTTCATACTCATATTAAACATAAGTTTTGATAGGGTATAAAAAAAGAAATTCTATTTAGTCAAACAAACACACACACACACACACTAACATACACACACCGAGAGAGAGAGAGAGACAGCTGACACACACATACACACAGGCATACAAAAGGGTCAAACTTATAACACCCATCTGTTTTTGTTTTTCGTCTAGGGTTAAAACTCCTTGGGTAATACTGTTTTAAAATAAACGATGGAATACTGTGGATATGGTCATTAATGGATATGGGCAAATAATACATTCTTTATTTTTTATAAAAGCAAACATAACCTTTTTGCCATGCCATGCTAAACAACCTTTCAGAGACCAAAATTATACTAAAAGATAAATTCAAGCCATAGTTCCATAAAGAAAATGTATGGTCCGCAAATCACTGGATTTCCTTACGAAAAAAATTGTTGCGTTATTTTATTAAAGCAAATAAATTCTGCTTAAATAAGTAGTAATAGTAAAAGAATACTTATTAATAAATTTATACTAAAAACATTAAATGACGTAATAAAACAATGGGAACATACCTATAATAACAGCGGGTAATATTGTGTGCCTGAAAGAGAGATAATTGATAAAATATTGTAATGAGAGATTGTTGATAAAAATAACGACAATATATACAGAACTGCTTCTTGTTCTGTAAATATTGTCGTTATTTTCTTGAATCCTTTTACATAAACATCATATTTCTTTCATGTGTAATTTCTTACAGAAATCATTCAAACGTGAAGCTACTTATGACTGGCATTTATACAACACATTAGTATTGAAAGTGAGAGGCGATGGTCGCTCATATTTATTGAATATATCTTGTGAAGGTTACTATGACATAACATGGAACGACATCTACCATTATGTACTCTACACTAGAGGCGGACCATATTGGCAAATTTCTAAGGTAATAAGAATGTTCACTAATTTTGAATTATTGTTCTCATTAAAATAATAAATATAATGTCAATTACATAGTTTATAGAGTTATGGATTTGTAAATTGAGCGTATAACGTGAGATCAGACTCGATGCGTGTAAGGTAGTACAATTATTACCTAGTCTAGTTATAAATTCTGTTACTAGCCCTTTACATACATTTAAAATAAACATTAATTTTAATTCCGAACATTATCTTCTACGATAAAAAGTTGACTTCTTTCCCGCCATTATTGTATGTTTTTTTTTTGTTTAGAAATGATTTGTTTTGAAAATGGAGTGGGGAACTAAAGAGAATAGGATAGCAGTAATTGCACTGTACAAAGTAGGTAAGGAGCCAGCCGACATTTTTGATACATTGAAAAAGCTAGGGATTAGCCGAATGTTTATCTTTTCCTTTCCAGAGAAATGAGAATACCAACGAGGACACTTTCCCGGATTATTAAACAAGACTTGGGGTCTAGGGATTACCGGAGATACACAGGACATACCTTAAATTAGGCACTAAAACAAAATAGAATCGAAAGATCAAAACAGCTGTTACTTCGATACGCTGACGAAAAACACAGAAAAATTCTCTTTACCAATAAAAAAAAATTTCAATCGAGGAGCACTACAATAAGCAAAATGATCGAGTGTATGCACACAGCTCTAAAGAAGCTTCAGAGGTTTTGGCCAAAGTTCAGCGAGGCGATCATCTAGCATACGTCATGGTTTGCTGGGGTGTCTGCTACCAAGGGCTTACAAAACTCCATTTTTGCGAAAAAAGAGTGACAACTTCAGCCAAAGTGTATCAAGATACCGTGTTAGAAGCGGTAGTTAACCTCTCAACAACACTATTCAAAAACGAAGTGTGGATTCAGCCCCGGGTCATAAGGCACGCACTACCCAAATATGGCTTGAGCAAAATGTTCCAGACTTCATAAAGGCTGATGATTGGCCTTCGGCTAGTCGCGACTTAAATCCATTGGACTATAAATTGTGGTCTGTGCTAGAGGACATGGTCTGCTTCAAGTGTCACCCAAATATTGAGTCGCTCAAGAAATCTTTGGAGACAGCAGTGACCAAGTTTCTAATGAAAACCGTTCGTAAATCCATCGAGGAATGACCCGACCGTTTAAAAGCGTGCCTAAAAGCTAAGGGTGGCCACTTTGAATAACTAGTTTATATCTTTTTCACTCTACATAATCACATATAACATTTTAAAATAAAATTATTGTTTAGTAATTATCGGGTATTTTCTTTGTAACAGAACTTATGTATGGCTAGACTAGGTATATTTGATCAATGTTACACCAGTCCCAGTATTTTTTTTTTTAAATCTTTAGCATGCGATCGTCTCTGCTGACGGGTTATGTGCAAATTGTCGGTGAAGGTTTAATCTTCCCGCGAAGAATGCATCTTTTAATCTGCACCAGTTTCATTCAATTAATACCGTTTTCCTGCTATAAAATAAACTTGTATTATATAGAACTTTATTTTCTAGAAATACGTGTGAGTTTCTGCCCAGAAACCAATTAAATTTTCTCAGTAATACCTATACTTAATTTTTCATAATACTTAATCCAGAGGCTGGTTAAGTTTGGCCACCGCCCCTTTTTAGGCCCTGCATACGAATTTACTGTCTTGAAATAGTTTATTGAAATAGATTCAATTAAGTTGTGGTTGTGAGGTTATAAAAAAATATAATTGTTATTGCTAACATCTCTTAGTATCTATTTGAATTTTTAAATATTTTTGAGTGTCTGCCTAATTTTTTCTTAAGAGTAAAAACTTCACATAGAGAAGAGACAGAGTAGACTTCATCGCGTGCTTTGTCCGTTTTGCCCACGCGTTATTTTAAAACCCTAAAGGATAGGAAGAATTTAAAAAAAAATTAGTTCCCCAAATCAAACAAGATGTCGCTGCGGTACGTTCTTGATTTCTCCATGACAACCTTTACGATTTTCTTCGTGTTTAAAAGTAAATTAGTTTTCAAAACTCAATAAACAACTCGTATTGTATTTGTACTTTTTCGTATTTGTATTGATATCTAAGTTTCGCACTTTTCAAATTTCATTTTTTTATTAAGTTAGTCAAAAGGAAAGGAAATGACTCTTTTGGTCCATTCGTTTCCTGCAATAATCAACTTTTGCTAGAGTCGCCATCTAGTGAGGTGCTTTTCAGTGCTTTCTTTTTTTCTTAAAATACTTCCTCAGTCACAGTATAAGAATGACACAGTATAGAAACTAAGCTTATTTGATAAAATAAATACCTACGCTCCATTGAAACCATAGGGTTGTCATTTTGAATGTTTCTTTTACAAAATATAAAAGGAGTTCTGACATTATTAATCAATCGAATTGTAATAACTAATTAAATAACATATGCGAAAACTGGGCAGTTCTGGAAAAATACATATACGCACAGGTCGAAGATAACCTTCATTTTTTGAAGTCGGTTAAAAATCGGTCAATCTCAGCAAAAGACGATAGTTTAACATACGAGAAATAGTTTAATATTGACACAACTTATAAATCTTTGTTTTTATGTTGATCTTTAACTTGACATTACGGCATAACCTTTTACAAGTTTTGACGGACACATAGCCGAAGAGCGGACTCTCTCTTCGGATTGGATTGGATTGGATCGGCGTGGTAGGTAGGCACTGCATTTAGGTGGCGCGCTCATGAGCGGCTGTTTTTGGGTGTTTATCAAGCATTTTCGGGTGGGACCGTACTTCGTTTCAACCCGAAAATATGCATGATACTGAAACGGGTATTTAAAAAAACATCTAAATAAAAAAAAAACTTATTTTTTATTTCACATAAGCCTACTCCTTTCCTTAATCTTTCCTTCATTTTTTAAATAAAAACGATCGCGGAACGTGTAACGTGACCCCTCATCTCGACGCGATACGCGTTACTTAGGTCCACTTAGGCGGCTCGTCGGTGAGCGTGTTTATGTGTGCGTGCGATTTTGAACGCTTGTAGGCAGTTTCACCACTGTCTACTTATATTTACACTGTACCTCAGTGGTTAATCTAACTATTAATCAAAAAACATATTTTTCTGATATTTAACCATTTGTCGAAGATTTTAACAAATGTTTGAGTTAACCACGGATCAAAAGACCGTTACTTATCGGTTTATTAATTTTCAGATACCCTTCTCTAAATTCGTCTTAGGGTCAAAAGGAAGATTACAAGACAAACAGAACAGAATGCGGCCTGATAAAGTGACGCATTTCGGTATATCTTGTGGTGACAAGATTCCTGGCAAATTTAATTTGGAAATAGAATATATTGGTATGTCATTATTACGCCTATAACTATAATAAACAGGAGCTTAAGCGAAGGTCTATTATATATACATATATTAGTCATTACTATTCTATTAAGTATGTGTTATATCTTTTTCAGGATTGGAGTTTGATCCGACACACGAGGAAGAATTCGCATATGAAATGTATAAAACTGATAAATATATTGTTGGTGTTTAGAAACTGAATCATTAAAAATACACTTCTTTCGTAATATAGGATTTACATTTATTAATTCCAATAATCCTTAATAATGAATATCTGGTTTAAATTATTTTTCCATACGAGATATACCTCAGGGATTTTAATAACAGGACATAATGTTATCATAGAAAGATCATAAAAGGATTTCGAAAATTAATTAAAAGAAACATCTGCGGTTAAACAAACAGAGAGACAATCGGACAGGCTACAGAGATTAATGTTATAGTCAACATTAATCTTAATTAACTTTAGTCAACATTTTTAAACTTTGAATTGACATTTAAATTTGTTAATGGAAATCTTTAAGGGGAAAATTGACAAAAATAACAGATATATGGAGTCTATCTCTCAGAGAGACACTAAAAATAGAATAGTGATCAGAGATACAATAAAAGATAAGTAAAAAGAAAAACGCATTTAAATATGTATAATTATTTAATTAATGGTAAATTATGGTACAAAAACATTCAAATTTTATATTTTTGAATGTAATATAATGAGATTTTGCTTTAATTTAAGTAATAAGTATTTTTGGCGTCATTTTGTAAAAAGGGTTTTTAGGACTTAAAAAATATATTTCGTTTTGCAAACTAATTTACTTTTCTAAACTATGTCTTAAAATAATAACTATACTAAATAAAAAAATGTCTCCCAGATCATTGCCTACAGCTAAGGTACCCAGAAGGCTGCGAGCGTTTTATCTTTGAATAGCTAAACTAATTTAAGAGTTAAAAAAGAAACTTTTTGACAGGTCAGGTGATCAGAAGGCTGGTTTGTAAAATTATAAAAATATAAATTTTGGAGATTATACTAAATAAAATTAAATATTTTTTGTCATTTTATCTGAGACGAAAACACCTTGTAATCTTTGATGAAAACTAATAGGGAAGATACAAGCGGTTTATTAATGGAAACTTCAAATTTGGTGAATCTTGATGAAATTGAATGGTGAATGTCAAATGTTGTATTTACAGACGAAACTTAGCTCAATGCGAATCATTCGCTGGCAAAAAGTTGGACTGACGACACTGCTGCCTCCACGTCCGCAGTACCAATGGCGAAAAGTTAAACTTCGAGTTGAATTTCAACTCGATATTAATCTGAGTTATCAGATCCATGACATTTAGATCCTACAATTTGTGCTGCCATCTAGTGACATAAAGAATCATGTCCAATTTTGACCTAGAAATAAACTGACGCGTCTAGTGATGAGATATATCTCAAAACTAGTGACCGCCAGCTACTTCGTCCGCGTTTTCCATTATTTCTTCGCTCCTAATAGTTGCAGCGTGATGTTATATAGCTTAAAGCCTTCCTCGATAAATGGTCTATTCAACACAAATATATTTTTTCAATTCGAACCAGTCGTTTCTGAGATTAGCGCGTTCAAACAAACTCTTCAGCTTTATAATATTAATATAGATATAGCTTATTTTTTACGTATTTCATAGTCCATAATAAAATATTAAAATAAGACTAGGAAAAAATAAGGGGGCCGATAAAGTTTAAAAAAAGTTCTATGTTAAATACGAGAACGCGATTCGGACCGCAGAATGACCGTTTCCGATTCGTTTCATCTACTACGAGAAATATATTAATTCGTCTTAAGGTTAAAAAAGTGCACAATAACGATTACATCTAATTTTATTACCTCAACTGAGAATAATATTTTATAAAACTTATTTTAATGGTATGAATGATATGAAAAATGAACGTAGAGTTGAACCAGTTACGCATAGAACGAAATTCTTTTGCATCAAACGGAACGGCATATCTCAAGGCGCCAGTATTATTTTTATATTTTGATTATAAATGGTGTTAATGGACGAGAAGGCATTAAAGAGTATTGTTGCAATTACCTTGTATGACGTCGTAATGTCACGGTCCGGGCCCACCTGGGACTTATTTTAAGATACCAGGTGCCGGACCAAGAGAGAGGGTAGTACGGGGGGTTTTTCACGGTATGCCCACTGCATTGGACCGCCGTCTCTTGCAGTGGGAGAGCCCGGGTTCAGTCGGCCTTTCACCCGGTCGATGGTGTTAAGGTCAGTTCCCCTCGGTATAAAAAAAAAGAAATGGACGTCGTAATGTAGGTTGTTGTGCACATGTTATGACGATTGTGTGGTATCTGGGTTGGGCTAGGCAGCCAGGCACCTAACATTAATCCTCCAGCTGCATTTTTGGTTGAAGTAGTTCTAAGAAAAGAAAGTGGTAGTGAATAAATAATTTTATAACAAACTGTTTTTATTTCTATATTATAATATAATCTAAAACTGAAAACGACATTATGTAATCGATTTTAGTATTCCAATTATACTTTAGTCAAATAAATAGTAGCAAAGCAAAGAAATAAAAAATGATTCGAAAAAAACACAACAGCATTTTTTTGGACTATATTACATTAGAATAATACTTTAAAGCTGTGTGAGATTTGAAAATCATAAAATATTACAATACATTTGTAATATTTTATGATTTTCAAATCTCACTTTAATGGTATGAATTAAAGTAATGCAATTAAATAAAACCAAAATCCGCAATTATTTCGAGTTTTAACAGTTCTTATAACCTCAATATATTATTTACAAATTACACTTTCCCAGTATTTGAGTACCCCGGTACCTGCCAGGTATTCGAGTCTGTACCTAGGAAAATTATCATTACTACCACGGTAGTAGAAATAATAATTTTCTAAATTTGAAACTAGAAAGTTTGATTTAAACTTGCTGCAAGTTGCTGCAGTTGTCATGGCAAACTTGAAGCAAGTCTTCTTTTTTGACGTATCAAACATGTTGCAAGTCAGAAACAAGTTTAAATTGCTATCTGGGGAAAGTCTTTATTGCACAACAAGAAGATTAAACGAAGATACATATATATTTTTCATACATAACATTCAGAACTATGTACTAAAGAAAAAACTTAGCGCTAGCCAGCGATTTCTTTCGGGAAACCTAGTATTGGATAGATAAACATAACAAAAAATAATAGATTGCGCATACAACTAGACAGATGAACAAATAACATTTTAAAAGGATCAAAATCGTAAGTATCATTAATACGAGTATACCTAATATACGATAAAAATGATCAGACACATGAGCAGAGAAAGAGAAGTGAGAAAAAGTAGAAAAATAACTATAGTAAAGGCCGTTCATAGTGTGGATGACCAAAACATTATTATCTTGAGCTGATCCGTGCTTTGGAATGCAAATTAAGTCGTTGGTCCCGGCTGCATCAGTAGTCGTTAACACCCACCAATTCGCATTGGGTCAGCGTAGTGCGTTACGGACCATTGGTCCAACTCTATTCGATCCCAACCATAGGAAAAGAACAATTCTGATATAGTTTCCCACGCAGACGAAGTCGTGGGTACAGCTAGTTTTCAATATATTTTTAATGTTGTCAAATACCCTATTGTGGTTATAACAAAATTATAAAATTATTACAAACACACACTAATGTGTGTTGATGGTAAAATTATAACAAACACACACATTAGTGTGTGTTTGTTATAATTTTACCATCAGGAGAGTTTCTTTCTGCTGTCTGAACTAGATAGATCAAGAAGTTATTTCAAAATTGCGGAAGTTAACACACTTTTCGTGCAACATGGAAATAAAAGAATATTTCTGTGCTGCACGCCATCGAAACCATATTGAAACAAATATGAACTGACGTATTGTGGATCCAATGACTTATCCAATCTCGTGAGCCTACATGTAGGTCACTGAAATTAAATATAAGACTCGTTCTTTAAACAAATAACCAAAAAGAAATACTTATTCAAGTTTACCCTGCTTAAGTGGCACGAATTTGCTCGGTGGTCTCTTAGTCTACCACTCAGTGAGAGTTTCGATAAAGAATACGCCTCTGGGGTTGTAAATAACATTTAGGAACCGTAAGATTGAAGGTTGGTGTTCCTATTGTGGCGATGGAGACAACTAGCCAGGGAGACTAAAGGATAATTGTCTCCCTCCGAGCGATGGAGACAACTGGCCAGGGAGACTAAAGGATAATTGTCTCCCTCCGAGCTAGGTGTTGTTAGCCCGGGGACCGCGGTCCAACCGATGTAGGTTGGACGTTCTATTTATGTTAATTGGTAATTAAACTTATTCTGTGTGATGTAGGTTTCTTTGTTCTAAATGTCTTGTAGTTATTAATTTATGCTGTTTGTATTGGTGCAGCGCCATCTCGTTACTTGCTCTTGAAACTTATTGCAGTTCGTCTTGCTATCGATGGCTGTGACGATGCTAGTCTTCTCGCTATCGATTGTTGTGGCGATGTTACTGCGATGAATTAGATGTCGCTATGTATCAGTCGCCACACCACTATTGTGTAAATTTCTCAGCAATTCTACAACTTTCGGTTAACTGAAAACTCCAAGGTGCTTATGCATATATTATTATGTTAGTCTTGTAAGCATTCCAGTTTATTGAGTTAGTTTTTGGTTCTATTATATATAGTAGAGTTTCCCAAACATTCTTTTCTCGTAAACCATTTTAAAAAATTTACTGGTTTCGGTGGACATGTATGGTGGAGGTGGAAGTGAAGTGCTGCTACATTTTTACCATATTCCCAAAATTCGTCCAAATTCGTCTAACGATGGAAATTGTTTTTATTTCATGCCAACGTAGACCCCCGTTGAATCCCTCGTGGACCCTGGGGGTCCACCTGGACCATTTCGGGAATCACTGATATAAAACAAAGTACCCTATGAATAAAACCGAAGGTTACTTTAATTCTTTTTGCTAGAGATGGGACTTTGAGAGATTTGCCGTCGACGAAACGAAGCCGTTCTTGGACCTTGATCGATTAGTCGATCAAATAGTTAATTTTAACCACAGTTAACGTATGAAACTACGTCAACGCTACGAACTTTGGGCGTAGTTACGGTTTGAATGGTTTAATCAAACCGTATATCAATCGGTGATGGTTTTTCTCGTGTTAACGTAGGAATACGTATTGTTAAATAGGTTATGATTTTATTTTGTATATATGTGGTTATGATGGTAAAAATTAACAGTTCATGAATTTTTATTCTCAAAAGATAGCGCTATTATTCTAATTAGTTTTTTAGGGTTTCGTAATCTAAGGGTAACCGTCTGTCACATAGATACTGGGTCTGTCACCAGGCTGTATCTCAAGAACCTTGATAGATGTATAGTTAAAATTTTCACATAAGATACATTCCTGTCACCAATATTATATATTAGTATTTGTTCACTAACAAATAGAATAATATTTGCTTTTATTTAATAAAATAATGAAATATTAACAGAAGATATAGCTATAAAGGGATTCACTTTAAAAATAAATAATTCAATTTAAATAAAACAAATACTCAAATTGTCTCCCATACATTTGTATGGGAGACATTTTGTATTGACATTATGGGAGACATTTTACATTGTATTTACAAAAAACTTGATTTTTTGCCGTTTTATACATAATGGTACGGGACTCTTCGCGCGGAGTCCAATTCTCACGTAAGTAGCCGTTTTTTAAACATACAGTAAAAAAATATTATTAAAATGTTCTATAATATGATTATTAATTTAATTAATTAATCATCTTAAAACTTAATGAATCATCTTATAATTCGTATAATCATATAAATCTTATAAGGGAAGCTTTATTATAATAGAAATAGTTAACTCATAGGGCGCTTGTGCACTACACTGAATTTTCAGGTCCGGCGGTCCGATTTTTTCCGGTCCGGAATGACATGAAAAACCCGGATGAGTAGCTTGTGCACTTGGTCGTTTTTTTCCAGATCGAAGCGGCGCAGTGTAGGGCAGCTCTCTTTGAAGCTACACCTCACTTATGCTAGGTACGATGAAATTTTTGGAACGTCGATAATTGGTAGCTTTGTTACTCTACGTGCGAAGACGTAGAAGACAGTGAAAGGTACATAAATAATGACTTGACAGGGTCATTTTACATAAACCAAAATAAATTGAGGCAAGACGAAAGCATTTTTTTACTACTATCGGATGACTACTATCAGATGTAAAAAATTATACTAATTTAGGAATAGCATTATTCACATACAATAACTAAAAATATCTGTGAAATTAGAATAAAATTACTGATAATGTTCTAGTACTTGATGTTTAAATTTATAATCGTGCTATTTTTATGCTATTTAAATCAACTTCAAGCGATGACAGAGATAGACCAATCGTTGGCGCCATTTCGTAAACAAATCGAAATAGTGCCGTGTAAGCGGAGAATTAATATGCTAAATGAACTGTACGATGGCAATTAAATCAGCCTTCCTATTGTAAGTTTTAAATTTCATGATTTAACTACAATCATTGTAAAATCAGTTGACTGCATTATATACATACTAACTAGCTTTTATTTTATACGCGTGGTATAGTTTCTTAGAGCAGAATTATTTTTCTTTTAGAATATTTCTGTTATCAAATATTTATTTATACTTATCTTATCAATTGCCTAAAAACAAATTTTGATATTGACAAATTTCCATGCAAACTTCCATCGACTATTTCCATCTCTTTTTCGCGTTAAATGGTAGCCTATGTCCTTTTTCAAGGTTAAGTCTATTTCTGTATCAATTGTATCAAGCGCGCATTACCTACATATGGCCTGACATATCAGACCTGAAAAAATCGTACCGCCGTACATGAAAATTCAGTGTAGTGCACAAGCTTGTTTGCGCTTGTGCACTGCTGTGTCCGCGATCCGTAAAATTCGTGAGGAATAGGCTTGGGAAAAAATAATCGATTTGTGTATAATCGATATTTATTTCGGTGATATTGTTAATTTCCAATAATCTTATAATTGATATTAATTGTAGATTTTAAAACGCTATATTTTATATAATGATTTAATATATAGTTGGTAAATATCACTACATATGCTTTGGCAAACTCGGTATAGTTCTCATTTGATCAGCGTATGGTTCTAGTATCGATACTTAGCTAGATTTTAGAATCGTATTAAAAGTATCGATAACTTAAGGTAAGATAAATAAGTGTTGTTACGCTTAGATGCCTAAACAACTGAACCCATCTAAATGGAAATTAATATAGTAAATAGACTCAACTTTAAGAAAGGACATAGAAAGACTACATTTTATCGCCTACGTTATATATTAAAAATAGGGGATGAAAGTTTGCCTGGAAATTTGTCATTATCAAAATTTTTTTAGACAATTAATAAGTATAGATAAATATTTGATAACAGAAGTAATAATAAAGAATAAACAGAAGTAATTAAGTGACACTCAATGTCTTTTTCGAATTTAATAAAATTTGAAATAACTGTTTATGTCATAAATAAATTTAAAAAAAAAGAAGTATCCTAAGGGAAAAATATTTCTGCTAAAAGAAACTACACCACGCGTATAAAATTATGCCTATATATAATACAGTCAACTGATCTCGTAAAGTTCATTTAGCATCTTAATTCTCCGCTTACACGGGACTAATTTCGATTTGTTTACGAAATGGCGCCACCGATTGGTCTATCTTTGTAATCGCTTAAAGTTGTTGTAAAAAAAATAGCACGTTTATAAATTTAAACATCAAGTACTAGACCATTATCAGTAATTTTATTCTAATGTCACAGATATTTTTAGCTATTTTATGTGAATAATGCTCTTCCTTAATTAGTAAGGGTATAAGTTTTTACATCTGATAGTAGTCATCCGATAGTAGTAAAAAAAATTCTTTCGTCTTGCCATAATTTATTATGGTTTATGTAAAATGATCAGGTAATTATTTAGGTACCTTTCTACGTCTTCGAACGCAATTACCGATGTACCTAAAATCTCATCGTACCTAGCGTAAGTGACGTATAGCTTCAAAGAGAGCTGTCCTACACTGCGCCGCTCCGATCAGGAAAAAACCGGACAAGTGCACAAGCTACTCATCCGGGTATTCATGTCATTCCGGACCGGAAAAAATCAGACCACTGGACCTGAAAATTCAGTGTAGTGCACAAGCGCCCTAAGAGTATAAGTTTTTATATCTGATAGTAGTCATCCGATAGTAGTAAAAAAATGCTTTCGTCTTGCCTCAATTTATTAAGGTTTATGTAAAAATATAATATGTTCTACGTCTTCGAACGCAATTACCGACGTTCTAAAAATCTCATCCTACCTAGCGTAAGTGACGTGTAGCTTCAAAGAGAGTTGCCCTACACTGCGCCGCTACGATCAGGAAAAAAACGGACAAGTGCACAAGCTACTCATCCGGGTTTTTCATGTCATTCCGGACCGGAACAAATCGGACCGCCGGACCTGAAAATTCAGTGTAGTGCACAAGCGCCCTTAGGGTATAAGTTTTTACATCTGATAGTAGTCATCCGATAGAAGTAAAAAAATTGCTTTCGTCTTGCCTCCATTAATTAAGGTTTATGTAAATGTATAACATGTTCTACGTCTTCGAACGCCATCACCGACGTTCCAAAAATCTCATCGTACCTAGCGTAAGTGACGTGTAGCTTTAAAGAGAGCTGCCCTACACTGCGCCGCTCCGATCAGGAAAAAAAACGGACAACTGCACAAGCTACTCATCCGGGTTTTTCATGTCATTCCAGACCGGACAAAATCGGACCGCCGGACCTTAAAATTCAGTATAGTGCACAAGCACCCATACTAAGTAGTAAAATTCTTAACACCGCCATGTCAAAAATCGTGTAACACCATCTATCAAGGACTAACGTAATCAACAATCAAGTTTAACATTTATTTAGACAGGGACTATGTATTAGACACGCGTGTTCAAATATTTACTTACTTTGTTTGACTTTAGAGAGATTTTAGAGTTTAAATTATTTCAGCTGTCAAAGTTACATCGAATCTTTATAAATGGAAAACAACCGAATACCATTGTATTATACAGATAAAGTTAAGCGTTGCAGTTTCGTAACATGTTGATAGAAGAACGGGACGTTCTTCGTTTAGGCGTCGACTTTTTAACTAGTTGATCAAAGAACTGTTGACTGTCGACGCGTTGATTCTACGTCAGCGGTTGATTTAACTGGTCATCGCTACTTTATGCTTTTAATACTTTACTCTCTGTTCTATAGTAGTCCGTGATGTCATCGTCTCACCATTAATATGTCTTTGTATCAGAGTAATTTTTTTTATCCAACAAAGTAAAATTCTAATAGAATCTGTATTTTTAAATTGCACACTACTATAATAATTGATAGTCAATATCATATATTATTTAGGAAAATAAATAATCTTAATACAGGTATAATCCTGACCATATGATAATAATAGGTGGTTCGAGGACATTAAGGTAAGTTACATTTCCTAATTTGTACGTAACATTTCTTTTTGTTCTAATCAAGTAATGGCACCGTGCGTGGGCCTATGAATTTCATTAGATACATTTCATTTAGTTATTTACAATTATTTGTTTGATTTCCCTTAGGCAGCACCATGTATTCACTGTTGAATCTAAAATTTTAATTTCATGAATAGTGACAACTGTGGACATTACCATGTCAGGTGTCGAACAGAATATAACGAACTCAATGCAACAATTATCTATGCAACCTAGTAACAGTGGACCTACAGAAAAACCCACTCAAGTAGTGACACCAGCTATTAAACCATCAGCAGTTATAAAATCAACTCCTGTGAAATCTAACACAGTGTCTCCTGCTATTGCTACAATAGATCGTTTATTGAGCCTAGGTGCAAATATACCACCACCTCCACCACCTCCAGTAATTACAAGATCTTCAGACATGGATCCTCACACAGTTGAACAACTAAGAGCAGTGAAGGAACTATTAACAGCTCAAGAGGAGGAAGCTCAAAACTTAAGAGATCTGAATCGTGAATTAAGAGAACGTTTAGAGGAATGTGAGACTAAAATAAAAAAGCTGACTGACCAAAATGATGAATATGCAGAAAAAGAAAAGGTACTTTCACAGAGAGTTGCTGAAAAGGTAAGAAATAACAAACAGATGAGTGTGGTTATGGAAGAATACGAACGGACTATATCATCTTTAATTGGTGAACGAGAGACAGAAGCAAAGAGATGGACAGAAGAAAGAACAACTTTGATAAGAGAGAGAGATGAAGCTGCTGCTCATTTAGCTTCAATGGAACATGCTTTCAATGATGTCCATACTAAATATGAGAGGTGCAAAGTTATTATACAAGGATATAAAAGCAATGAAGAAACTTTGAAGAGAACAGTAGAGGAAAACAATGATGCAATTCAAAAACTTGAAGCTCGTTATGAGACACTAAGACAACATGCAATGCAACAGCTTAACAAAGCCAATGCTGAACTCGATTCTGTTAAGAAAGTCCATCAAGCTGAAATTCTCAAGTTAAATGCAATGCTAAAAAAGAGTGAAGTGCATGCATCCTCATTGCAAGAATCATTAGCACAGAAAATAAAAGATAATGAAGAACTTACAGCTATATGTGATGAACTAATCAACAAGGTTGGTTAAAAGTTCTTCACTCATTTCTCTTTTATATTTTTATTAAAATAAATGATTATTTAGCATTGTTTAAAATAATGTAATATATGTTAACATAATAACATTGTAATTATTGATAAATAACAAGCAGTTAATCTGTTACCATTGCAAATTGTATTTTAATTATTTTGTAAAACCATTTGTGCAATCAACCATGTCATCATTTTTGTTTATGTATATGATTTAGAATAAGATTTTATCACACTGTGACATTGTTGTTTATGAGGCCTATTAGGTTTGAATTCCAAATGAAACTGTATATTATTATTAATTATTTGAGTTGATGTCAATTTAAGATGAAAATAGAAAATGAAAACATTGCTATGTTAAAATCTATACCTATACATGTTTACAGACCTGTTTGATATCCAGAATAAATTGAATATTTTATAAAAAATGTATTCAAAATCAAATTCACTGGTTTTATATGGATATTCATTATTTCCTATTGTATGTACACTAGCTGCCATATTTAATTTGAATCCTTTTGTATAAATAAATCATAAGTATTATTCTATTTAATTGTTATGATGTGCTTAATGTAGATTTATTCATTAATATAATGTCCCTTAGTGCTAGAATAACAATATTTATAAATTATGTAGTATCATATCAAAAATTACTTCTCTATGCTTTTTCTAGTCCTTACACAATTTTATTTTGTGACATAATATAAAAATGTGAAAGATTTAGTGGACTAATCCTAACCTGTAAAGAATGTGAAAAACTCTCAAGCTTTATAGATATTAAAGCCAGTTATAGATTAAAAAATAGCATGTCTTAAAATAAATGCTTTTCTCCTTTCAATTCAACTGATTATGCTTTTCTTTAGATTAGCAGAAATGAGATAATATACCAAAAATTTAAATGGTACCCTAAATAGGTAATTTTTATATAAAATAATAATTGGTATAGAGTTTAATTTAATAACGTGTGCCTTTCAGATTCATATTTCCATTATTCAACCAGTCTTATAACTAACAATCAATGTTAATGTTAATCCTTATTAAATATTATGATGTTTGTACTTGCCTACTTTTAGAGGAAAACATCTTATAAAGTAGGAAGCAAAAGTGGAATAAAATTAATACAACTAATTAATTTTACTAAAACTTAAAAATATCGAAAATTCAACATTCCACAATGTTATTTTTATATGCATTTTGTTTAAAAACCGGTTTGCAATAATGAAATGTGCAAAAAGTAAAGTCCAACTTATTATTTTGCTTTATACGTTGAGATTGGAATGCTATGATTATCTTTTATACTATTATATTTTTGTTAGTTTAAGTATAATTTGTAATTTTATTACATTTTTTTTATAAAATTGTATAATTTTCACATAAATTTTTCTCAATTTATTCATGTGTATAAAACATAATAAATTGATTCCATTTGTAAAATAATTGTTATCATTTTATGCAATGCATGTTAAATGTTCAGGCAGTGTTTTTACAAGCAAAATGTAACTGTAAACCAAGGAGGCTATGGTTAATTTGTCGTTAGGTTTCAACATTTCAATTCCTAAGCTCTTAGCACATATTATTTGAACAATCTTTAAGAGAATGCAAGTTTCCATCTCTTTGGAAACGAGCAAATATACTTCCCATACATATCTATTCCCATAAAATAGAAAACTATCGTCCGATATCTATTTTAAATACCTTGGCCAAAGTATTTGAGAAGATCGTTCTTAAAGTTATGTATCCTTTTATAGCTCGCAATATTCCTAATACCCAGCACGGTTTCCTTCGCGGACGTTCAACAAACACCAATCTCGCGTGGTTTACTCAATTAATTTTATATAATTAAATAATAAGGAAAAGGGTGGACAGGTCGACATGGTCTACACGGATTTCGAAAAAGCGTTCGACCGTGTGAATCACGTCATTCTTTTGAGCAAGCTAGAAAGACTAGGAATTCACGGTAGTTTGCTAAGATGGGTGGATTCATACCTGAGAAACCGTTCCCAGGCTGTCGTGTTGGGTGGTTACAGATCAGACTACATATCTATTCCGTCAGGAATCCCGCAGGGATCCCATTTTGGTCCTCTTTTCTGGAACTCTTATATTTATGACATTGACTCTCACATAGGCTCTTCTAAGCATCTGCTGTATGCAGATGACAAGAAAGTGTTTATCCCTGTACGGTCTAGAGCTGAATGCGAGATATTACAGCAAGACTTAGATAATCTGTACAGTTACTATAAAAAAAACGTCTCCGTCAGTCTTCGGAAATGTCAATGTATAAGTTTTACTAAGAGGAGGAGTCCATTTTTATACCCTTTTAAATTTAACGGCATCATTTTGGAAAGAGTTACCGCTGTGAGGGACCTGGGAGTGTTACTCGACGCGAAGATGACTATGAATATTCACATTGATAGTATCGTCAATCGGCCATATCGCGCCTTGGGATTTGTGGTGCGCACATGCTCCTTTTTTGAGAGTGAAATAAGTTTTAAAATAATTTTCAATGCATATGTAAGAAGTATACTTGAATATGCTTCTGTGATTTGGAAGTGGAACCCATATTACGAAGTACAAATAAGTAAAATTGAAAAGATTAAAAAAAAATCTCTTATCACTTAAATTACAAGTTCCGCCACACGTTTGATAATTATTAAGAAAATACAACCTTGATTCACTCTCAAACCGACGCATAATAATGGATATGACGTTCTTATATGACATCAGTAATGGTCATGTTGATTGTCCTGATTTACTCGCAGGTTTGTCTTTGTGCGTACCATCCCGTAGAACTCGCAAGTCATCCACTTTCTGCACGCTGTTCCATTCTACAAACTATGGTAAAAATTGTGTTCTTACCCGCGTTATGGATATTTACAACCGACAGTTTTGTGATATCTATCTTTTTGTTGGCTCGAAACTTAACTTCAAACGAAAAGTAATGAACACTTTCAAATAGAAATATAGACTATGTATTGATAAATGTATGTATGTTAATATTTATTTATCTATTTATTATAACCTTTTATCTTATTTACTTTTAATATTCAATATTTTATTTTATTATTATTAATGTAAATTGACTCTTACTCATATTCCAAATTTTTGTAATTTTAAACGTGAGTTAGGTGTCTGAATGGCATTGTGATATATGTAGAGAAATAATTATAATTATATGCTTGATAATGTTAGCTTATTAAATCGAGGATGGCTATTATCGTCTCATCAATTGCTGTAATACAATAATTGTAGTAATTAGCTATAAGCTGTTGCCAACCCGAATAAAATAAATAAAAAATAAATTGCCCATCTCGTTTATAAAATGTCCAAATCTGACACTGATAATCCAACTTGTCTTCTGACCTGAACAAAGTATTCTACATATACTACGTGTGTCAGGTTGGCAGCGCCATCCTTTTAGATGAATTCTTGATTCATATAATCCTTTATTTATCAGTCTTTACGATATAGGGTAGAGTATCTTTTACTCCGTTATTTATAAAATTTGAGACATAAAGGCGTTAAATGGCTAAGTAAATAGTTTTAGAGATCATTTAAAAAAATATATGTTGCTGCTGGGCTGACGCCAGTCTTAACAGCATACCACAGACGTCAGTACACGTTTTGGGAAGCTTATTTTTTTATTAATATCCAGTCATCTTAGCACAAGTTCATAAATTATTGAAACATTACATTCTGCGAAAAGTCACCACTCATAGGTACCATGAAGTAGAGTAAATTAGTTAAATGATCTCAACAACCACATTCACAGAACAGATAAAAAGGTTAGAATAATAAAGTACTAACATTAGTACTAGGACCGCGCATGCCACATATCAAACAGACATAAAACTTCACCTATTCAGCTCACAAAGAGAGCGATGCTACCATTGGCTACAAAAGTTTCACCAAAATTAGTGTTTACTAGCCTATTAATACAGGTGATTTTACAGTAATACACAAAATGTATGGCTAGCTATAATAAAAATCTGCACAATTACTTTTGTTAGTTCTAAATATATTTTGTGCGCGGATATTAAATTAGTTAATGTGCAAACATTTGAAATACGAGGGTCAAACTGAAAGTTCTTAGAACTGGCCACTTATAAACAATATAATAAAAAAATAATTCTAAAATTTGAAAATATAACTCTTTGCCAATATTACTGAGTATATATTTCATTCATTTGTCATTTGTTTTACGATTTGGCGGCAAATTGAAAATTGTCTGTGTCACGTCATCATGAATTTAACACGAGAAAATTTTCGTGCAATGATTTTTTATGACTTTCGATGTCATTTAAGTCAACAAGAAAGTTATGATAGACTACGATTGGCCTTTCACGATGAAGCCCCATCTCGTGCGACTGTTTACAACTGGTTTAATGAGTTTAAACGTGGTCGCACTAATCTCACTGATGATTTACGTGAGGGACGGCCTTCTACGGCGACGACTGAAGATAACATCTGTGTTGTGCGGCGTATGATAGAGACTGACAAAAGAGTGACCTATCAACAGATTCGGACAAGCTTAGGCATCGGTATGAGTCAAGTGCACAAAATCCTCCACGAACATTTAGCGGTCAGGAAGCTTTGCGCCCGGTGGATACCTCATAATTTGACTGAGGCTCAAAAACTCCATCGTGTGGATTGGTGTCGTAAAAAGATTGAAAGATTTAACGGAGGTGACTCAAATGCTGTGTTCGACATACTAACAGGTGACGAAAGCTGGATTTACTGTTATGATCCTAAAACCAAAAGACAATCTGCTCAGTGGGTGTTTCCTTTCGAGGAGTTGCCAACTAAAGTGAAGAGAGATCGAAGTGCGGGAAAAAAAATGGTGGCCTCGTTCTTTGGAAGGATAGGTCATTTTGCAACAATTGTGTTAGAGGATCAAAAAACAGTTTCTGCAGAATGGTACACTACCAATTGTTTGCCACTTGTCTTGGAAAAAGTTCGAGAGAAACGACCTCGCAGTAGGATCCTCCTTCACCACGACAACGCCTCGTCGCACACCGCCAAGCGAACGATCGACTATTTGGCGACATCAAACGTTGAATTACTGGGTCACCCGCCGTATAGCCCCGACCTCGCGCCTTGTGATTTTTATTTATTTCCAAAAATTAAAGAAAAACTTAAAGGAAAGCGGTTTATGAATGCTGAAGAAGCGGTGGCTGCGTATCGCGATGCCATTGAAGAGACCCCTAAGGACGAGTGGGCAAAGTGCTTTTCCCAGTGGTTCCATCGCATGCAGCGGTGTATTGACGTGAATGGACAATATTTTGAAAAGATATAATAAAACTAATAACTGGCTAATGTAATCAGTTTTTGATTTTCTAAGAACTTTCAGTTTGACCCTCGTACATGCTTCAAAACATAAAAATAAACGACGTATCTGCATTAAAACAATTTTTCAAAATATAATGCAAAGAATTTTACGCTTCTGTCAACACTGAAATAGTGAAGTGCCCTGTGATTCACAATTTGATATCGATAATCAGAAAATCATTAATATATTTGGTTAATATAATAAAATAATTTATTAATTTATCTGTCACGAAAAAAAAAACCCAATGAAAATAAATACTATATGTATGTAATCACTTCACAATGTATGTAATCAACCCTCACTTGAAACGGCTCGATCAATTAGACCAATTCCTTTCTTGCTAAAGTAGTAATGTACTGCGATTTTTGACAGCTTTAATCTGAAAAAGATAGAACGGAGTTACATATCAAGGGCAGGTGACAGTAATGACAATTTGGCCCTTTGGGGGCTAGATATTTATAATTTTAATTAGCTTTTTTTTGTATTATAAATTCATAGTTTTATTTTTTGATACCTAGTTATTTTTTTTTTTTGTATATTTAATCATAATTATTATTTTTACTAACTTTGTATTATATGAAGCACAATATATTAAGAATGGAAAATAATAACTAAGAAGTCTCATTGAAACTATATTTCAATAATATCCCAATATAACATTTAATTTGACAATACAATCAGAAAATTAGATGTAATACATAATATTTCATTCCAAATATGTAAGTAATTTATCATATTATTTTATGTATCATTTTATAAAATCATTTTCAGAAAAATGTGTTGAACAAATGCAACTAGTTTTAGAAGGAAACCATTGTCCATTTTTACCACTTGCGTCAATCCACTTTTCTTTTATGTCGGGGTTTCTAGGAAAACTTGAACATACATAATCTTTAAAAAAATACTGTTAAATATTTATCTTAATAAAAGTTTGCTGTAAATTTGTAAATTCATTACCATTCAAAATATATGGGTTAACTTCTATCGATAACATTTTATCAATATCTGCAAGCACTATGTTAATAACTGACACAATCTCCCGAAAAAAGAATTGTGATTATATCTCGATATACTGTTTTATAACCAATATTTTTTACTTACCGATGAAATGAAATTTCTCCTTTTTTCAGACTAATATTTTCACTACGCAAACAACACGTAGGATAACGGCATAATTCGGCATATTTTCGTATTTTGCGACGCACCATAGACCACTTTGACATTGTGCAAATACTAAATTGGAAATTTGAATAACGTGACGTTCATATGACCGTTTAGGCATATGGATGGTCGCACGACCCCGCCCACTTAATCTTTCTACCTTTTTATATTTTCTGTGACCACATTGTTTTACTGCTCTGACTATTCTAATTGAATGTTCTAGTTTCATATTATTGTTACGATATACTGTTTAGGTAACGATCTTACATCCATAAATTACGTCACACGTTAAGGTGGAGGGAGGGGGTCGACGAAGTGTGACATTGTGTGACAAGGGGTGGGAGGGCTCCTAAATTTTGGTGACGTCACATTTCAAAATATATTATAATCTAAGTGTTAAAACACGAATTTTAAAGTATTACTTTACGAAAACCTTGCAAAATATGTGACATCACACTAGGAGGGGGGAGTCTTACAAATGTGACCAGCTGTGACTAAGACGGGGGGAGGGGCAAAAAAATCATGAAAATCGTGTGACGTAATTTATGGATGACCCCTTATTCGGAATAGTCAGATATTATCAAGCTATTATTTCTCTCGACTACAGATACGAGTGGAAGTATACGTATTTTTGCTACTTATTGTTCTTGTACGAAAACAAATACTTTTCTGATCTGTAATATTTCTTTGTTTGTATTTTTTTACTTTAGGGAAAAAGAGCAATAAAACATTCTAAATCAATCTCCAAAACAAAACAAAAATATCGATGGTTAAAGGCTAATTGATCTAAGCGACGGTTTTTGGCGATATTGTGTTCTATAGGTACATATTTAGAATCAGCAGTTTGTATGAAGTTGACATTCGCGAGTGCCGTGTGTAACGGTGCGTAGGTAGATACTTGATGAACAATTTTTTGTTTGTTTGTTTTAGTTACTCTGCATTTCGCCCATCACATTTTCGCCATTGATTTTTGCAGGAAACGATTGGACCAAAGATAGTAATTTTTCGTTCCTTTTAACCCTTAATTTGATAAAGTCCGGTGTGACGGACACTTATTTAAAATAAATCCTGCCAAGTTTTTATTTCATGTTCATCGATTTCTTATCATTTAAATGTTTATTTATACCATAAACAAATAGTAAAAAAGAAGTAATAATTGTGGCAACATTGCATATGTCAGTTGGGACCCAAAATGTCTGCGAAAAGGCGGCCACCTTTTTTGCTCAAGGTATTTATAATTGTTTTTCTTATTTTTTTGTGGAAAAATGAATTGAGTTATAGATTTATTTATTGGTAATAAACATTTCAATAATTATTTACAGAAACATGCGCACTTTATTACATTTTTATGGTGTTTATTTGTAACTAAAATGTTTTGTCCGTCACAGCGGACATTGCTAATTGTATAGAAAAGTAATACTTTATTACTTTGTCCGCTGCGGCGGACAACGCCAAAATGTGTGTGCTTCTGCTTGTTTGGTTATGGCTCTGAGTTTGTTTTTTTTTTCTTTGCCAACAGCCTAATTGCGCAATTAAAATTATTGCTTTAGTGCCGAATGAACATGCACCTTCAGATGTTAGCGAAATATTAGATTCGGAAACTGAATTGCATGATTGTGCAAGGCAAACAGGTCGGCTACAAGAAAACAGACTGAATCCGTCAAAGTAAAGAAACCACATGCACGCCGCCCTTTGAGTCCATTAAAATACGACAATATAGGACATTTCCCTTCGACCATGGAAGAAGGACGCTGCAGGTTCTGCCAAAAGAAAACTGTCGTGTATTGCATAAAATGCAACACAAGATTATGTTTAGTGACAGGAAAAGCCCCCAGAAATTGTTTTTTAACTTTTCATACAAAATAAACTGTACTTCGGTATCAATTAGTTCTAAAATGTTCATTTCTGTATTTTTCTTTGTAAAAATAACTAAAATACTTTGTAAAAATAAAAAATAGCTGTTTGTTTTTATTTTCCGTAGTTTGGCAGTGTCCGCCTCAGAGAACATATAAATCTGACCATTAATTTCACAGTAATTGGCAAGGTCCGCTGTGACGGACACCAGTTTTCCCAGCAGTGGGCTATTGTAGATTTTTTTTTTCATTTTTCTAGAACATTATGACATACTCCTGAAACCACAAAATTGTCAAATTCATATATTTTGAATATTTTTATCGGTGCCAAATTAAGGGTTAACTAACATATTAAAAAACTGAAATTTACAAAGTTCGAAACATACATTCAATACAAATACGAAAAAGTACAAATAGAATATAAAGTTGTTTATTGAGTTTTAAAAACTAATTTATTTTTATACATGAAAGAAAACCGGAAGGGTTGTCATGGAGAAATCAAGAAAGTGCTGTAGTAACATCTAGTTTGATTTCGGTAACTAATGTTTTTTTTAAATACTTATTCATAGTTATAACATGTTTAACCTTACTGGGTTGCTGGGTTGGTTACAGCAACAGTAGAAAGACAATGGCAGTATGATTTTGCGACCGCATAGGAGGAAAATGGGAGTGGTGATGAGATTGGTAATTTTAAAATCCATGGATCATTGCCATTAACCCGGTGACTAAATCTGGGTTCCCATATACCGGGCTTGCCTCAGGTTTTTATTTTAGTGGTTCACCCTTTGATCTACTTAGGGGGCGTCCATAAATTACGTGAGATGTTTAAGGGGGGGAGGGAGTCGAGTCAAATCTCATCTAATCTCACGTTGGAGAGAGGGGGGGTCTCGGCAAATATCACGCAATTTTTAAAATATGGCTCGGTGTGGGAAATCCCTCATATAGTGACAAGTCTAAGGTTAAGATCATTCACCAATTCGTTGGAAAGAAAATAATTTCATTCGTACTTTGACATTATACATCACTCCTGATTGTCAAAGCACTATACTCGTTTTATACCAAATAGCTCAATTTAATTTGAATTTACGGTACAATGTAGCCCGTCATTTGTTTTCGCGCCACTGTCAGCTGAACGTGTGACTCGATGAATGAGAGCGTACGAGCTGAGTGCAGCGACACACAGACAGGTTCTAACCTGCTTTGTTTATTCTTGCAAATGTTTTACTCGACTCAGTGCATGCTCTTATTAAGTTATAATGAGTTATCAAGATTTTTATAAGGCATTCGTCAAAAGATACGTCTATAAGACGAAGAAGTCCTGTCAGGACGATGTGATAAAATTATGGAATACAGCGAAGGAAAAATTCCCGAAGAAAGAAGATTTAATACATCACATTCAACATGAGATTGAACGGCTTCTCAAGGAAGCTACTGAGAGAAAAGTTCGGTCTACTTTAACATTTCTTCAAAAGGTAGGTTAAATATATTTTTCTAAGAAAATACTTCTTTTATATAAAATTTATTATTATAATTAATAGCATTCAAAAAACTGAAACAGTGAAATTCTTGATAAAATGTGATAAAATCAAATCTACAAAATATTAGCGCGGTCATTTCTTTTACTGTTTTCAGTCATGATTTTTGAGTCATAGTATGATGTACGCAGGAAATAAATCCCATTGGTACATAGTGCCGACCGGGGCCCGCGCTGTTTTATTGCCAAACCAACGCATTAACGTCTGCACCAACCAAGCTCTGCCAATCTTTTTAATTTATTAGATTCATTTCTTTATTATGATGCTTTGATTTTAGACCAACACTAAAATCTCTAACAGTTCTTCGATTCAAGCTGGTACGAGCACTGGTACACTAGAGAAAGCCAATATTTACTCCAGGTATATTGCAGTTTGTTTATATCTATTTTTTATGCGTAGCTATTTTTCTTTTTTTGAAATTTTTTGACGAGCGCGAGTGTCAACAAATTTTTATTAAGAGTTACAAAGTGAAATTATTTTTATTTATTTTTTTAGGTTGTGAAATGCGATGCCCAGTAGTGTTGCAGCCCACGCCGGAGTGATATACATATGATTCTTCACGACCGTTTTCTGTCACCTCCATACCCTATCACTCAGGTTACTGAAAATCATATGGACATGCTGGTTCCAATAGTCTCTCTCGAGACCGTGCATGATTCTCCATGGACTGAATTAGAGTAGATATTCCTTTTTTAATCGCAGTAGTTACGAATTAAGTATTCTATTGTTTAATCTTTATTACACTTGTAGCTCTCGGCAATATTGATTACTAGTCTCTAGTCTAGTCGTAAATAAAAGAACGAAGCGAATTTTTTTTTCTTTTTATTAAAAAAATCCAACGTGTTTAAATAAGAAACCCACATTTTGAAAAATCTCACGTGAGATTTGGGGATGGGGGAGGGGATTGAATGAAATCTCACGACATCTCACCAGGGGGGGAGGGAGGGTCAGAAAATTTGAAAAAACACCTCACGTAATTTATGGACGCCCCCTTATGGGTTTTCCCACTGAGTAGGTCCGTTAGCGGGGGAGACCCTCACTGTCTATAGTCAGGCGAATATGTATCTTCTATTTAACTATATGCTTGGATTGGTCAGAACGTGGATAGATTAAAAAAAGGTAATATTCCAAATGAACATTCTATTTGACAACTGTTTGTTAATGTTGTCTTTAATACGGCTGAAAATGGTGAAATATTAAATCGAATGCGGGAATAATAAATTATAATAGCTATGGCTCAGAGATAAATAATTGAGATAAAAGCTATCCTATCTTTTAAATCAAGACCAAATAACTGATAAGTAGTACATGTAATTTACCTTAATCGGTTCTGTAGTTGAGGAGTATATCAATGATATACATCGTGACACGGGATTTTATATATAACGAATATACGAGTAGATAAACATATACGAAACGATAAAAATAACTTATTAATCTTTTATTTACATTTATACAGCATTTCAAAACTATTCTTGTTAAAATTATTATTTCAAGATTGGAAGACATCACTGCAAAATCTTGTTAAAAAAAAAAATTTTATTATTTCAATTCTTTCAAGACTTTTTTTTCAAAAACTTATATGTGTCCTTACTAACTAAATAGCTGATTGCCGATACGACTGTTGACACAGCTGTAACGCCACATAAGGCTGTGAGAGCTGGATGGTCCACATAGCCAAAAACTGGTGAAGCGAGAGCAGTTCCCACCTGAAATGTTAATAATTTTTTTTGCTTTAAAATATACTTTATTGTAAACAAAAAAATGTCTTACAATTGTTGTCTATATAAACAGCCAAATGTAAAATATATTAAGATATCAAGTCAGAATTAAAAAATCAACGTCATTTACTAGAATGTCTAGCATTATTAGCATGTTTAGCAATTATATATTTATTCTAGTAAGTCTTTATTTATTTTTCTCTGTTAAATGTAGTTGTGTGTTGCATTTTAAATAAATGAATTATCTATTTATATATTACGCTTAGAGTACAACACAACGCATACAGCTATGGTCCAGCCATACCTATTGATATGTGATTCCTTAAAGGTACATATAATATTTCAAAATAATTACTTTGAACAACATTTTCAATAATGCTAAAACAAATATTTATTCATAGTATCGTGTAAAATACCTGAATATTAGACAATAACGAACTTCCATATAAACTTTAATTCCCTATTTCAACCTTTTTCATTAAAGAGTAACCTATGTTTATATGTTCTACTATCTTAGGCTACCTCAGGTCAAGGTTCGGTTTAGTGATTTAGGCGTTATAACTTAACAGACATATACGCAGACTTACTATCGCATGTACATATCGCATGGAATAAAAAAGGGATTCTCCTTGTCGCTCATTACATCACATATTATGAGAATACCAGACAGTTATCCAATTAAATAGCCTAAAAACAATATACATCACAATATTGTCAGCTAAGTAATCATTAAAGCATCTTTCTACTGTGCGGCTGTACAAAGCCCAGGGAACTGGTTAACTGTCGGGATCACGATACGAAACACAATTCTTAATTTAATTAAATTATATGAATAACAAAATATCCACGATATCAGAATGAAATTGCCTTGATTTTCAACTTCGAAGACACTACAACAAAAAGCTATATTTATTTATTAAACGAACAACAACAGCTGTACATGTAATTACATATTTATTAATAAAATAAATGTACATATTATGGAGATTAGAGAGTGCATCGATGTGATGAAAGAAATTCTGATAGATGGAGAGATGACTCTCAATTATACTGATCTCCTGAAGAACCGCTTAGAAGGGAACTATTTCGTTTCCCAAGGTCAGTACTACCTCCAAATTGACGGCATCGCCATGGGAAAGCCAGTAGCCCCGGTACTTGCCAATATATAGATGGAACATTTTGAAATAAATGTGAAGAATTTTAAGCCATCCATCATACGGCTTTGGAAGAGGTATGTGGACGATATATTCTGTATCATCAAAGGCGGTGAACGAGAGATACTACTACAACATATTAATTAAATTCACCCGAAAATGAAATCCACTTTTGAGTTGGATGTGGAAAGGACGTTGCCTTTTCTGGGTGTAAAGATTTCTGTGAAGCCGGATGGGTCCGTATCGCACTGTGATTCCAGAAATGTTATTAAGGGTTACGGTTCCCAAGATTAAATAGACAAAAATAATAAAAATTAACCACAATAACCGAAAAATTGTTGCAGTCTGACCAAATTTCTAGGTTTTTCTTACATGCCCATAATTTTCAAAATGCATGATGGGATTTTTATATTTATATTTTTATAGATTTTTTTTTCTGATTTTTCTCATGATGGTTACAATCAATCCTGTCACTCCGTTTCGGCTTGACGTTGAATTCTGAGACATCTTGTAGGTAAATGAGAATGTGCAATAAGGTTTAATTACGACTTTAAGCTCTGATTAATGTAATGTAAATAGATAATGACGCTTTTAACTAGACGCCTGGTGATGGTCATGTATGAAACAATTTACAAAAAATTACAAGATTCTCGGTAACATATATTTTTTGAACGAAATTTGCTGATGCTGCTTTTGAAAATGGTATCTAGAATGTACTGTAAGTATATCATTAAATATACATTACCAATAACAGTTGTAAAGCGGTGTTGAATTTGCTAATTGTGGTGGGAGCTAGTTGCGCTGTAGCGTGTGTTACATCGAAATATCTACTAAGAGTCCGCTGTAAGAAAAACAAAACATGAGTTATATACAGACTATTGAAAATTAAAAGATCAACTATGTACATATTATTATTTTTGCTATTTTAGATTTCTATTTCTTAGGCCCGGATCTACAGCTTTTTCCAACCAGGGCAGAAACTTGAAATTGCGCCCTTATTCCACTATGTATTTTTATTGATTTATTTTTGCAATGTATTATTTGAGGACTTACGAAAACCTGTTTAAATGATGTTAAAAATGGCTTAAATACGGTTTGAGGTATGCTCAACTTTAAATTATCAATTCAGAAAGCGGGTGTTAGTCAATGATACAGTCCATGATATATTATATTATGTAATCATGTTTTTGGCGCCCCTTTTTATCTACCTCGTGTGTTCATAAGTTTTGAGACAAACTTTTTACTGAATAAATAAAATAAAATTTTATTGGCTGTTATTTTTTTACCGATGTTGAATTTGAAATGTTAACTTATTATATTTGTAGTATGTGTAGTATATTTATATCGCAAACTCATTTGTATATATTTTCTCATTATGGGGGCAACGAAACAATTACGTGCAACTGTCATTGCGCTCTATAAGGAGGGAAAAAAAACCGATGCAGATTTTCCGCGAGGCGAATAGTTTTCCTGTAAATCGTAACTTTGTCCATTACACAATACAGCGGTACAGAGACAATTTCTCTGCAAGATCGCCAAAGGAGTGGTCGGCCACGCTATGTGAGGACGCCTGTGAACATCAAAATCATCCGACCGCGACTTCGCCGAAATCCATGTCGTTCTGACTGCGAAACTCGCTCTGCAAACTAATATTTCGTATGTTTCAGTGAACAGAATACTGAAATATGATCTTAAGGTAAAAACCTATACTCGTAGAAAAGTTTACTTTTTAAACGATCATCTTCGGAAGTTACGACGGTAACTTAGTTCATTGCTGCTGAGAAGACATGATGCCAGGAAGATTCTCTTCACCGACGAGAAAATTTTTACTGTCGTAGAAAAGTTCAACCGACAAAAAATTTATTGTTGTACGCGAAAAGTAGCAAGGATGTACCAGCTTATGCACGAAATGTCTCGCGCACTCATCATCCGGTTAGTGTGATGGTATGGTAGGGAGTTTCGGAAGGTGTCACTCCGCTCCATTTCTGCCAACAAAGTGTCAAGGTGAAAGCCAAGAATTATCAGAGAGATATCTTAGAGCCCATGGTGAAACTCCTGTCTGATACTTCACCAAGGGGATTGAGTTTTTAATCAAGTTTGGGTGCTTCTTGCATTCCATAAGGCAAGAAGCACCCAAACTTGGTTGAGGGAGAATGTGACGTCCTTCATCGCGGAGGACGTGTAGCCCTCCTCCAGCCCCGACCTCTACCCGCTGGATTATTCTTTATGGACTGAATGAGGAAGTATTTAAAAAAAAAGAAAGCACTAAAAAATCACCTCCACTAGATGACGACTCTAGCAAAAGTTGATTTTTGCAGGAAATGAATGGACCAAAGACAGTCAATTCCATTTCTTTTAACTAACATATTAAATAACTGAAATTTGAAAAGATCGTAACTTAGACATCAATACAAATACGAAAAAGTACAAATAGAATGCGAGTTGTTTATTGAGTTTTGAAAACTAATTTACTTTTAAACATGAAAGAAAACCGGAAGGGTTGTTATTTGTTATGGAGAAATCAAGAACGTACCGTAGCGACATCTAGTTTGATTTCGGGAACTAATTTTTTTTTAAATACTTCCTCATTAAAGCTCAGGGTTTGCCGAAAATCCCACCCAAACTTGGAGTCACTGAAGCGAACCCTTGTTCGAGAAGCAAAGCGAATTCCGCTAGAAAATATTCGTGCCGCCATTGATGACTGGCCAAATCGTCATTTTGAATAAAATATATTTATTTTATTGTTGATTATTATCAATTTTATGGTTACTGAATATTTAAGAAATACAAGTTAATTATTAAAAAAGTTATGCAACTTTTATTTCGTCTCAAAACTTATGAACACACGAGGTAAGTATAAAACTATTAAAATTTAATATTTATTAGAACAAGGGTCTCCAAACTACGGTCCACGGACCAATTTCGGACCGCCGCCAATACCAATAATTTGGTGTCATCATTTAGAACACATCAATCCGGATCCACGAAAGCCTGTGATAAATAAGTTGAAGAAGAAAACAAAAAATGATAATTTACTCAGTTTTATTTACTTGTAAAATAAAACCAAACGACAGAAATTATAACGCAGAACACTAAGTCTCCATGCATAAGTTATATAAATTACAAATAAATAATTTAAATGATTCCCACTAATCAGTCATGAGAGTAAAACAAAAACCTGCCAAGTGCGAATCGGACTCGCGCACGAAGTGTTCCGTACCATTTACCATTAAAAAGAAAAACAAACATTCGCGTTTAATGTTTTCTATGTAGTTATTCGAAATTTTCGAATTAAAAACTCGTAATATAGACGTTATAGCCAACTTTTGTGTCATAGTTTTCCTTTCAACTTCGTTATATATAGGTGGTAGTATTAGGAATAAAAAATATATTATCCCCACTTTACATGTAGGGTACCAGACTATTGGGATGTAACCATCCATTTTTTTTTTCAAAGCTTTGTTTTCCCACTTTTTCGACTTATTAACATGTATCATGTGTACTCATGCCAAATTATAACTTTCTAGTATCAATAGTTTTTGAGCTAAATCGCGGACGGACAAACAGATGGATATGGTGAAACCATAATCTGTTGTAAATGAGAAACTCTAAAAAGCACAAGTTTTTCCATCGATAAGAGTTCATATTGTAGATCAATATTATTTTAATCTTTACATTGTTGGTTTCTCATTTCTCCATTGGAGAAAAATTTTTCATCTACAAACTTCCTGTTTACTGGGAATTTTTGAAAATATTTCGATTCATAGGGATTTCAATTCAAATAAGTAATTATTGCAATCTCAAAGTTATCAGAATACAGTAGCCAGAACCAGAACTTTATCAAACTAACAAGTTAATTACCAGACTATTGGGAATTATCCAAACAAATTGTAAAAAAAAATACTATTTTGGCCCTTGGAACATACTGAAGTAATCACTAGGTATCACTAGAAGGCAATTGTCCGGAGACATGTGTCAGGAGAGATATTAGTCTATAGCTAAACACTATGTGACATTTTTCATACATAGTGTTTTAAACTGTCTGTATAACTTCAGTTAAACACAACACTAAGGATAAATCCCATTTAGACCTGGACTATAAGTTAGACATCTCTAATGACACATATCATGGAACGATTGGCTGAATGATATTTCACACACTTACTGGTGGAGGTAAACTTATGTATCTGATTACAAAACCAGCAGCAACAAGGGCTATATCACGACCCACAATCAGAAGGGTCAAACATAGTGGTATCAAATCCTGCCAAGTTAAAGAAATGAAAAGTGTAGCTATAAGCACTTTGTCTGCCATTGGATCTAAAAATGAACCCATTTTTGATGATTGTCCTTTCCAGTTTCTGGCAATCCAGCCATCAAGCTGAAATAATAATAATAATTTTACATAATAATAATAGTACAGAATTACTATTGGCGTAGTTCATAGTGGCTTTGCTTTTTGTAATTGTTATTTGCTTTTTAATTAAACCCAACGTTGTAGAGAAAGATTTGTAAAAAGGTACTTTTTTGAGATACTAAGAAACACTTTTACAACTTCATTTCATTATTTAAAGAATATCATATGTCTCAAAAAGAAAGTTCACATTTTAAAAAATAGGCTCTCGCTGATGTACGCTTACTTACGCTATTTATAGTTCTTATTGCTCTTTTTTGTTGTTTGAGCACACTCTGTATTTCAGCAGCATATCCCCATACTGTGATTGCATATCTTATAATTGAGTGAATATAGGCATAATTTACTGTAATGAGTGTGCGTTTGTCTACTAATGGCTTCAGTTTCATTAAACCATAATTTGCACTGGCTATTCTTTTGCAAATATTTGTAATATGGTTAGAATGACAGATTGTGTAGTCTACTGTATAGCCTAGAAATTTGTTTTCCGTTGTTGTTACTTGATTTTTATTTTTTTAGCACAATACTTCATTACGATACTCTTGTTAGTATTCAACATAATTCCGTTTGCTTTGAACCAATCCTTAAGAATATCCATCGCGTAATGAATTTTATATCCTAAGTATTCTTCAGATTTGTCTCTTATACCTACGTGAGTGACATCCGCAAATAAACTAATGTGAGACCAATTTGGCACAGCACTAGCAAGATCATTTATGTATATTAAGAATAATACTGGGCCTAAAATAGAGCCCTGAGGTACTCCTACATCTATTTTGCATATGCTTGAGTTGTAATTATCAACTGAGACAACTTGGCTACGGTTTGTTAGACAGCTTTCGACAATTTTTAGTTCTTTTTCCAGTAATCTATAGAATTTTAGTTTTGTTAATACGATGTCATGTCTTAAGCAGTCAAATGCTTTAATAAAAGTTTATTGAAAAAATGTTTAAGACATATTAAAATACATTGTTCGGGAATTTAATTTTTAAAAATAATATCGCCCAAATGTAAACCGTTGCGCTCACGGCATTCATTTAATCGAGCACTAAAATTACCTATGACAGCTCGGCAGTTATTCTCCGTGATGGCTGCCATTTCGTGTCGGATATTTTCTTTTAATTGTGCCAGGGAAATCGGTTTACTGACGTAAACTTTTGATTTGTTATAATTCACTAAGAAAAAGTCCATAGGTGTTAAATCGGGACTGCGTGGAGGCCAAATTATGTCACCTCTCCTTGAGATCAATTTGCCAGGAAAAATTCATTCACTCGTGGTAGAGACCTGTGGGACGTGTGTTAAGTTGCTCCGTCCTGCTGGAACCATTTTCTTTAGTTAACCAGGAAAGTTTTGTAGTTCAGGCACGAAGAAGTCGTCTAACATCTCCACATAAAGCTCTGAAGTCACTGTTACTGTACGTCCCTTTCATCTTTAAAAAAGTAAGGACCGATAATTCCTCGCGCCGAGAGCGCAGCCCATACGTTCACTTCAGGTTCACAATGTAGGGGTTTCTGATGTTTGTGTTTTGTATAGATAGCACTCCAGTGGAGGCAATTTTGCTTATTTACGTGCCCATTAAGATGAAAATGAGCTTAGTCCGAAAACAAGAGATTGGTAAATGTTGGAAAGTCATCTGGTTTATGAAGTTAACCCTTTGACCAGCATCTTGAGGCTTCACTTCATGCACCAACTGAATTTTGTAGGTGCAGCTTTAAATATTTGTGTAAAATGTGGAATAATGACGATCTGTGTACTTCGAAAGCAAAAGCATGTTCACGAATTGAAAGGTTTGTCAAATGAATATGTCAAATATTGCAGAATTTTCTACACACCACAGTCCCTGAATTACCGTTTTTGTAAAACTCACGTATGCACAACAAACAGTCTGCTCCCGAGAAATGCTCCATTACAACTAAATTCCCAAGAGCCAGGCTACCGATTGACATACCCCCCATGCCGATCGGAATAGTTGTGTTCACGCAACAAGCAAAACAAATGTGTATTTTCTTTTGAGACATCCAGTAAAATGTTATCTCTTATATTATTCGTAGTGATCATGAAACTTTCAGATATAGTTGATTCAATAAAAGAAAAAATACTAAATATTAACTAAAAATGTAATGCAGTGGCCATTCAAGCTCAATTTTTATAGCCATGTAGATAATAGGTTTGTATTAGTAATAGAGCCTTTATCATCAAAGTTTTAATAACCTATTTAAAACATTTTCCTTTTTAATATATAATTTTTTCTGGAGTTCATATTACTCACCAAATCTGTAACACCAGCAAATGCAAGTAAACCTAAAGCAAATGTATAGTTGTCTTGAAAAATAACGTATCCTAGATATGGTGACATAGCTATTCTAGCCACACACAATATGTTTGGTATTGTGAACACATTTTCCCGCTGAAACAAACATTACATAAAAAATTAAATAAAGTGGTATTACTTAATCATTTTCATTAAGCTGTTCATATTTATATTAGTGGTTCTTAACTACCTTCTTTTGAAGCATCCCAAGTGACCACTTGAGGCAGAGCCTCATGAAATTATTAATATATAAAAGTAATATATATATATATTAATTTTAGTAGAATGAAAATTGTTTCCGATGTTTATATAAGTAATGTACAGATTTTATTAATGAAGGTACTATAAATGAATATAAATTTTATTAAAGTTAGTATTGAAATGACTAACTTTGAATTTGACTGTAATTACCTCAACAACCTCTTCAAGTCTCTCTTTAACTTTTGCTTTAGTTTCCAATAGATCTTTGATCAGGTGATCTTTTTTTATTCGTAACTTATGTTCAGTTTTTTCTTTTTTACACTTGATATCACGTACAATTTCTTCACTTTTCTGTCTTATTCGGGACTCTGTATCCTTCAACTGTTCTTTTCTCTGCTCAAATGCGGTTCGTAATGTTTCAGTGTGTTTCTCAATTTTAATGAAGTGTTTTTTATCGTCTGAATAACATTTCACAAACGACAGTGCAGGTAATGTTGATGGATAGGTTATCGTAACTTTATTATTTTTGAATTTATTAAGTATTTGTTTAAATTGACGGCTACCGCTGTTAGCCACTTGAAACCTATGCCAGTTAGAGAAATGCCTTAAAACAGAATTTATGTTTCTTGCAAGTGTCATAGTTAAAATTATTTATTTAAGAGGAATAATAAAACATGAGGATTTAAATAAACTCTCCTATTGAGAATTTTTCATACAATTTAATATTGTTTACATTCACGCAACATTTCGAAATTTGAGATTACAAAAAATATACATGGTGACATTGACAATGACAATGATATGTTTAATAGTAGTTATTATTTATAGCAAAGATATTTTAGTCCATACATCCTAGTCTTTCTAAAGTAAAAATGCCGAAAATCCACGAGAAAGACTTGTAGTAATTTCTTAGAACATTTTGTGATGTAAACGCATGATAGGTCTTTTTCACTGAACGTTCATTGGGTTATGGTCACTCATTAATCCTTAACCTTGAAGCCTATGCCAGACATGTATGTACTCAAATACAAAAACAGCTACAAAAACGCCAAGTGTTGCAGGACATTTGCAAATATTATATATTTGGAGTTTGCCATCTTGTGTCGGTTTATATGCGTACATGAAAGTAAGCAACCTTCAAAGTTTGTATGGCCAGTTAGAGTTCTTGTATACTTATATAGTAAAAAGTAAGCAGTAGTTTTGTGTTGTATTTTTGTGTTAATAATAAATTAAACTTTAACAACAATTACCAACGAAAATAGAACATATTCCCATAAAATATAATAACAGTGTGTTTAAAATGTATCAAACAACTTGTATTGAAGATTGAAGCAAACAACCATTTAAAATAGTTGTTAGAAAAGTGTCAAATACCCTTTTTCAGAAGAAACACCCTGCTGGTGGGTCTTAAATTATTGAATGTCACTATTTAGACTATAGCATTTTATTAAAAAAAATCATAGTGATGTACATTTTTATCGACTATCGATCAAAAGTCACCAAATGTGGGCATAATACCGAAAATTTCACCTAAAGAAATTATTATGCGGAATGGATTTATATCTTTTTTTATAGATTCGTATTTGGAGCCTTATGAATGCATTCGTCAGACTTTTCAAATCAAAGATGAATCAGTTACTTGTCGTGCTGTACGCGGGATCTTCTCATAAAAAGAGTTTTTAGTAAAAACTTTCTGTAATAACTTATTACAGCAAGTTAGCTGTAAACCTATACGAATGTGCTATAGTTAAACCTACGTTTTTCTTAGTTAGAACAAGTTTTTTTCTAAATGCTTCTGTTAATACTCGGAGTATACTCGGTGGAACAGAACGACCGACACTCCCGAGGTTCCTGGAGAGTACTATTTGTCTTTAATATGATGTAAAAAAATTATAAGTCTAGGTCAAATAGTTTCGGAGATATTAAATTACAAAGTTTTTGAAAAAAAATGAGTGTTTTCAACCCTGAGTCAGCTGTTTTTGGGACGTACTAAGGAAAAGTTTTAAATCGGTCATTGACTTCTTCATTTCTAAAAACGAAATAAACTAGTTTGTGATTTATAAGACTGCTTTCATGCAAATTCTACCAGACAATCAATAAACAAGGCAGTCAAAATGCTTAAATCGATTTACAGACTAACAGCCGGTTTCTGATTTGAAAAAAGTAGAAAATTTCTACTGCTTATTCTGAATAACCTTAGTTTTTTTAATTTCTCAAACTGCTTTATCAAACTGCTATCAACTGATCATCAAAAAACTAAAATCGGAAACGAAAACTAAGTGATGTTAGTTTGAGACGTTTAACTTTAAATTCTCAATTAAGAAACGAGTGTAAATTTCCTAAATTATTGTAGAGAGATCAGTCTAACATTAACCTACGTTATTTTAAAAGAGCAATTCTCCAAAAAAATTGTTTGAATGGGGTAATACTCCTTTAACAACGGGATCGTTAATTAAACTCGATAAACTCACAAATCTTCCAGCGATTCATCATTAACACAAATGAACTTTGTTTTAAAATCATTGAGGAATTTGTTATTAAAATAGCATTCAAAAAGAACATTAAAAAATGCCTGATATCAAAAGACGAAAAAAAAATGTGAACCGAGTTCGTCCCTCGATATCAAAGCCCCACCCGCCCGCCAGCCGCCAGGCGGCTTCATTATTCTGTCGGTATTGTCCGGCCGATCAGTCGCCGTCGACCTTTTGCGCTGGAGTGTTGTCGCGCATCGCCGCCGACGCACCGCTGCGAAGCGTCTTTTTTGTCGATTTTTGTTTTGTTCTAGTGCATTTTTAATTGAATTTTTGTTAATAAGATACTAGAGTATTCGTCTTGAGTGTTAAGTTTAGTTTAGTGAAGATTGTGTTTAGTTTTGTGTGAAATGTGATGTGTTTTGCGCGTGCATGCGCCGGCATTGAAAAGAGCGTGCTTAGCTCAGTCTTCAGAGAGGAAGTGGACATTTTCAGCATCCACTATCATTAAGATATCGGTAAATTATTTAATTAAATTAATGTATTTCGCGGTCCGTTGTAATCTGCACACAATCGATATTGCGCATGCGCGTTATAGGGCTGTTAACACTTAGAAATTTAAAATTTTTACTCCATTTTTACACCTCCTCTATTTTGAAATATTTGTCAAATAAAATGAACGTTTGCATGTAACCTAACTTGAAACTTTCGGCTGTGTCGGTCATTTTGTTCCTCCCAGTATAGTCAAAACTAGAATTTACCATTGATATATACCTATTATTTTTAAAGTATGAGACCTCGTCATCCTACGGCTCTTTACTCATGGCTCAATAAAGCGCGATGCAATTCGACAGACTTATTGGAGATCCGTAATATAATACAATATAAATAAGTAACCAAACCCTTACTTAGTGTTTTAACATAAAATACATTTGTGATAATGGTTCATTATTATCACAAATGTACTTTATGTTAATGGATGATGTATTAGTTTAACTCCTTTAATAAATTATCGTGTTATTTGATCCATTTAGTTACAATTTGTTTGGAAACTCTGACTATTTGAAATAATGTAGTAACCTAATGTAAACAAGTTAACATTAAAATAATCTTTTTACAACGATTTATTAAACGTTAGTCTATTAAGTAATTTCAGCATTTTGACTGATTCGTTTAGTGATAGTCATTTTGAAATTGTTACAAAACAGTTTACTAACATTACTTAGTTTTCGTTTGCGATTTTAGTTTTTTGATGATCAGTTGATAGCAGTTTGATAAAACTAGGACTATTTATTTATTTTATTAAGCAGTAGAGATTTTCTACTTTTTTTAAATCAGAAACTGCCTTGTTTAGTGATTGTCTGGTAGAATTTGCATGAAAGCGGTCTTATGAATCATAAACTAGTTAATTTAGTTTTTAGAAAAGAAAACTTGTGCCTTAGTACGTCCCAAAAACAGCGGACTTAGGATTGAAAACACTAATTTTTTTTCAAAAACTTTTTTGCATCATATTAAAGACAAATAGTACTCTCAAGGAACCTCGGGAGTGCCGGTCGTTCCGTTCCACCCAATATTATATATAACACTTCATGGTCTTATAGCATGTGGATGATGGTGTATCAAAACGTATTGCAACCATTAAAATTGGACAAACATAAACGCTACGCTTTTCATCATTTTAACTGTTGGAATGTATATGAAACTACTGAAATAAAAATATCAACAACTAATCATCGCCATAATACCTCAAAGATATACCACAAAAAAAAAAATATTTTAAAAAGAAATAATAAAATTTTAAAATAGTTACCATTAAAATACACAAGTTTCTACTAAGATTATTTTAGTTTAAATTTTTGATGAAAACTATTTTTTAATAATGGCAAGAAGCAAGAAGGAGACATACAGCCTCCGTTGTGACTACTATTTTCGGCTAAGATTAACTTCTTTAGGAAAAATAATCAAAAATATACTTTAATTGATAATAGTGAGATACATTTTTGTAATTACAATTTTTCGAAGCTAGAAGTCCTGTTGTAAGTACTAAGTCCATGATTGCTTGTTGCAAAAGTTGACATTTCTTGTCACAGTTTCTCGTCTTGTTTTGATTTATTACATTCTTGTGCATTCTATCCATAGAATAATTGTACTCCTAACGGAGATTCTATCCAAATTTCAAGTTCTCTAACATACATACTTGATTTTTAATTGATTTTCAAAATATTAGCGTTTATCAACATTTCTTAAATTGTGTCTTAATTTTTTTGTTGTAACGTAATTATTTCCAATGTAATTTGCTCCAAGATACATCCGTGAATATTTTGTAAGTCAATACTTTGCTTATTAAACACATCGTAAAGCAATGGTTTTGATATATTAAGTACTAATATTGTCCATATACCGATGAATTGAAAGTTATCTACTGTTACATACATATATACTGTTTAAATACTATGCCTGTATATCTTTTATTTTGGATTATTTCTCCCAATTTGTTGATACCTATTCAGACAAATTTTCTTTGTGTTAAAAAATTTTAATTATCTGCATTGATATTCTCAAAAGTAGAACAATGACCTGTGACATGAATTGGCTATATTGTCCTTTGATAAGGAGCTAATATAAATATATGCTTAAATTACTTCATTTACATTGCCAACAAAAACAAACTTTCTGATAGTATGATTAAAATGAAATTCTAAACTTAAAGACTGTGTTACTATTAGTATTTTGATTATTGACTTTGTATTAACAACTGATTTTATGTTTTAAGGTTGCTTATGTAAAATGGAGGAGGATGAATTGAAATATGTCATGCGCCTTCTTGATGATCTCAGTGATGCAATATTGGAGGTAATTTTTTTGTAAACTGTACAAATGGTGTACTTAATGCCTGTAGGCATTCTCTACCAGTTAACTAAAGAGATAATACACAAGACACTGTTTAAAGATCAGTTCCAAATATTACATTAATGTATTTTAGTAATCAAATATACATATTATTTATACTTGAAAGCAGATTTGCCTGCTGTATTACATTATAGAACTATATGGCAGTCTTTAGATTTTTACTTTTAAATGAAATATAATATGCAATAATCTGTCAAGAATATTTTGAATAATTAATATTTTATATTATTTTAATCTGAATATAGCAAATATGAAAATTAGTTTAATTATTATTTTAAATTACCTGGTTTCCTGTGTCTTTTTCCACATATTATAATTTTAATAGGGTAAAATACTCAGTAGTCGGCCTTTAAGTGTGAATGTCAATCTGATTCAATGATATTTTTATCTTCTGATAATAAATATAATATACAACCTTTCTAGGTTGTTTATTATATTTTCTAAAGAGATCAATAAAACGTTATAATTAGATTGGATTTATACAAATAGTTAACATTAAACAAAATATAGCACTTTTCACCAGTACTCAGCCTCATGTGCGCCACAAGTCGACTATCTCCTGTCCTGTAGTTGGCCTCTTACCTACATTAAGGTACTCTTGCATATTAGACATACAAATTATTTAATATATAGGAATATTCTCATAGACATCAAATAAACCAGCAAATTAGATAAATTTCAAATAACCACAACTAATATTCTTTAAATGATCTTATAACTATTTTTAGACTTCAACAGATTTTGTTTTTTGTAATTCTGATTTCCTTTTTGTCTTTTTCTGTTTGTTTACTTCCTCTTTCTGTTTTTCAAACTTCTGGGTGGGATTCTATAATCAATGATTTGTATACTAAAATAAATGTGCTAGAGATAATCCTTATTAAACAGTAATAAGATTTAATAATATACAGTAAAACTAATGGCCAACTGCTGGAGTCAAAAGTCCATTAGTCGGCCATCAACATACAGTCACTTTTATACATGGCCAACTACTGGTAAATTATTTTCATCTAAGAGTTAAAATCAATTCAAAGCAAAAATATGAACTATCTTTTGTATGAATTTCATTGAAATCAAAGAAAATTCTAATAAAACTGGGAGTCAGCCACTTCAGGCCGAGCACAGAGTCAACCTTAAAAATCAATATCCAGTAGTGAATTATAATGTAATAAACAAATAAAATGACGCTTATGCTTAATTAATTTACAACACAAACATTTTATAATAAATAATATAACATTAAAATCCACCAAAATTCATGAAAAACTCATGAAAAACTTACCTTAATCATGAACACGTATCCTTATGACGAATATTAGAATGGCGACACTTTCGGTCATGTCGTTGGCGACAGTGAAAATAAACGAACAGCTCATCAATCGGTCCTCACTATTTTTATGACTTTAAAATCTGTAACGGCCGATTATTCGTTCAGGGTCGACTTCTGGTATTTTCCCTAGGTTTTAAAATTGTATCATTTTTTCAGGAAATATTAAAATTTCATGATGAAGTTGAAAGAAGAATACCACACTCAGAATTTTCAAAGGAAACATGGGACTTCTTTAAAATTAACCTAAAAAACAATCCTGTGACAACGTCTAAAATATTAATGTACATACAAGAACAATCTCAAAATGAAACTGTCATAAACAATATTCAAATTATTTATTTGGAAATTTTAAAAGTAGAACTGTCTGAAAATAACTGTTCAGATAAATTAATTACATTAATATCACTTATAAAGTGGAAGGAGAACTTCGTGGACAAATTCATACACCAGATCCTAATACACTTAACTGAGGATGGCTTTAGACAGTACAGGAAACAAATTCTACTGAGCCTTCTACCACATGACAAACCATATTTGTTAAGTGTTGCATCTGAGGCTATGCAAAGAAATGAACCACAAAAGGAATTCAAATTAACTCCAGAATATATGCTAGAGCTATGCTATCAAGACAAGATACATTGGTTACTTAAAGCAGCAGAGGTATACAAACATCAACTACTTGATATGGAGAGTGTAACATTCAAAATAAACAATTTTACAAAACAAATACTTATTATGGTACTCATAGACTTGACTAATAGTGCTGAGACATATGATTTATCATCATTAGTTCATCAACTTACAAATATTTTTTCCATTCTTGATACTTACACTACATCTGATGATCAACTTCAATTCTATTTAACAGAAATTAAGAGGGAATTGACTGTTATCAAATTTTGCTTGGAGAATAATTGTAAAATAATGACCACTTGCATATTCAGTCAAGTTCTTTCTCAGAGCGCATTGACAGTTATTTCACAAGTTTGTAGGCTCTCTAAAATTGACAGATATAAAGTATCAAGACTCCTTAATATTAATAATGATTTTATGAATGAATTGGTGACTTTAAGCAGTAAAAAGGAGGTTAAAAAAAGAGAATCTAATTCTATTAATTGGGATGTTCTCACTTATAACAGTTATTGTGCTATTACCAAAGTAATAGATACCATATTGAATTCGTCAGAAGGTGCAGATGATCCTCAAGAAACTTCTTCATCATTAGAGGATGTAAAACGGCTAATTTTATCACTACAACCATTACAATATTGTGTAGAAGTTATTGAAAACATATTCTCCTGTCTGTTTCTGAGATATGAGTTTTTTTCATGCTATGAGCAAACTCAGGAATTTCCTTGTGGTACACACTCCGAATGTTCTTATTTTTATTCAAAGAAACAGACCAAGAGTCCAAAATACATCAGCACCGACAATGTAGGCTTTATTTGCAATGCTTTCACAATGCAAATTGTGTTGAATACATTAAAATTATGCCTAGAAAAGATTGATGATGACTTAGTGGTGGAGGATATAGACCCTGATATGGTAGCACGATTTAAAAATCTGATTAAGATTGTCAACCATTCTATGTGGAAATTACAACTTGTATCAACTTTATCACCGGAAACAAATCCATTGCAACTGAAGCTGTGTCTTGATTATGTCGAAGTTGATGGAAGTAGTGAAGAGGAAGAACATGAATATGATGTAAAGGCTTTACGTAAAAAGACAAAAAATAGGCGAAAGCATAACTCTAAGCAAGATGTTGATCATGCCATGCTTACATCTACTATATCGGCTAATGAAGACGGTATTAAGCAAGTTTACTGGTTTTCAATGAATACTGTATTTAAAACCATAATTATTATTATTATTATCCATTTATTTGTTTCAGCTTATCTTGGAATGAAAGGAAATAGTATTGACTTCATATCAACAATGCTTTCTCAACCAAATTGTTTAGTTGCATTGGCACTCTTTAATAATGACTTTTCTAAAGCCAACCAAATTCTAGAGGTGAGTTTCAAATACTTTTTGTTTAAATAAGCAGACATAGATTGTTGACTACCCAAAAACAGTAAAGCTTAACAAATAGCATACTAGATGTCGCCACTTGTTTTAATTTACATAAATTGACCAAACACTGCTTCTTATTGCACTTCATCATTTTATTTATTTATTTTGTAAGTTGTAGTTCAATTTTTAGAGAGAAATAATCAGCAAATCAAATATTTTATTTTCACTAGCTTTCATTCATTGAGAAAATATTATGTTTTAACTAAATAGTAATAGATGGCGCTTATCAAATCACAAATTAGTTATCAGAAAAAAAACGAAACCTTATAACTTGTGCATTACATCATAGATTTGAAACTCTTTTCATGTTGAAACATTTGGCGTCCACATTGGGCGCCAGTTGTTACGGGTCGAGCTAAAAGGCTGAATAGGCTTGACAAGTATATTTACGGTAAAAGAAAGAAGTGTAACAATAAAATAGAAATCATAAAAACAGTTTTATGGGATTTACAAAAATGTAGTACATATGTATACTCCATTTATTATAGCATTAGACAGAAGTTAAATAAGGTTCTTTTTATGGTATACTTTGTGACAAAATATCAATAATCATGTTACTCTTAAGACTGACGGCTAATTTGCTACATATCCACTTAAATACCAGTTGCTATACTTAAATGTTGTCATTTAAGCTATCTATTAAATTAATAACTATTACAATAAAAAGTGTTCATCGTAAAGAACCTAAAGAAGCAGGGTTGGATAGTTTTGGCACGATTTTCATGTTACTATAACTTTACCAAATTTAAAACGTTGCCTAACCCCTTCAAACGTTTCGGCAGTACAGCTTTTTAATTTTGTCAGAATATTATTAATAATAATAATCATTTATTCTCTTAACACAAAATTATGTACTTACATGTGAGTCTTAAGATTCTTAAAATGATCTATTTATTATTTTAAAATTATTTTTTTTTCCTTTCTTGTTGTTTTGCCGTTTTCCGTGATTAAGTTGTTATTGTTTTATTTTTTGTTTTGTTTTTGTTGTTAATTTTTGTTAAATATGGACGATGCCGGTGCAGGCCCGAGTGGCCTACAAAAATTACGCTCTAAGCCCCTACCCTCAATCTTTGACTAACTAATTACACTTACAATTAGAATTCATCAAAACAACAGACAGATAGTTTCAGTTTTAGTTCCATGTTGGCTTGGGAGTAAAAGATGAATTTATAAAATGCTGGCCTCATCTCAACCCCGAGGTATCGTAAAAAATGGAAAATTGCCCAGCTCTTTCAGACTACCTAACATTCAAAGTTTCAACACAATTTAAATTGATATATTTTAAATTGATCTTGAAAATAAAATGTTCTGCACTGCTGCTTCTATGACCCTCTATTTTCTAATGTTATAATTAATGGAGTATAGACATTACTAGACATTAGAAAAAAACATTATTCATATATGACAATATGATAATCGTGTTCTTGCCAGAAGATGTTTTTACGAAGTGAAATGACATTCATGACGTATTTAAAAAATATTACGAATAACATAAAAAAAAGAATAATAAAAAGAAATGATCTTAAAGATCAGAGACAAACATTTTGGATGCGGAAACCTAGTTCAAATAAATTTTGTACTGCGATACATCGTTACAGAGCTAAATAGTCAATGTTACGTAGGATACCTAGGGGAGGCTGGGTACGGTTGTAACAATTTTACTTTAATTTTCCACAGCACAGCTACAACTGGAAACAATCTCCAAAGTTTTTGAAATGAAAGCATATTTACTTGTCTTTAAATTAATATCAAAACCAATAGTTTAGGTAAGACAATTTAGCAGGAATAAGCCGTTTTAAAGAGTGTGTGAGATTGTTACAATCGACCCCACACCAGGGGCGGTTGGAACACCTATGGGGGGCAGTTGTAACGCTAAAAAATAATATATAAATCCCACGTTATACAAAATAACAACATTTAAGGCACATTTAAATAGTCTTTTTAAATAATAATAATTAATCAAAGTTAGTCAATAATATCTGAGGTTATACAATAGTTTTTTCTGTATTAAATCAAACTTATCGCAATTATGCTTTATATAATATCTACTCCGATTAGTACAAGCTATGTGACACCATTGTTAGCCTTCACACTGAATCCAACTCTCTCCAGACCGAGTAGCAGAATACGTCTCTAGGCAAAGAAGACAATAATACCGCTCTTGGTAGTCGCTAAAAACTATAATGAGCTACATATCCCATGCTAACATGTGCAACATATTCTTGGTTATCTTAATTAACTGCATACGGCTTTCGCTTGTATCTCAAAAGAGATACATAATTAACTCCACCTCCCGAAGTCTTTGTTATGCATTTCCTAGGCATCCACAATACAAAAATATTATAAAATTAATGTTACAACCGTCCCCATTAAAATCGTTACAACCGTCCCCACCCTCCCATTTGGTAATAAGTCTATCAAAAGGATGAGATAGCATAACTTATACAAAAACGAATGGGCTTTTTATAATCTTAAAAATACGACGATTACATAAGCACATTTCGAAATACGATAATTATATTAATATTTAAGCTATATCATAAAGTAATACCCCAGAAATACTTACTTTTGGTTGACAAAACACAAGGGGTCTCCTTGTAATAGTTATTATCGCGCGAAAGGTGACTACATTGGCGATCGTGTCGAGACTTGTTACCCGCGGGCCCTTCCCTTTTTGTCCCTCATCTACCATTCATAGTTTCGATGATATTCGAGTTGTTACAACCGTACCCAGGCTAACCTACTTACATTCATGTCACTTCAAAACTCAAATGTTTAGCAATCTTTTAATAATTAAACGAATAAATAATGGCAACGTTGCGTCCGCTTAACATTTTCCTAATTTACTAACAACACCTCTTTTATTAGGAGGGAACCCCTAAGTCACAGCGAAGTTATTAAAAATTATGTTTTTTTATTTTTCTATGGTAGTAAGTACTAAAGAATATAGTAACAATCTTATTATAATAAGTAATAATAATGAACTTAACTACCAATTAATTAAGGCTTTAATTTGAAAACAATTTCTCTTAAATCCTTATAGCTGATAATGAATAGTACCTACTGTGACAAGCTATCTATCAAATGATTAATTAATGAAATGATTAATTGGGAAAAGTACAGTATTTGTCTTCTTGCTTACATTATTATCATTTAATATTAATACTTATGTTCATATTGTTCTCATTAGGTGTTCAAACTCTTCATAACTTTCCCTTTCACTTCTTGAAGGTTCATATAATATTTCGTGGTGCTTTATTGTCATTAAACCTGGTGGATTTCTTATTAAATATCTCTTGGCTTTCATAATACTTTGATGTGGTTTGAAGAAATCGCAAAATAAACAGCAGCAACATAAGCCTATAATAAAAGGACAATTTTTTAGATAAAATCCGTTTTTAAAAACCTTATAAACAACGGAATGGACAGACTGTTTACTAATTTGACAATTAATACAAAAGAATTTTCTTAAGCAAATAAAATCTTAATGTGTATCGAACGCTCGATCTGTTTTCGATTTTCTGTTCAGTAAAATCGAGGTGTGATTCAGTTGCGTAATCTTGATCTTTATGATATATCAAAATATATTCAACTAGCTTTTGGCCACGACTTTGCCCACGCGGTCTATTTTTAGTCTAGAAATGAGAAAATTCTATAAAAACTTCCATCCCCTAATTCACCCCTTTAGGGGTCGATTTTCGTAAAATACCGTCGTAATGAGCACCTACGTCCTAAAATGAACTAGCATGCAAAATTTGAAACTCCTAGCACTTGTAGTAACGTATTTAGCTCCTTCGGGGTGGAATTTTCAAAAATCCTCTATTAGTGCTTCTCTACACTCCCTAAGGAATCATTATTCCAAATTTGAACTTTCTACGCTCTGTAGTTTCAACTGTATGTTGTATGGTAGTCAGTCACTCAGTAACACAAGAACTTTATATACATAAATATATATATTTTACATAAAGCCACGGTAATATCCCTGCTATATAAACAAGTCCAAAACTATCAATGCGATTGGGAATTTTGAGCGAGGTTTGCAATGGCCGGTAATCGGATGGAAAGAAGAGAAGAGAGCAAAAAGCCACTATACCCCGCCCTGTCCCATAACGCCTGTTTCATTCCACCCTGCTCAGCCAAATAAAAAAAAAAGATCACCCACCCGATTACCGCATTTGCGAACGTCGCTTTCTATTTACTATTGCAAATCAAACGCGAAAAATCTACGATCGATTCTACATCGGTCGTATTGCATTGATCTATTAGTAAATAACTTTAAGGATTTACTTGCTTGACGACCATTTGAATTAAATTAATACATTATTAATACAGATTACATCATATCAAATTTTTCCTATTTATAATATTTGTAAAGATAAATCCATTATGAAATGCCTTCCGTAGTCTAATTTCTCCTAAAATATGGCATGAAAATACTTCGTTCCAGTTTATGTTAAAGCCAATTATTTCTATCTAGAGATTATTCATAATTACGATTTGGGATTGGCGTAAGTAACAAATACGTAATAAAACAAATCAGAAGGGACTATACAGAGTTCAGATTTACATAATTTAAATAAAGTGATAAATTCATCTTTTTTAATAACTTTGTTCAATTGAGGTAGATATTGTGCATAATGTCTAGAATTATTTTACCTATACAATAACTCGATTTATTGCTTTAGCTGTAACATCCACCTACATTAAATTCATAATATAACATACCTTCATCTACTATGTGCGAGGTATTTCAAAGATGTTATTACTCGTAATCAGTTTTAGCTTACTATTCTACGCAAATTACTCCGATAAATTAGCCGACAGTACTCATATGACAATATTGCACTTATTTAAATATTGAAACTAACAACCACTTATATATGAAATTCCTGATGAGATAAATTGTCAAATATACCTCTTGTGCACCACAAAGGTACAGCAACAATTATATAAATAATTGTCCATATGCATATAATCTTCCAGCACCGCCAAAATAAAAAATGCAAGGGTTGAATCTGTCCATAGTCATTGAAAATACACTTAAAAGTCTTAAAAATAATATTTTCCTTGCTACATTTCTGGTGTACATCCATTATTATTTGCATAGAATTTAAAACTCCATTATTCGTGCCTGAAAAAAAGACATACTTAGATTGTGATAAATGTATTCTCCTTTGTTTAAAAGTTCATGTCAATCTGCTTTTATTTTTCTCTTTCACATATCTTTCGAAGAGAACCCATGGTCTTTTTTGACATTTTCAAAATTGTAAAAGTAAATCGTGTTCTATTTTTCGTTACTCTGCCTCGTGTGTAGGTATGTAGTTTATTTTTTACTACATTTCATTAAAAGTTTAAACTTAATTAACAATGTTCATTTTGTAAATAATATTTGTAACTACCTATCTCACTTTAATAATAAGAAAATAAACTTGCCAGAGATATATAGACATTGCTCATTAAGTACTAAATAATCATTTAGAAGTATTTGCTGGCCATAAATTACAAATCACGTTAAAATGTTAATATACCGATCCGATCAAAATGATAAGTCCCATTAGACGTATCCTCATTCGAAGTTTCCATGTAATATTCGTTTAGTAGTTGCTCATAGTTATATTCCGTATCAATACTCGTTACGTCTCTCTTTTGGGGTGAATGCCTTTTCTGGAATTAAAACAAAGCTATTGTTATAGTAAATCATCTGTACAAGTGTGCAAATGCGTGAGTAACAATAGGTAGTAGGTAATTCTAACTGATTGTATTATGTTATTATAATTAATGTATCAATGATTTTGATTGTTCTGTTCAATCAGAATTTAAAGTTTTAAAGAAAGAGATGTACAATATAACTTTTTATCCATGCCCACAGGTGCCACCACCTAACTCTCTAGCCACGATTTTAGCCAAAGGTTGCGACATCTTATCGATGTAATGGCGATATTTAGTTTCATTTTACTAATTTGATATGTAATTTAGTAACGGCGAACGTACGATAAAGACTTATAATTATGGAATTGTTATCAGTGTTACCAACATTGATATCATAATTATCACTTAGTCATTTGTCCCAAATTAACCCACTAAAAGAAAGATATGTCAAAGTAGTAACATGAAACGAAATATCGTCATAACATCGCTAAGCTGTATTATGTGGCTAGACTTAACGCCTTACTCTCACTGAAGTTTAAAGTTTTAACACAAAATATCATAAGACTACTCACTGGACGGATCCGTATAACAAAACCAATCTCGTTAACGTAGTCTGAATGCTCAAGGATTTTAAACGAATTAGGATTTAAATTATTATAAAAAGACTCCTTTCCGTATTCTCGATTTGTAGGCCTGAAAAGAAATATACTTTTATATTTGAATTTATGTAATTTAAAACAGCCATTGTTATTGTGTTACTGAAGCAGAAACTATAAAAACTGGAAAAATCAAACACATTGCATTTCAACTCTATGTTTTTTTACTCGATTAATTATTGACAATGACCGTGACTCGGTTTTTTTTTGTATAATCTTGGAATTATTCAGTAGGTACAGTATTCTCAAACTTCAAACGGAATCGGTTTCAAATTAAACATTATAACGGTGTAATAATTAGTATATACTTTAATTATACTTATTTAATTCTTCAAAGATTTCCCCTTTATGTTTCACTGTGAAAAGACCTTTTTTATCCAGAATGTCATAATCGCCAATATTAATCATATCATAATTAATATAATGAGGACTGTTGTTTCGTATGAGGTTGTACGAATCTTTTATACTAGCATTTATATCAATAGGCTTAAGAACCCATATTAAAATGAAAAATAACATTTATTTATCTGCTGAAATAAATATAAAAAATTACTGATTTAAACATGTTTTAATGACAATTTCTAAGAAAATGTCAAAAAATTCAATTCAAGACATTTCAGGGCTTGGTTCCATAGATGTAAATTGTTCCTAGTTCTAACCATGGTCAAACGTAGTGCATTCTCTTTGCCGTAGTCAATCAGGCGTGTTAAAACGGTAGTTTATAACATTTTGGACATGTATCTGGTACTAAGTTTCATTTCCTTCAGCACATATACGAAGAATCGCGGTAATTGTCGTCGTAATTGTTAAAAATCCTGCCTTATACAAGATACCGTTACTTATTTATCATGCACTGTAGCGAAACATCATCGAAACATTTTACTCTTTATTATATTTTAATTAATTTTGCATTCACAATACCATACTGAAAAATATTCTTAATACAAAATGCTTAAAAAATCCACTTGGTCCCTGGCACCCTGTGATTTTTAGTTCGTTTTTGCATTTTGTATTAAGAATATTTTACTCTTTGTTTGAAATTAATAATAATTAACTTGAATAGGAATTCCGCTATGTTCCATAATATTATAAGTCCTATTGTACATCATAAAGATTATAGACATTATATTATCTGGTATTTTAAAAATTACAAATTTATTTAAATCTGTTGGAAATGTATAACGAGTCTTGTTTCAATTACCGTAAGGTGTAAAATACAATGTATTAGTAGTCCATCTGCCTCACGCACGGCTGGAGTCAGGCACGAAGATTGCCTGATGGCATGCTATTTAAATCAATCTTATTGGCCAAGATTTGCCGCATTTCGAAATTTAGCTACCGTAAATGTGATTAGTTGGTACTTACTGTTCTCGTTTTTGTTTTAGATGTTCGATTTGGCAGACTCTGAAATTGCAACAGAAGTAACTTTCACGGAACAATTGAGACATTTAGTAGCGAAAATAAAAAATATAATTTACTATAGAGACGACACTCGTTATGCCACGAAGGAATTGTCATCGTTATCAGTCGTCTCCACCGAGGTCATGGGTCTCGTAGAAGGATTCCTCGCCACAAATAGAGCCCCTAATTCATTTGATATTTTAGAACTCGCGACACGACATCCGCACTTGCAATTATATAGCCATCAAAATGCTCCTTTTATTAATGCTGTAGATATCTTACTTAGCAGCGGTCTTAATAGAGAAATAACATATGGTCTTATTAATGTTGTAGAAAGGAAACTCGCCGAAGTGAGGAACTGCACCGATGTTACTGCGGTAAAGAAAAACAATTATATTCGTTTTGTTGAAGACGTTGCTAGCGTCACCTTTGAAATATTTGGCAATACAGATAAATCGTTCGATTTCGTAGATAACATATGTGGACTAATTGTTGATTGTAGAATTCCATTAAAACACAAGGAATTTTGCAAAATGAATCAACTTGCTAAGGAGTTGAGACAGTCTTGTGATGATTTAGTCGATGTTGTTAATATTACGGAATCAGTAAATATAGACCAAAATTTACTCCAAAAGTATCATCAAACATATATGAACGTCGTCGCCGCTTCTGATAAAGACATTTGTAACGTTGGTGAGGTGTCATGTCACGGTAATAAGAAGTCCAGAATACCTTACTTGAGGATGTGTTATATGTATTGCAAAACCGTTTCACAGTTAGAGCAAGAAGAAAATCAGTCCTCTGATACTTCTGTGGATTTACCCTACTTTTTTGTATTAGGTAAACAATTACACGATGTATTCGGTAACATGATTAACAAAAACGAGATACCTGTTACAAATTTAGAACCGATATGCAAGAAATTGAATGTTAACTTGATCCCAAAACTAATTTTAAACTTTTGCCCATCGATAACTTTGGCGAGTTCACATAAAGAAGCGACAGAAGAAAACTTCAATAATCTTCTACAATATGTATATGAATTCAGGAATCCAGAGGAAAATTTATTCTTAGACCCAGTGGCGAATTTTGCACCGTTACCGCGTTCACCTGATCCACAGTGTCTTACCTATATTATTCTTCATAATTGGGTTTTGGCACACATAATCAAGAAAATTCACACTACTTCTAATGAAAACAGTTTACAGCAAAGTATGGATGCTCGTACGAAAGCACTAAATAATTACATGGAGTTAGAAAGATTCAATTGCTTGAAAGTATTATTTGACGGTAATAAATATCTAGCTTCACTTCACACGTCGATAGATCTGGATAAACTCTTTGTATATATGCCAAAACTAATAGGTGCAGGGAAGATTCTGAAGTGTTTAAATATTATAGAGAGTTTGTCAGAAACACAGCAAATGTGTAGTGCTAATTTGAGCAATTTGAGAGATTTGATCCTTTTCAAACTTGCGACTAATTCTATGATCAGCAATAACTGGAGATACTGTCAGTACCTAAAATGTCCTGAATTAAAACTTAACTTGATATTAAATAATCTTAATAGCTGGTCAGCTGAAGGGGCAATGGAAATATTAGATTATTTGAGATTTCTTTTAAATCAAGAAGTTTTGGAAGAAGGTTTTTATGAAAAGTGTACAGACTGGATGATTAAAATACCTCTATATAGTCAGGTAATTGTTGTTGTTAATTTAACGCTATATTATTACATAAAAATCTAAAGAAAAAATATACATGATTTAATTTATGATTCAACCTCAAGACAGCCATTTGACCATTGTAAGTCTGAATGTGCCATTTTGTCTCCATCTGATGAAGTTTAATATAATTATGTTTATTTTTATTTATAGATAGCTTCCATAATGGGAGCAAACCATTGGTACGATGTTTACGAAAAGTCTATGGAAAATCCAGAAAATATTATCGAACTTCTTTTGGACAGTCAACAGGTAAGTTTGTTAATTTTGCATCGTAACTAGATTTATGTGTCGTTTTTCGTTTTTTTTAAACAATGATAATATTTTCCAGTACAAACTTTGCTTGGAATGGGCAGACGTACACAATGTTTCCGAAAATGTGAAAAACCTTATTGTGAAAAGCCTCTTGCAACAACTTTTCGAATATACCAATCAAGCGACTCCTGAATTTATTCAGGAACTATTACGGAGACTTCCGATGAACCAAGCTATGGATCTTATTCAGGAAGAAATGTCAAAAGTTAGAAACGTTGAAATACTTCAAGTTTGTATTGAATTTATTTCGGAAAACTCTTTTGATTGGAAATTATTTGAAAACATTAAAATAGGACTTCAAATAATGGTTGAAATTGATACGAACCTTCGTCATTTATTTTGGGATCTAATCGAGAAGCCATTATTAATGATAGAGCAGTTCTTAATGAACGCCAAACTGGACGTACTGGCTAATATAATTAATAAAATATGGCCAAATTTAAAAAAAGATCCTAGTGGTGACAATTTATATTATAACATTAAAATTATAGAGAGTGTTATAATTTCGAAGAATGCGGTTGATGCCTTGTTAAGGTTTTATGCGGAGAAAGCTTTGGATATGAAGAATCCTCTAAACGCTTGTCCTGTTCCGCCGAAGTTTATGGACGACTCTTTGCTACAGTCAATTGACTCTATTAACATCGAATCAGCTAATAAACCATTCATCATGCCGGAGCAGGTACCGACCAAAGAACAATGGGCGGAGGACTACTCTACCGATCGGTGCATGTTATGTCGCACATCTATATTCTCAATGATTATCCGTCGACATCATTGCCGGCGATGTGGAAGACTTGTGTGCCATGCCTGTTCTAGCCGAAGAATGCAGGTGAGTGCATCGTAATCAAAACCTGATTAATTTATTTCCAGTCTATATTGTAGTTTCCTTTAAATCTTCCAACGAAACTTTTTTAGGTGCCGACATATCCTAGTGGTGTAAAATTCAGGGTTTGCAACGATTGCTACACACAAACAATGACGAAAAAATCAAGTTCAGAATATGACAATGTATTGTTAAGCAGTAACTCTGACTCTGCTGCTAGTGGCACTACTTGCATGGACTGGTGCCTCTCTGCAAATTCTGGTAGGAATGAGGCAGTGAGAGCCGAGTTCAACTATGAGTTTACACCAAACGTTACCCTATGCTTGAGTATCATGAAGATGCATTCGATTAATTTGGATTACCCTAGGTGATTGTTTATATATTTATAAAGTAATATGTGCGACTTTGTATTATTTTAGAACTTCGTTTGCATGGGCTTATATCAAACCCGTACTTTTGGGGTTCTGCTTTAGTTTTGGAATACATTTTATGATTGTAAATAAGTATCTAAGGTTTATTATGACGTCAGGTTCCTCTTAGACCGTAGCGATGAAGTTGCGCGTGAGTTGTCAAGAGGTGGCGACGCGCGGCTGTTGGTTCGCGCTCGGCGATCTCTACTCCTTGCCGCTGCCGAATTATATTCAAGGACACCGCAGGAGAAAAAGTGAGTAAAGCGTCTAAACAAATTGGTCTTGCATAAAATCTCATTGATGTAGTATTTTTATATATCGTTTTTGAAATTATCGGCTTTCTTAGAATGGAGGTTTTAATATAAAGTTTTTATATGTTTATTATTCCTAAAATCTGTTCAGACAAAAGGGATTTTCAGGAAACAAGTACAACTATCATGTGCTGTAAACTTTTTAATCTGTTAAACTATAATGTTGACTACTAAACTGTCATTGGCAGTGGCGCGGGAAACATCAGTCGTTTGGCGGAAACGGGAGCGGCGCACGCGACACGGTGTCTCGCTCACGCCGATGCCATGGCCACCCTGGTAAAACACCAGGCCCATCACCTCATACCGCAGCAAGGCGCGCACCCAAGTTCGTATCTATAGTAATATTATAAAGATGAAAGATTTGATTGTTTCTTTGTTTGCATCGAATTGACTCCCTTAACTATTGGACCGATTTGAATACCTAGTCGATTTATTGAGGGAGGCTATATGACCGATAAAAGTGGAACAGCAGTGAAAAATTTTGGAAAAAACGGGAAAACCACGTGGGTGAACCCGATAGTAAAAAGCAGCCCCCTAATTGTCTAATTTTAAATCTATTGCAATCGCTTTCAGTTTGAAAGGTATTGCACAACCATTGCTTGTTTCTGAAGACAGTTGAAAAAAAAGTATTTGTATTATGCAGCAATGGTTGTGCAACACCTTTCAAACTGAAAGCGATTGCAATAGATTTAAAATTAGACAATTAGGGGGCTGGTCTATTCTAAAGTTATATCTATCGTTGAGCATGTTTCTGTGAGCTGTTTGGAATTAGACGTCCGTATACAATATCACGTGCCTGCTTATATTCACTATTATGAGTACTAGGTTATAAGTACTAAAACAAGAAAGGCTATATGTATGCTAGAATGTTATTATTAAAAATTAGAAATTAGAAAGAATAACTTACGGGACTGCACTACTACTACCATGAACCTTATATTTATTGAATCCCCCAATAAATAAAAGATACATGGTAGCAATCCCGTAGATAACTATCATTCCAAGAATTCTAAATTTTGAAATATTCAAACATTGCAGGTCAAATAGTACGATCCCTATTAGAGGCCGAGAAATGGGAATTAGCTCTAGAAATAGCAACAAAATCTGGACTTCCTCGAAACAGCGTACTAGCTGCTTGGGGCAAAGCATGTTTGAAGGCTGGCTGTTTCAAACAGGCGCGTGAAAAGTTCGCTCACTGCTTTAAGAGCACAGTTAATGTTTACGTAGAAGATGACTGCGAGTTTGGGAAAGAGGCTTCAGAATCCCATTTTATGAATAGGAGAGTTCAGAGTCTAAGGTATTCTGAAAGATCAAGTTCATCGGTGTCGAGTGTACAATCGGATGGGAGACCACGAACTAATCCGCCCTTATTAAATGAGATCGTCAACATGCTGGAGAATATGAACTATCCAGTAAACCAGCAGCTCTTGAATAAAGCTGAGACAATAAAGGTTAGTTAACAGTAACACAATAAAAGCTCTCTATTCCTCTTTCTAAAGCTTGTTAATATCTGTATTTTTCTTCAGACTACCAACGAAAAATTGACGTCATTAAACATGGGGAAAAAGAAAATACAGCTGACAGAACCTGCTCTTAATATAATGCACACTTTAGCTAGTGTCAAAAAAATCAAACAAGGTGATTACAGTGATTTCCAAACAGCATTTTTACAACCTAAAAAAAGTCTTGCTCAGGGTCTACTGCGGAGGAACAACAACCACTCCGAGCCCAAAACAGATCAAAACTATAAAAGGCTCGACCCGTTCTTCTATAAAGAATGTGTATATTATCTCACTAATTATGGATCTCATGTAGCCAATATAGCATTTTATTTGAAACACAGCAATATGACAGAAGTTATCACTTATTGCTATGACAATTTCGTGGAGAAGGAGACTTTTACAGAGTGTGTTTATATGGAATGTTTGAAAAAGGATCGCGTGAATGAACTGTTGAAGGCTATGAGCGATATGGACAGCACACTGGAGATGTGGTCGGTGAGTTCGATTTTTTTTAATATTCCGAATCCCGCGTTAGATTTTTTTACCAGTCAGAACCTTATCCCAGTACCCGTAATGGTTTTTTTTTATTTTCAAACCAGGAGTATATAATGCATATATGCCGCACTCTTGAAATGAGTAAGCGTCTGGAAGCGTTATACGCGCTTCAGTGTGGTAGTGGGCAGCACGCACGCGCGTCAGCCACGTGTGCACTGTTGTACTCACGCCCCACGGCCCGCGGGCCCACGCCCTTCGCCGCCCTCCACGCCCGGCAGCATCATCTCAACGCGGCCCTGCATCACCTGGGCCAGTGCGTGCCCGTCGCAGTCAGTGAGTATACTTGTCCACTCTTCATGCCTAGCAGCGTCACCTCAGTACGGCCCCCACCTGGGCCAGTGCGTGCCCGTCGCAGTCAGTGAGTATACTTGTCCACTCTCCATGCCTAGCAGCGTCACCTCAGTACGGCCCCCACCTGGGCCAGTGCGTGCCCGTCGCTGTCAGTGAGTATACTTGCCGACTCTCCACGCCCGGCAGCATCACCTCAACGCGGCCCTGCATCACCTGAGTCAGTGCGTGCCCGTCGCTGTCAGTGAGTATACTTCACTTTATCACCTGCAAATGGTGATTAAGTAAAGTATACTGAGTATAAAGTGAGCTGAGTGAAGTATACAAGTAATGAATGAGCTAACGATGAATGATTTTTGAGTAATTCAAGATTGCTTTATTTCGTCAAAAATGTAATCGTCTAACTCCTTGATTGGCCTCGCGTTTTAGTTTCGTTACATGTTGATTTAGCTTTATCTACACTCCTAAGCACCCTCTACCAAAGCAGAGCGGAGGAGAGACTTAAAATAAATGAATGAATATCATTCTTCGTTATTGAAGCGGGACGTTAATTAAATTAATCTTAACTCAAATAAAACTTGTTTAATCTGCTGATTAATGGAATTTGTCTCTTAAAAGTTATAATAAAAAAATTGCAGAGACAAACGATCCGAAATCGCTTAACTTCAACTTGGATAAAGCTACCATAGACAATCTGATGACAACTATAACACGTCAGATGGAGCTGACCAAATATCTAGCCGCCTGTGAGGCAAGCGGCCGCCTTACAGAAAAGGTTCTGAATGAAGTGATACCAGTCCAGAGCGGTCGCCGCGATGACAACAATTTCAGACCGGTGACACTGTTTGGATCAACGACAGATAAAATAAGACTTGTGGCGGTCGTGCTAGCAACAGGACAGTCTATAGAAGCTGGATTCGAATTGGCTTTCAAGTAATTTCCATTTTAAATTCATTCGTACTGTTAGTTATCCCTATTATTATTATTTATTTCTGATTGTTATCTCTAATATTGACTTAGAAATTACCATTGAAATATATTTTTTATTTAATTGATTAATTTTTATTTAAACCTTATTTATTTCAGGATCATCACAGAACATAAGCTCGATTCAATGAATATATACACCCACGTTGCTAGGTATCTTGTCCAATCCGACAGATTCATGGAAGTTAAAACACTAGCGAAATGTATTCGATCGTCAAAAGAAATCGCTGCGAAGTGAGTAAAATAACATTCTTATCAATACTTTGAAATAGCTTTTATAATCTAAGGCTTTTCATTAATTTACCATTATGTTAAATTAATGAAAAGCCTAAAAGAATAATGTATTTATTTGTGTGTATTAAATTGAAGTTGTAAGACGTGGTACACTATAGTAAAATTTCTCAGATTCCAAGACGAGTAACTAAAGCACTCGTATTATGGAGTATCTGAAACAATTTCATTTTCTATATTGACCTGACCGGGAATCGAACCCGACGTAAGCAACTCGGCTAATTTTGCTAATTTTATGTTTTAATCATGGTGGTTAGTTATTGTCAGCTCAGATTCAGAGCACCAATACATAGCGAAATCGATGTTCTAATTTTATGTACGAAAACGTCCATTCAATTCTTTTTTTTACCTTAAAAATAACTGAAAGGACGTTTTCTCATATAGGCGTCTTAATCGCAAGACTGTAGCACACATTGGTATCCATACATACGACGAATAAGCAGGTGTCAATCGCGCGACTAAAATACCTACAGACTAATTTTCTAATGTTTAAGCAGTGGCGGACTAAGCTGTAGCTATTCGCCAAAATCATAACATAGAGTTAAAAATGTATGAGGGGAGAGGGAAGCACAATATTAAGTTTCTGTCCTGGTTGGAGAGGGTTGTTAATTTGGGCCTATTGCAGCCCCGAGCCTCTGATGAGGTTAGTCCGCTACTGTGTTTACGTAATAGAGATTGTATTGAGATGCGATTATTACGTAAACATTATCAGAATTGGCCTGCTATACGTAAGTTCTTAACTTGGAAACAGTAATAAATTATGCAAATTTTTGCTTGATAAAATACCTTTTATGCTTGAATCAGTTTGATGAGTGACCAAGTATTGCAAGCGGGCGTGACGGCCGTGGTAACTCAGTGCGAAGCACGCGGTCAGCTACACGACGAGCAGGCAGAGATACTCATCGCAGACATACATAGCGTCACCATCAAGGTATTGATGTATATTTTTTTCATGATTAGAACTGAGTTTTATACGTCGTATGGAGACTCTAAGCGGTGAGGAGTTTACTGGCGTGATATCTAGTGCATTAGGTCTGGGATGCGGTTAAACAACCTTCGCAAGGGACGTTTAAGGGATGGGTGTTTAAAAATTTATTACTTTCAGCTTCTGTTTTTAAAAATATGTTAAGACGTTGGTCCACCTATCGAATACTAAACAATACAATGACCGTTAATCGTCATTTTTATATCGTGTAATTTCTCGTCATCATAATTTATGTTTTATCCAATCCAATATGGATGCGGAGTTTAGGAATATCGATTCTGGATAGTATAATTTAAAGTTTTTCAGCCGATATTATATTTTAATTAGGTATTTATTCTACTTTATCGTCTTTGCTGAACTAAAGTATGGATGTCCTCCCGTTTATTACGTAGGACATATCTTTCTCTATCTTATCTCCCAAATACCTCTCAAAAACCAGCGGAAACCAACCTCTAAACTGACAGTAGTACTAGAATTATTCTCAACACTTTTTTATTGGTTTCTAAGCATTATTTATAAGTGTATTCGAGCTTAATGAGTACGCACACACTGGTGATTTTTGATCATCGTTTCTGTCACAATGCTACTGTTATTTCTATGCAAACACATTAAGGTAGCGCGTGTCGCCGCAAGGATTCTAAAGCACGGTAACTGGAGACAAACAGTGACGATGACAATGTGACCAGTGCGCACGTAGCCTAATTGTGTTGTTAATTTAAACAAGTCATACTTTACAGATATCATGCTATTTGACTTGCCGGAACGTGAGCAGCGCCTACATTCTCGCAGCTCGCAACGATCGCACCAACGATCTTCGCCGGGTATTACAAGAGTCCGAGAGATTAGGCAATGACCATGTAAGAAACGCCTGTATCAAGCGGCTCACCTCAAAGAACGTCCTTTGATGGAGAATTATGTTTAAAGCGATTTGATTTGATGATGCACGATGCTTGAGAATGGATAATAGGATCTAGTTATAGAGCGAAAACGCACTGCGCTCTTAATATTTTTATAGGATTTTCCAATTATACTTATCCCATAAAGCATACAGTTCTGTTTTATAGCAATGATGATGAGAAAAATACAGTGGCGGAAATTTTGTACTAACTACATTACAATATCATTACTAAAGGCACTATCACACTGATGTATGTCCCACTGTAAAACGTTAGTACTGGAATTTCTTTGTTTTCTGAATGCATAAGCTTAAAGGTATGATTCCAAACTACATTGCACGTAGCAGCAGTACTGCCGTAGCAAAGCCGCTGAAGTACTACTGGTCCCTTAAATTCTACTCCTGGGCGTTATGCTACGCCGCCAAAGTAGATCAGTAGTGGCGCGTACACAAACGACAATACTCTCTAAATATTTCCTTATCATTTAACAGTTAACTTATAAAACATTGTCGTCTTGTTCAGAATAAGCGTGATGCACAGTTGAGCTGCAGAAGTGCTGCAGTAGCAGAACTGTATTAAAAAAATTTTTTTAAAAGTTATTTGGAAATCATTTGTCAACAAGTATCATTATCATGCATTATGGCATATTTAAACCTTAGTAATTAGGCTATCTATTTCAAATATTTCAAGTAAATTTTAATTGCATATAACTACGATTTATTGGAGATCCGTATACCAAACAGCTTTTTCTAAATCAATATATTTTTATTTATGATGTATGTGTTTACGATTTCGCGTGCACGTGCGCGCACAACTGATTAGCGCGTTTGATTTGCTATTGTGAAGAATAAGCGACGTTCGTAAAGGCTGGTAATCGGATGGGTGTTTATTTTTTTTACTTGGCTAAGCGGGGTGGAACGTTACATGCGATACGGGATAAGCCGAGGTGTATCGATAGATTGTGGTAGTAAACACTTGAGATTCTCCATACATTTTATGAGGGCATGCGATTAGTGCGATATCGAATTGCATCGCATCGAGCCATGGGAAGAGCCTTAATTGCGATTTATCATGCAACAAATAGCTCATTTACACTGCTACTACAGTCCAATTTCAAAGTCGCCGGAGTTATGCAAGCTAACCCGGTCAACCAATGTAAATGAGTATGACTTCGTTACATACAGACCCAGAGAGTAGACTCATTATTGTGTGTGGTGCTTCTAATAAAAATAGTATAAGATGAATGCAAATTCTTGAAGAATTTGAAACTGTCAATAAATGTAATAATGTTTTGCATTTAATGAATGATAATAAAGCAGACAATCCAATATATAAAAAGTGCAAATTTATATCTGTAATGTTGTAATTATCATATTTATATTTATCATATGAAAGTGTATGAGACAACTATAGAATAACACTTATTGTACATACCAATTTTATTCATGATGTGTTATGATATATAAAATTATTTGAATCATTGTTAACAACAAATTAACAGTTAAATCTGTAATATCCCTTCGTATCATTTGCATTGTAAAAGTTAAAAGCATAAATAACTCAAGATTAGAATTAAACTGTTCCTGATTAAATAATTTTAAGTGTTTTGTTGATTATATAATAACTGGGAATAATTATGCCGGTAATAATTGGTGTTTATAAGTGATAATTTTTTTTCTATTTTTCTCCTCGTGCTAAATTGCCACTAGAGAGCCTCCTAAATTTGTGAAAAATTTTTGGTTTAGTGTACGAGTTAAATTTATGAATGTACATGTATATACTTGTTACATTCAATATATTTATTCAAATAAAATTGTTAGGGATTGTATATTGTTGTTGTAAGATTAAATAAAACACAATACTAAAAAACCAGATACACTTTAAATAAATTGAAAAAGCAATATACAAAAATCTTGTCAGTAAAGTCCTTTAAGAAAACTTACAATAACAATATTAAGGGCATAAGACTTTTTCTTATAGTGTTCTCACTAAAATACTGTGATAAAATTTTCATCATCTTATTTTTAGTTGAGTAGATAAATCAATTTGAAATTCAGTTTATTTGTAAATAATTATACCAAAAGATAATAGATGTATTACTTCAATTTAACTGGTCTCATGATGTGATATTGACTGACTGTTTTATTAACATTGGAATTATTATTTTATTATTGTTAATCATTTGTAAAAATAAAGTCTATACTTAATTGTTGTTTATTGATAACTCTCATTGTGTAATGTTATTATGACAAACAACGCATTGGGGAGTTGTTCTTGACATATAATGAAGTAAATAAACAAAACTTTATATTTATAAAGACCTAAAGTATGCATACAAAATCATATAATTGGACAGATGGACAATAATCAAGTTATGACAGCATGTCTGGCAGAGATGGACGTCTCCAACTCCCCAAATCTCACTAAAGAGCGAAGAGCACAGTTCAATGGAGCCTGTCACATGCTAGAACACACACTGATGCACTTTTCTATTACTTCCTTCATACACTCTTTAGGTCATAACTTTTAGTCTTTACACATTAACCTCATTAGAAATTGGTTACTGAGTAGCCATGGCTTTCTTCTTGGGTTTCTTTAATCGTTTTAATCCATTGACACTTGTTTTAAGTAAGTTTGAATATGCAGTGCTAAATTTTTCCACATCCCTTTGCTCTACAACTGTAGAAATTTTATTGCTTCGACATTGAGCTCTAATTAGACATTTGTAACTTGGGTTCTTGATAACAGGGGTACCATCTCTGGGTACTGGTTTTGTGCGACCGTCGTCTGAAATGAACAGAAAAATTTGCAGCACAACTAAGTTTTAACAACATAGAGTATGCAAAGATTAAGTTACAGAAGTATTTGGTAGCATGTATTGTTTTATACTTACATCTCTTCAACGTCATAGTCACCGAACCTTCACCACGAGCTTTTTGAAATAGTTTCGTGAGTTCCACAAGAAACTAAAACATATAAATAACACTATTATAATAGTCAGAACTCCTTTAGAAAAGAAGTTTGAACTGAAATGATCGTTTTACCTCATCATTTCCTAGTAACACCATATTTTTTAATAATTAGTGGTGTTGAAGTATATTATTAAGATCGATGAATATATTTTAGAATTATGTAAAACAATCATTCATTTTTTATGGAAATATACAAAATTCGAAGGTATTTTTGATTTTTCGCAATTATAAACCGTACAATTATCTACAGAAATAAACGTGTGATGAGAACTGTCAATGTCAAATCGTATGAACGACACGTTGACACATAATGGTGATTTGGCCAAGGAGTTTTCCTCCATACATCCACCAAAACTTATTTAATCCACTTTTTACTATCATAACACCAGTCCGTTACTGGACACTCATTGTTTTGATTTTAGATGTAAAAAAATATTTATTGTTATTTTACAGACTGTATATTTCTTCAAGGACTATTGTGCCCATTCTTTAATTTTATAATAAGTATTACTTCTTAAAAGAGGTTTTAGTTTATGAGGTAAAGATACTGGGTACAAGAAATTAATTAATATAAATCGTAATATTATTGAATCTCTCGTTATTTGTTTTCAGGGTATCCTAAAAGTTTTGCCAAATTTATCATATTTATTCAACAAAAAATTAGAAAAAATAAAAATGAACCTAAAAGGTGCATCGAGTTAAAGTGAAACGCGTCGCCCCCGTAAGAATTACTCTAGTTCACAATGCAAGATGCGTTCCGGCTTCGAATAAGCCCTGAACTGTTATAGTTCAATTATACAAAAATAAATCCAATAATGCGTGGTTTAAAATTGGAAAATTGATTAAGCAAGTATATTTAATTTTATTGTACAAGTATCCGAACACGGCGTCTGCTGTCATCGATCAATGTATTACTTGGGATTATAGACTTTATTCTGATAGAAGCTAAGACTTTTTAAACAAATGACCCGCGCTTCAAATTTTATTTTGAAGATCAGCGTGTGGCAGATGAAACAAAGAAACGCATGATATCGCTCGTCGCCTATTACCATTCTACACAGGTCACTTAGCAACCACCAGCAACCGAATGCAAATGATCGTATCGAATGAAAACAATTCATCATTCATAAAATAATTTGACGACTATTCAATTTTTTTCTCGTGTGTTTGTTTCAATAACAAAAGTTCATGTGTAATGTATCCGAACGTATTCCTACGCTTAAATTATACAACAAAGTTTAGGAGTCTATCTACTTTATGTATCATGGAATAAAGAAGTGTCAATACAAAATTCTTGTATTATAAAATACTAGTCACCATCTCTTTTTACTACCTTATGACCTGTATGAGAGAATGAGAGAGAAAAAGACGAATAACATTAGTTGATACGACGAAGCAATATTAAGAAGTTGGTTTATGACGCCTATGATTTGGGGTCAACTTTAATTTCCTGATATTCAGAAGAAAGTACTAGGTGGCTCTCTTTTTGACTTCATAGGTAAGAATGAGAGGGGAAATGTTCTAGCTAGGATAACAGGAACACAGGGATAACAACCGCAGACCAATAACAGGATATAACAGCGGATTGTGCTGGTACGATATTTTACGCATAGTACTGTTCTCGCGTGTAGTATTTTCTATAACAGGTATTTTTGTTACGAATTTGTTGTTATGTTCCGTAGGGAAATACTTGTTCTTTTTACCTGTTACGATAAATACACCTCACCGCTACCCGCCATCCTCGTCTAACAAGTAGCGTTGCGCGCTAACTCTCTTTCACTTTATTTCGGATACCTCGAGTCTTTAACAGTTAGCAACTTTAATTTGCGGCCATTTGTTCACAGGTAGCGTTACATCATCATATTAAAAAAAAAAATAGCTTTAATTTGATATAAAAAACATGCGTATACGTCGTGAACGTATAAATACCCCAAAATTTACCTGTTTACACCTGGCTGCAACGTATTACGGCCGATTATACAACGGCACCTATCAATTTTGAAATTCTTTACGTATATTGCTATGATGTGGATGATATTTTATTAAAAAAGCAAATGAACGAAAATTTTTTGGATAATTAATTAACATTAATTTAATAAAAATTACTTGCGGCCACTTATTGACTGGCAGATTGTTATCAATGTATTCTCCTATTCATAAATGTATGTAAAAATGTAAGTTTGACTAACTACGCGATGAACTCGTACTTTTAGATATCAATACAAATACGAAAAAGTACAAATAGGATATGAGTTGTTTATTGAATTTTGAAAACTAATTAAACATGAAAGAAAACCGGAAAGGTTGTCATGGAGAAATCAAGAACGTAACGTGGCGACATCTAGTTAGATTTCGGGGACTAATGTTTTTCTTCAATACTTCCTCATTGAATTTCAACTCGATATCAATCCGAGTTATCAGATCCATAACAACACTGAGAATTCTATTCTCTTTCATTTGACATTTAGATCCTACGATTTGTGCTGCCATCTAGTGAAATATTTTTTTTAGTATCTTTAAAGAAAGCACTAAAAAAAGTACCCCTACTAGATGGCGACTCTAGCAAAAATTGATTTTTGCAGGAAACAAATTGACCAAAGATAGTCATTTCGCTAGTGAAGTGTCACTGAAATATTTAAACGATATTTGTGTGTTAGGGCGCTTGTGCACCACACTGAATTTTCAGGACCAGCGGTCCGATTTTTTCCAGTCCGGAATGACATGATAAACCCGGATGAGTAGCTTGTGATTTTGTCCGCTTATCCGGAATTTTTTGTCCGGAAATAAACGGACAAACGCACAAGCTGTTTAGGACAGCTCTCTTTGAAGCTAGACGTCACTTACGCTTGGTACAATGAGATTTTTGGAACGTCGGTAATTGCTTGCTTTATTACTTGATGTGCGAAGACGTAGAAGACAGAAAAAATATTGGGTTCATCCCCTTATAAGTGAAAGATACCTAAAAACCCTATTCTAGATTACCATATTGACGTCGTTTTGGTATTGGAATACATTTGTATATTAATTTAATAATGGGTGTGTTATAGCAAGAGAAACTGTATATTCCTTATGGTGTAACAGAAAATTATATTTTATTATTTTAAACCATACTTTTTAAACCGTTGTAATCCATTCGTGATAAGTTCCAACAGCATTTATTGTACTTATTGTATTATTTTTATTTTGTATGGATTTATTTACATTATATTGTTTGTCAATATTACTAGTTTCATTTAAGCAATGTTTCCGAACTTATCTGTTTACTTAATACGAAATTGGGTAGTGTAACGCAAAAAAATATCTTCTGTTATTATTTATTAACAAACCAAAGCCTTTCTAACTACATTTTTGTGTTTTTAATGATATCCAGAGGTCGGAATTAGGTAGAGTTATTTATGTACGTGCATCGAAATGTTGATATTAATGGGTCCACATTAATATCCCGGGATTTCTAATGTACAATCCCTTGGGCAATCAATCTTACAACTAAATAATAATAACAACGTCAGAGATAGACAAATAAAATAAAGATAATTAACATAAAATTTTTATTAGTTTACATCGCGCGTATTGGTATTTTGCAACTTTGGACATCCGATGTCATTGATGTAAGTTTGGCAACGTCGTGCGTGCAGTAGTTTATATTGTGTAAAAGTAAATAACTTTTTATTTAAATAATTACGGGATTTTTTCTGCTCTTTAAAATTAATCTCGGGATTTGAGGCATATCCACTTTATTCTTTCGCTGTATGAAATCAGTGTAAGTACATGAATAACTCTACCTAATTCCGACCACTGAATATCCAATGGTAAAATTTGCATAATATCGATCAATTATCGAAATACCTTTAACACATTATGGTTCCCATCACTACGAAATACGTGTCTTTGTACTAGCCAATAGCGTCGCCGCAATAGGGATGATGACTAATTTTTGTTTGTTTGTTCGTCAGGTAGAGTGTTAAAAAATATTAAACACGTATTTTTTTCATAATCACTAATCATAAAATTACGGCGTTACATTGAGTTGTAATTTCGCATGACGTCACGTTAGAATACGTTTTCTACCCAACTGTGACGTAGCGAGCCCCCACTCCTCAACTTTAATGCCTGTTATCTATACTATTTCTTGTTAAATTGAAGTAAAACAAAAAAAAACGGATCCAATATTTTTCTATTATCTGACTGACGGACTAAATGGAATTGCATTTTTTTTACCCAGTCATCATCCCTATTACCTCGCCCTATCACCTTCCCCACCATAGTCATCATGCAGTATCTATTGGAGGTTATCTGTGACTTCTCTAGTTATTAATCTCATTGGTTTAATACCCTAAGGCAGATACAGCATACTAGGGTTGCTAGCCGTGGATAGAACTGTTTATAAAATCCAAAAATATTTATTTTTAATAACCAAATCTAACAAATATTTATACAGATAGCGACTGTTCCTATGGGAGACTATGAGATATACCCACTTACGAAAGTATATTCTTAGGAACCATATCATCAATTTAAAAAAATATAAATGCTAATAATAATAGATACTTAAAAAAAATAGTTCTCCATCCGGAAATCGAACCCGGATGTTTTGAAGAATAAAACTAACATTATTTCTACTTAGATACCGATTAAGGTGACATAAAAATTTTATCGAAATCGAATCCTTTTCACTAAAATGTTTACATAAACGACAAGCTTATATCAGCGTAAGAACAAAAGATAGCGTATTTAAATTCATTCCAAATCCGTAAGGAGGATTACAAAAATCCCCCTTCAACGGGTATGTGCATTTTATTTGTAACTGATTTCTTTGTATAAAACTAGCTGTTTTCCACGACTTTACCCACGTAAATCATAATCATAGACCAAAGCCTATGCCCCCCGCGTATGACGTAGCTTCCCGTAGGTGATTTTTTTTCTTAAATTCGGTCCAATTCTTTCGGAGCCTATTAAATGCAAACAAACAAATGAGCAAAGCTTAGCTCTTTGTAATAAATAAGTTGTATTAAAGATTTAGGTACGCCTCCACTAATTTATGGCTTCCACAAAGGGCGACTAACGTTATGTTGGAGCCCGTCTAGTCGGTGGAGTTGAGAACGCAAGATCAACTTGGTCGGAGCACTAGTTGCCAACCGTGTAGTCAGTGCTTTTGTAAAGTCCGTCTCGCGAAAGAAGTCCCACGTTATAACTCTTATTACTTTGTAATAAAAGCGAAAACATTGTGATCCGAGGGACTTCTTTCATGAGGCGTACTTTAATGTTTATGTACATGCTTTAGCAGACTAGGGGTGTCCGTTAAGAAGATACATCGATATTTTTTTCGATGCAATACATCGCGACTATGCATCGATACTTTTCGATACATCGGTTTAAAACATCGATGTTTTTCTAAAATCGAGTACTTTTTTAACAGTTTTAAAAAATGATTACCAAAGGTAAGTGTGAAAATATCCTTTATTTTTATTACAAAAAGTACAGTCAAGTCTATGAATTATGTATACACTGTGGAACCTTATCATACTAACACTTACTCAATAGTCTTAGGACCTCGGTACATCGAAAATATATCTATTTATATAATGTGACAGGGGTCTCATTTGTAGACCTATTACGAGAAGAGGCGACTGTAAAGACTTTAAAAAAATCAGCGAAAATAAAAATCCCAATGGAATACTGGAAATATTTCCAGTGTTCTTTTGGAAGACTTTGCAAAAACAGAAGTTTATTTAAGCGGGAGCCCTTTAGTCGATTACGTTGTTGATTAACTGTTTGTGCAGCTTTTGAGAATAAACGTTCAGCTGGCACTGAAGTCCCCACCATGGTGAGGTACTTGTAAGCGATTATATGTAGTTTGGGTAGCTGAATTTTAAGATCATTCCATATCTGTAATGGGTTTTCATTGAGTCTTCCTACTGGACTACGTAAATATATAGATAGCTCGTCAGAACTAGAGCCGTCGACGTTTTCCAGTTCTTACGGACTAATTTATGGTGATCTTCCCATAAACAAAAGTTATCTTCAGGTTTCTCAGAATTATCCGAAGAATCTGATTCTACCTCATTTTGTGCTATAGTTTTCAATAAGTCTTTGACTTTTGCAACAGCTGAAGAGCAAGCAAGAGGATTTGTGAAATGCATTTTCTTGAATCTTGGGTCTAATACTGTAGCTATGGCGAGAGGGGTCACATTCTCTATAACACCCATTCTTTTGGCAATCTCTTTTAAGACTAGCGATTTCAGATCTTTTCCAAGAGAATCTTCGAGCTGAAGAGATTGTACTTTTAAAATAAGGCAGTGGATAAGTGGAATAACTTTGCTGCTAGTGCAGTACAAGTACTGCACTAGCAGCAAGGTATTCTGCACTAATATTCTGTAATGTATGCAAATTGCTAATGTACGACACAGTTAAATCCAAATGTAATTAAATGTTTTCACTTAAAGCTCATCAAATTATCGGGACACACACAATCAACAACACCAACGGTTGATGCTGTCAAAAACTTTTTTAAATTCTTTGTCATTGTGATGTACTGACGCAGTGTTACCAACGTTAATTTCTAGATTCCGTCAATAAAAATTTTAATCAAAATTATTTTTGCATCTATGCTTGCCATGTAAAGTAGTAAAAGCTACCCACGTGACTTTGGCGGAACCTAGAATAATGTACCCTTAGCGGTAAAACATGAGTTCGTCGCTATAAACAAAAGAAGAACCGCTTACTAGCGCCACCATTGCCACCAATAGGTTTTATTTTTGTCCTCTAAAATAAAGCAATTGAATTGAATCATTATAATATACCTAATCAGTAGTTAGCTAGTTACAATTTATTCGATGTTTCATGAAATACATCGATACATCGAAGAAATTAATAGCTTTCAAAACATCGAACCGATTCGATGTATCGACATGTAAACATCGAGTGAATTCGATGCATCGATGTATATCGAATATCTCTATAGCAGACAGAATATAGATAAGATAAGAACTCGTACATACAAAACTGTAGTTTGTGTAACTAAGTAATTTAACATCGTATGTAACAGTTCTGTGTTGCTGTGCCGGTTTGTTTGTTTTGCTGTTGAAATGTTTGCATATTGAACAAAGATATAAAAATAATAAAGGAAACTATTTCGCGAAAATATTGTGGTAGAAAAGTAGAGAGCTATGTCTGCTCAAGGTAAGTTTTAGGAAGTATGTGCAATGATCATTCATCGTAACATTAATGGTCTATCGTCTAATCATATTTTATACTAAGGTCTAGCTCTAGCGCTCTCTTTCACTAATATGTATATGGTAAAAGAAATATATCAGATTTCCACAATATAATTCAAACCTTAATGTTTTGTTGGTAATGTTCAAAAAATATTGTGGGAATTCGACATGTCGTGGTATAATTTTTTTTTTGAGTATGTTAAAGTATAAATTAACATAAATGTTAATACAGCAACACAGCAACACATCAAAATACTTAAATACCTAAAAATTAAAACTAGGTACATTCAATATTCAGTAGGTTTTCATCAAAATGAAGTGATAATGATAAATATGTACCTACAATGTCATGATAATGCATGCTTATCTACAATAAACTCGTTTGCAATAACATTTATTCTGTGCTTGGAACCACTATCACAGAATAATGCCACTTATGTACTTTATTTTCTCTCTACATTATGCCTCCTTTTGAAAAAAAATGGGATAATCAGCACAAACTATAATCAGAAACGATCGGATATCAATCTAAATATATTTATTTATAAAGAAATAAAAAGCTTTTTATTTTTTTTATTACTTCTACCTATAAGCATACAGATAAGCACAAAGTATTAAAATTCTTGAAGCACGGCGTATGGTTTTTTTCAATAATTATCAGATCAAAAGAGGAATAAAATATAAAAATGTAAAAAATAATTCAGTTAAAAAACTATTATGAGTTGTTAGGGTTGGCGCCGGCAGCTGGAGAGGTGGCGCGTCAGAATCAAATTCGGCTACTGTAACAACTTACAGGCTTTCATAAATTGGGACAAAATTAATTGGAATTGGAAATCGGGACTGTCCCAGAATAGCTCGGTGGCGTAGTGGATAAGCGCCGCGGTCTGCGATCGTTGTCCTTAAGCAACTTTCGCAAGGGTCGGTCACGGAATGGGTGACCAAAAAATTATTATCTCGAGCTACTCCGTGCTTCGGAAGGCACGTTAAGCCGTTTGTCCCGACTACATTTGCAGTCGTTAATACCCTCCAATTGCATTCCGCATTAGGCCAGCGTGGAGGGTCATGGCCCATCCTCCTTAACCATCCATAAGAAAGGCCTGAGTCCCTGCAGTGGGGCGTAAAAGGACTGATGATGATGATGACTCCCGGAAGAAACGGGATGGGTGGTATAACTCTGCTCATATGTTTTATAACGTTTTATAACGTTTTTATAACGTTTTATACGCAATGTTTTATAACGTTTCCGTGTGTGTGACTTTTGGTAAAATTATTAACAAGTTTGCAACTTATTATTATATTATTTGGTTATTATCACGTACGTTTAGTTGATTTTTTTGATTTTGACATTTAGTAGATTTTTTAGAGTTTTTCTTTGTTTATGACCAAAAAATACTTAATAATTTATGCGCCCTTATTGTGTTAAACAGAAATTAATAAAAAATATTTCACAACATCGCATATTGCTCTGAGCCCAAATGAAATCGCTTTTAACACACTTGAGGAAACCTGAAACAACGATAATACTACAACATCCAGAATCGAGACAACATAGTAAAGTTCACCTTTTCTACATACATATATTGATCCGATCGCGTATCAAACTCAGGTCCAAATAGATCACACACCTCGTTTCTGCGTAATATATAGGAACTAACTCGGATTAATGAATCTTACATTTTTCTAGGGCCGTATATAACAGCAGCGGCCGTAGCTGCTGGTGTGCTAGGAGGTGCCTACTGCGCTTATCGGGCTTATGAACAAATAAACAAAACGAGGTTACCACGACCAGAAGACTGGCGTCAAGTGGGTACGCTGAAGGACCTTTATGTGTACCCTATTAAGTCATGTGCACCGCAGAAGATACAACGAGCCGAATGCACTCAATTGGGTTTAAGGGATGGGTGGTTGAGGGATAGGTAATGGAAATCCCTTGAAGCTTTTTAATGATTAATTTCAAATAACGATAATGCATGGAAGTATCTCACGTTACAAAATCATTAACGAAGCCGTATTCTTATTCCCACCTGCCCACCTCTTCTAGTTATAACCTGAAGCTCTCCTGCATAACTTGAGTAGGCTAGGATTGAACAGATCAATTCTGATTGGTCTGCTGACAATTTTTCTATTCTTACCTTATCGATCACTTAAAACTTTGATAAATAAATCAATCACGACTGCAGTTACGCGATTGAGTCGCAAGTTATGGCCACGTGGGAAGACCATTAGACCAGTGGCACATCTTGTAGATTTCTGGTCATCTTAGCCCCATCCTTGGTTTTGTATTAAAATGGAGATACATGTAATACACACATGTAACAAACATACATAAATAAAATCTAAATTCTTAAGCATGTACGTAGTCAAATAGGTGTAAAGATGCTTTATAACTTGTACATAATTAACATGACACCTGAGTGCCTATTATATTTTTCCTCATAAGAAAATTCGGAAAATTTCAATTAGCTTAGTGTCTCCTCCGCTGCATCATAAATTATTGAAAAATGCGTTCTTTGGAGTCGTATTAGCCTTTAAAAAATATGGTTTTATTACATTGGAGATAACTCTATAATAAATCTTATTTCTTTGAACTTCTTATGTGCCGTATTATATCCATTATATACGTATAATATATTGCGCAGAATTATGATGGTGGTCGACCAAAAGAATAACTTCGTGACAGCAAGAAAATACCCGGAAATGCTTCTTGTACATCCTACTGTGAGGAACTCCATTCTTACGCTGACACATCCTAATAAGGAGACGATTCATGTTAATTTGGCAGAGGTATGGACTGCATCATGATACAATTTAGAAGAACCATTAAAACTATAAACTTACTTAGCTGTCAGTGTATTAAAAATATGAAAATCTTCTGTGCCGTATCTATACCGTTTGAGGCCCGTGGCAAATTCATCTGACCGGGTCCTTTTACCGGTCCTTTTACCTGGGGGCCCGTGGCAATTTGTCGACTTGCCACCCTGTAATTACGTCACTGAAAATCTTATATATCATAGTAAGACGACTTAAATACTATTGACTTATTCAGTTACTTTCTAAATAGACGATTTGTTGTACGCAAGGTAATCGCCCTGCAAAAGCCAGAGTTAGCTACTGTCTGGGGTGTTGAAGTCCCTGTGTTTGATTGCGGCTCGGATGTCAGCAAGTGGTTCTCCAGGTAACAACTTCACTACTGCTAAAGGCCTCTCACCTTCACTATGAATAGAATCAAATAGGGAGAACAGCCTTAATCCATTACACGATTGGTGATTATTAACAGCTGCAAATGCAGTAAAGACCAAACGGCTTAATGTGCCTTACGAAACACGGAGCAGCTCTATGAAATGTTATCAATAAGACACCTATTGAAATTTAAATTCAGTAGTGAAGCTATTTATACTATCACAAGACAAGAACAGGAATCTTGATTCATATATTAATATCATAATATCGGCACTGCAAATCAAACACGTAGTTTTTTCCAGCGTCGATATCATCCCACAGAGTCAATATATTTATTTTAAAAAGCACTTATTCCAATTCTATTACTTTATTTAAAAAAACAACCACTGAAACTACCATCAGTGACGGTCTCAGTTTGTACAACTACACCAAAGTCTGTACGCCATGATGCTTCAAAGAGCACTGTTCCTAACTGTGTGCACACACACACAAAAGAGATTTTTTTGGAATCACGTGCATTTCTTCATGACATACCTATCACTTTACGTCTCTAACTTAGTAAGTAGGTGGGTACTTACCTTTAACATTTCATGACCTGGACGAGAGGCCGACTAAACCGGGGCTCTCCAACTGCAAGAAACGTCGGTCCAGTGCAGTTGGCCTACCCTGCAAAACCCACCGTACCACCCTCTCTCGATAGTCCGGTACCTGGTAACTGGCAAGGAAACCCCGGAAAATTGTAGTACCTACCTTAGTCGAATTTTCAAATATCGATTTAAGGTTTGAAATCAGTTGGTTTTGTATAACTTGACGTATTGTCGCTGATGAAGCAGGCAGAGGAATCAATTTGCTTTAACATAATACAGTATTAAAAATCTTATTATCTATACTGTTTCAGTTTGATCAACCATCCGACAGATAATTTTAAGTTGGTGTACTATTCATCAGAAAACTGTCGCACGCTAGGAGGTGGAAGCATTCCAGTGAATGCAAATTTCAAGAAAGATGATACGGTATGTACACACGGCTGCACCTGACACTACCACAATATGTCCAATTTCCTCAAACTACCTACAAATGCATTAAGGTTTAAAATCAAGTGGAGAAGTTGGACAGTTTTGAATAGCCTTATGCTGTCGACTGTACAATAAATAACTAGGTCTTTTATTTTTTCCATACTAGTTAGTAGGAAAATCCGTGGAGCCTGAAAGTTCTTTGTTCTGTTATAGGGTGCCCTGTCAGACGAGGTTCCTTTCAATTTGATCAATCAAGCTTCAGTGGATGACCTGAACGAGCGCTTGGAAGACTTGAAGGTATCTCCATGCAACTTTAGGCCTAACTTCGTTTTGTCTGGAACAGCCAAGCCGTATGAAGAAGACAATTGGAAGTTTATCAAAATTGGACAGAACATATTCGAAGTACTAAAGCCATGCACAAGGTATAAAAACCATATCTATTACTTAATTCACCAACTAATCTAAGTACTTTATAATAATGGGAACAATCTATTATATTGATTGCAGGTGCTTATTTACTACAATTGATCCAGAAACTGGAGTACGAAATGCAAAAGCTGAACCCTTTGAAACTCTGAAAAGGTATATAATCTTTGTTTACACTTTCAATAAATGTTTAAATAGAAAATACAGGAAGAGGTGGTAAAGATGTAAAACTGACCTCGTTGAAAGATTTGAATAAATCGATTTCGTTTCACATCATACCTACTTATTATTAGATTTTTTGGTATGTACGCTATTAAAAATTAAGAAGGGTAGGAAAAAATATAAATTTCTATTTGACCCCATAAACCAGCAATTAAGTTAAACATCGAAATCTAAATTAAGTTTTATCTCTTCATTCTTTCTTTTTTTTCCGTATTCAGAATGAGGTAAAAATGACCCAAATTCCGTTCTCTCACTCTCTAAACAAAAAAATGTTTGATTTGGCTTTGCTTTGACGGTATTCCATAGTCACATTAATAAGTTCACATCTGTTCCTAATTATTTTCGGAATTAAAACACCGATTGAATTTGACAGCATCAAAACTTTAAGTGCAACAGAATGCTCTCAATATCCAATTAAAGAAATGAGAATAACGTTAAGTATTATTGTAATAATAAAAGCATACTTACAAAAGTTGATATTTGTTTCAGTTATCGAGTGACCGAAGACCCTGTGCTTCTTAAAGCAATAGGTAACTCGCCCTGCATGGGTCTACAAATATCTTTACGGTCAGGCTCCGGTGGACAAGTCGCACTTGATGAGCCAATCTACGTCGCTTAAAATGTACACACGGCTGCACGTCAGGTTAACATAATATGTCAAACTTCTGTAATGAATTTTATTAAGGTTCGAAACAGAGTGGGGGATTTTGAGTTTTGTATAGTCTGACGTGTTGTTATCTGTACTTAGTTTTGTTTATGAAAAGTTTATTATTTTCAAAATTATTGTCAAAATATATTCTTAAATAAAAATATATTGTTAATAAACAAACTACTCTTAAGTTTAAGGGATAATAAAGGTTTTTATGATGGTTTACTTATTTTTTGTTTCTGTGTTGACGATTATATTTTTATATAAATAAAACTGGAAGCATTTTGTCAAATACTTAAAATTATATAATCAAATAATCATTTAATATTTTATTGACCTATTTATATAATCAAATAATCATTTAATATTTTATTGATACCTATAATATACGTTCTGAAAATAATCAAAATTTTTATTTTTTCAAAAAATTAACAATAATGTGATAATTAATACTTCTTTTAAAAACGGTTCACTTTATTAAAGAAACTGTTATTTGAATCGAGCGGTTATCATTTAATTACCATACTTAAACTAGGTAAGTATATAAAGAAAACATTCGCCTGACTTCAATTGTAGTTATTCAGCTTAATGATTCGTATAGTTCTTCACTCTACCCTATCTATCTATCTACCCTTTACTTGTTCCTACAATAGAAGCAGTCACCATGTGAGATTTTATTACAAAGAAATAACGTATCTTTATTTATGTCTTTATCCTTAGATATAAAAGTGAGAAGGCAGGCCCAGTGTGGATTAGTGAGCATTAACGATTGCAGATGCAGCCGGGACTAACGGCTTATCGTGCCTTCCGAAACATGGAGGAACCTATAGGGTAACAAATTTCTGGTCACCCATCCGATGACCAGCCATAGCGACAGTTGGTTACCCCACGAAATTGCAGATAAGACATGCTAACCACTGCATCTTCGAGCTCATTAATATAAATAAACAATGGTATACCTATAAGTAAGCAATAATTCAATCGTTATTTCCACTTATTTCATTGAGCTGAATAAAATACTTACTCGAACAATTAATCGTGACTGATAGGTAATTACAAGTATATTAATCGAGATATAGAAGCAATCATTGTTTCATATTATGTTTTCTTATCACGTCTAGGCGGAACGCGGCGCGTTTCAATTGTTTTTTCATTTGACAATCGTATCTGTAGTATGTTGGCAACCCATCGAATTTAAGTCTTATGATGAGTAGTAGTAGTCAGTCTCATTTTATATGTGGAAATTTATTTATTTTAATTTAACTGATTTATTCACTTGACATTGGCAGAATTGTGTGAACGCGCAGATAAGTCATTAATAAAAGAAGAATTTTAGTGCAATGTCATACAAAGGTATGTGATTATCTAGATGCGTAATTTATTAGTAACCTCTAAATTTAGGCACCCGTCTTATGTTAAAATCACAAAACTCAAAGGTCAATTCAAATTCTGTTTTTATTATAGAAACTGCGATTTAACTTTTATAATGGATTAACTCATTTAATCTTAAATAATTAGAGTGGTAAATAAGAAGTAAATAAACACATAAAAAATAAATATGAAGTGGTAAATATTAATTTTCAAATAGTTAATATTCATTATTTTTATATGTACTTAAATTATTCATCTTAAAAATACAATGAGACGAAATGAATAAATCGAAGAATAAAATTTACACTCTCATATCATATCTACTCTAGTCGAGATAATTAAATACTTGAGACATAAACAGATATTTTAATCAATATTCGAGAATTTGAACGAAATAAGAACAGTAATAGTATTCTTCTTACTGTTAAGTTCTTATTTTATTCAGATTCTTGTTTGTTTAAAATATTTGCTTTGATTTCTTACTTTTACTCGACTATACATACGGGTGTTAGTTTTCTTTTTTTAAATTGGTGCCAGTGAAATACATGAAACTGTAGGAAATATTTAAATATCTCATGTAGTCTTGCTTGTAAATATAATATAATACACCTACCAAAATACATTATAATATAATCTATATATCGCACATCTAGATCTAAACTGAGACAACTCAAAAATTTGAGCGAGTTTTGACTTAGTAGGTACAATATTCAAATACTTGGTGATCATACGCATCTATCCAACATAACAGATTCAATAAAGATTCGGGGATGAGCCGCTAGATAACTTTAGCTTTCTTTTGTTGAATCAACAGTGGTCGCGCTCCTGCCACGTAAACACACGTATTGTCAAATCTCCAAATTAGTTTTTTGAGTTGTCTTATTTAGATCTAGGTGTGCGATATATAGATTAGTTATAATATCTATTAATTTATATTTACCTCGTTAGCATGTAGGTAATTATCAATAGTTGGATTTATTTAAATATTTTGATGGATTCTATTTTCAGTCCGGTTAGATAATTGACAATTTAAGTTCCAGTTCATGGGACCGCAGTGATAGTTACAGCAGTAGGTGGCGTTCTTGGCATAGTTTACTGCTTATACCGCTTTTATCAAGAAACGAGGAAAAAGAAGCTGCCACAAAAATGGAGATCAGTAGGGTTTTTGAAGAGCTTGAATATATACCCTATCAAGTCGTGTGGAGTAATTTCTACGGATAAAGCCGAATGCACTTTATTAGGACTAAAACGCGAGTGGCTTCGGGATAGGTTAGTCTTGGACAGAAAAAGTAATATTTTTTTGTGTTAATCATGTTTGTTAGACATCACATCACATAAAATATGATTTTTTTATTTATAATCGGCTCACTCTTGAGCTCAATCTAGCCAAAGGACATGAATGAGATATATGATGGGATACGAGCTTGAGATATATTTTGTTCACAAACTATTGAGATATATTTTGTTCTAGAATCTTGTGTGTGGTCGATGATTCATATAACTTCATCACAGCTAGGGTATATCAAGACCTTTTATTAGTTTCGCCCAATGTGGATGGTTCCGTAATCACTCTGGAGCACCCTGCTATGGATGTTCCCGTCAAGGTGGATTTGGCAGAAGTAAGTAAAAAGATTTAACCTAAACTCTAAAAGGAGAAGAAAATAAAAAAATATTGATTTATGTATGATACGTATCTGCCTATATGGTCGTATGTGTGTAGCAATCTTTAAGCCTATTAGATGAGTATATTATATATTTCAAATGTAATATTTTATGTAATTCCAGGTCATAGCAACGGAGTTCCCTAAAACAGCTACTATCTGGGGTAACGAGGTCTCTGTGTATGACTGTGGCAACGAAGCTAGTCAATGGTTTACAAAGTAAATAATTGAAATAAAACAATTTTCTTGAAAACAATATGAGTATTTTGAAATTTCAAAAGTAGTGTCAATTATTCGTGAAAATACTGAGGTTTAATTACTTTCAGATTGTTAAAACGCCCCTCTAAGAATTATTACTTGGTGCTGTATGCGTCTCAGAAGTGCCGCTTCAGTAAAGATCCACGATACAAATATTTTAATTTCACCAAAGATGACACGGTAAATTTTCGATTCATATTTCTTCCGAAAATTTTTGCTTAAATTAATTATGAAAAAACAAACCGCATATGCGTGTCATCACGCCCTTCTTATTCATATCAGAACTTAGAGAATTCAATTTTATGCATACATTGAACGATATTAGTTTCAGAGGGAGATGACGTGATAGCGATGCCATGCCATAAGTGTAGTTTCCGTGGGAAATTTTGAAAATAAAATTAATTTTTGGATTTTAACTTATCATATCGACGCTGGAAAGCAAACACCTATACTCCGTTCATTATAGCATTAGACAGAAGTTAAACAAGGTTCTTTTTATGGTATACTTTGTGATAAAATGTCAACAATCATGTTACTCTTAAGACTAACGGATAATTCGCTACATATCCACTTAAATACCAGCTGCTATACTTAACCGTTGTCTTTTAAGCTATATATTAAACAAAATTATGAGTATTTGACTAACTTAAAAAATTTAATAACTTTTACAATAAAAAGTATATAGATCTTAAGTATATAGATCTTAAAGAACCTAGAGAAGCAGGGTTGGATACTCTCGGCATGATTCTCATGTCACTATAACTACCAAATTTAAAACATTACCTAATCCCTTCAAACGTTTTGGTAGTACAGCTTTTTATTTTGTCAGATTATGATGTATTTATAATAGTTAAAATACGTAATCTGGGATTCTCGTTAATTGTGAATGTTATTGCCTTTCTTGTTGTTTTACCGTATTCCGTGATTGAGTTGTTTTTGTATTATTGTTTTCTGAAAGTTTTGTTTTAGTTATCTTTTTGAAATTAAGTTTTGCGAACTATGGACGATTCCGGTGCAGGTCCGAATGGCCTACAATAATTACCTCTGACATTTCAGGAAGTTTTTCCAATATCTGAATGAATGTTAGAAAAGTAATAATAAAAATTTCATTTTGTTTACCTCTCTTTCCTGGGCATAAATATAACTAAATTCTATTCTAATTATACACTTACAATTAGAATTTATCAAAACAACAGGATAGGTAGTTATAGTTCCATATTGGCTTGGGAGTAAAAGATGAATTACAAAATTCTAGCCTCATCGCAAAAGAAAATGGAAATTTGCCCAACTCTTTCAGACTACCTAACGTCCAAAATTTAAGCAAAACTATTATATATATTTTTAAAATTTATCTTAAAAATAAAATGTTCTGCACTGCTACTTCTGTGACCCTCTTTTTTCTAATGTTATAATGAATGGAGTATAGTAACCCGCAAAACCAATATTATTCATTAGAGCAGAAAAAAGGTTTGTTATCGTAAAATAATTCTTATAAACATCCATGATTATAAATAAAGTGTTCCTAAATCAATTTATACGGAGAAAAGATATTTTTTTGGAAAATATAAAGATTATACACTACTTTCCAGCGTCGATATAAATGATTTTTTTTAGATATATTTCATGTATATCTATAAAATAAATATTTATAAAAAATTTGTCTACGCCCTTATCTGTCTACTACTATTAAAAATACTAAAAGTAACCGCTACAATATCTACGTCAGGGTGCGTTTCCTGATGACACTTCATACCATCTCATCAACGAAGCCTCAGTGGAAGACCTAAATCCCCGGCTGGAGGGCAGTGCAGTCACCGCACGGCAGTTTAGACCTAACTTTATCATATCTGGGTGTCAGCCCTACGACGAGGATAACTGGAACTTTATCAAGATTGGAGAAAACGTGTTTGAAGTTGTTATGCCGTGTCTGAGGTAGGTAGTTTGCAAAAAATAAACTAATTATTTATACCTTTGATATATCCGATATTTTGTCAATTAATCTAATGTCGATATTAATTATTAAGTAATAAGAATAGACTAATTTTTATGGAGTAAAATATCAGTTAAATCACATTCTGTTGTATTATATTTTGAATTTAGATGTAAACACGTATGTATATTTAAAAATTTCAAATATTTTTAGATGTGTTTTGACCACCCTTGATCCTGAAACTGGTTCTAGAAATTCTAATAATGAACCCTTACAAACGCTGAGAGGGTAAGTTACTATTTATTATGGTAGATAAGATATCTTTGTTGGTTAAGACCGCTGGAATCTACAACGATGCGCTGCGCGGTATATTTGCACAAGTTATCGAACGTCCATAGTGCCTTCAATCACTTTCACTAGCCAAAAATCTGCACTAAAACCGCTACGAAACCTGTCATATGGATATACTATAAGTAGGAACAAAACAAAGAGAATTGAATCAGTCTCAATCTATTTTTAATTCGTCATAATATTCATTTTATTGTCATATTGTTTTAACGATTTTTATTTTAATATTATACTTAAATACTTTGATCACAGATTACGTAATGGGTCTTCTTCACCATTTTTGTGCAAAGGCAGTCTAATTCTGTTTGTAATAATTAACAAAATCTCGTTTACAGCTATCGCCAGCATGACAATGAATTGATCAGAAAGGCGTTCGGCAACTCTCCACGTATGGGTTTACAGTTGGCGCTCCGTTCCGAATCCGGCGGTGTCATATCAGTCAACGATCCAGTTTCAGTCGCCTAAAGTAACGTAAGGCTGCACTTCAGGTTACAACAATATGTTTAATTTGCACAATGGATTTTGACTTCTACACTCCATGTATTTAAGTTTAAAATAAAGTTTTGTATAACATGACGTGCTGTGAATCTTCGTTTGCGAAGATCAGGTGTAGGTATAAATTCCAATAATATACAAGTACGATTATAACCAGTCTTGTTTTATAACCAATTGCTGTAAACGTTAAACAAGAGACAGTATGGAGTATTATCTATACCTATATAATGTAATCATGTCCAATTTTGACCTTAAAACTTACTAAAGCGTAGTTTATTTTTACTTATTTCATATCAGGAAATTAAATATTAAAATAAGGTCAAGATAAAAATTGCGAGGGTGATAATTATTTTTTTATAGTACTATGATAATTACTCGAATACGATTAGAACCCAATGACGGTTTGCTACGTTTAGTTTCATCAACTACGGAAAACATATTCTATCGTGAAAAAATGGTAAAATATTATCCTATTTAAAGCAAAACCTAATTCAAATTATCAATAATAGCGGGTAGACGCGACCTTTAAAAAAACATGTGACAGCTCAATCAATGTATGGAATGTGGAAATGATTCTTTAATTCGATATGTAATGAGACAATTTATAATATAAACTTATTATTTACGAGATTTCTAGGTACGATTGTATTTTCTTTGAACATTATTTTCGTTCCTGAACCTTATTAAAAGGAAAACTTTCAACGAAACAAACAAAATTTCGGAAAATTTTGTAACGTTCTTATAATTTTGTTAAATTCATATCGGCGGAGATTACCTGTGCATCAGAGGCCTCAGGTCCTACCTCCATTTGGTTTAGATCTGTGTCTTAATTCTAAATATATAAATTACAGATGATGATGATAAAAGAAAAAAATACATCATATAAAGGTCTTTATTAACTTAAATGCGTAAGATCTGAGCACAAATCTTCCTAGATTCCTTTTCTGCGGAAACCAGTAATCTAGCAAATGTGCCGCCACCTGTGCCCTTAGTGAGATGCTCTGGGTTCACAACAACGCACCCGTTTATCTCCTGTAATATTTATGTAATGTTAATGTATTTTTAACTCATGGCAATATATAATTGATTAAAAATTCGACTTTATTTAAAGAAATAATAAAAGATTCAACCGTATCATGTGCCCATCCCATCTCAGGCACGAACCAATAACCTGGTTTCATATTTAAAGCACTATTGTACCGACGGTCACCCGGACCAAAATGTAAGTAATTCTTATGAACGTAATTCTTTTGTCACAAGGAATCAGAAACGCATGTTGCATACTCTGATTGTAAATCAGCCAATTTACATAGAATTTAAATTATACAATAAAAACTTTCGTAATACTAATAAATTACAATAATCATTTCTGAAAACTACACTTTTGTGTTGTTTCGAGAGACCTCAACAGGCAGTGTAAGCCTAAAATCTCAGCTAAATAGTTTCCTAAGAGGAATTAAAAATATTGTGAACTTTATCCATTGTTTAATATAATTGGGTGTTTTAGCCTTGTGTAAAATAAAGATTATTATTATACTACTACGAGGGTCAAACTGAAAGTTCTTAGAACTGGCCACTTATAAACAATATAATAAAAAAATAATTCTAAAATTTGAAAATATAACTCTTTGCCAATATTACTGAGTATATATTTCATTCATTTGTCATTTGTTTTACGATTTGGCGGCAAATTGAAAATTGTCTGTGTCACGTCATCATGAATTTAACACGAGAAAATTTTCGTGCAATGATTTTTTATGACTTTCGATGTCATTTAAGTCAACAAGAAAGTTATGATAGACTACGATTGGCCTTTCACGATGAAGCCCCATCTCGTGCGACTGTTTACAACTGGTTTAATGAGTTTAAACGTGGTCGCACTAATCTCACTGATGATTTACGTGAGGGACGGCCTTCTACGGCGACGACTGAAGATAACATCTGTGTTGTGCGGCGTATGATAGAGACTGACAAAAGAGTGACCTATCAACAGATTCGGACAAGCTTAGGCATCGGTATGAGTCAAGTGCACAAAATCCTCCACGAACATTTAGCGGTCAGGAAGCTTTGCGCCCGGTGGATACCTCATAATTTGACTGAGGCTCAAAAACTCCATCGTGTGGATTGGTGTCGTAAAATGATTGAAAGATTTAACGGAGGTGACTCAAATGCTGTGTTCGACATACTAACAGGTGACGAAAGCTGGATTTACTGTTATGATCCTAAAACCAAAAGACAATCTGCTCAGTGGGTGTTTCCTTTCGAGGAGTTGCCAACTAAAGTGAAGAGAGATCGAAGTGCGGGAAAAAAAATGGTGGCCTCGTTCTTTGGAAGGATAGGTCATTTTGCAACAATTGTGTTAGAGGATCAAAAAACAGTTTCTGCAGAATGGTACACTACCAATTGTTTGCCACTTGTCTTGGAAGAAGTTCGAGAGAAACGACCTCGCAGTAGGATCCTCCTTCACCACGACAACGCCTCGTCGCACATCGCCAAGCGAACGATCGACTATTTGGCGACATCAAACGTTGAATTACTGGGTCACCCGCCGTATAGCCCCGACCTCGCGCCTTGTGATTTTTATTTATTTCCAAAAATTAAAGAAAAACTTAAAGGAAAGCGGTTTATGAATGCTGAAGAAGCGGTGGCTGCGTATCGCGATGCCATTGAAGAGACCCCTAAGGACGAGTGGGCAAAGTGCTTTTCCCAGTGGTTCCATCGCATGCAGCGGTGTATTGACGTGAATGGACAATATTTTGAAAAGATATAATAAAACTAATAACTGGCTAATGTAATCAGTTTTTGATTTTCTAAGAACTTTCAGTTTGACCCTCGTATACATACTTTGACGAAGTATCTGAAGTTGGATGGTAGTACGATAACATGGGGCGTGGTGGGTAGTTGCGCATGCGCCGCCCACAGCGCCGCGTCGACAGGCAGCGAAGACCCCGCCCCCGCCCCCCACAGCGGGTAGTATGTTTGTTGCTGCATGATGTGCGCAGCCAAACGTGACAGTCTGTCTCCACCCATACCTCTGCGGGTCACCAGACAGAAAACGTTAGCTAATCCTCACAGTACGTGGGAAGACGATAAAGTTTTGCCTCGTGTACACACAGATGAGCAAGAAGTCACATTCCCGTTCCGTTGTTCGTTAGTTCCGGAAAAATATATGACCAAAACTTAAAAGGGAGTCGTTAAATTAATTTGTCGCAGCAGGAGTAGTATTATAAGTGAGCGAACAGACTGCCCTAAAATAAATTAAGGCAGATCGTTTGCTGGTTTTAAAACTACTCCTGCTGCCAATAGCTGGGAACGAAACACGAACTCAAAGACTGAACTAGTTCATTTAGCAGCGGCGAACTTAACTCATCGATTTCAGTCGTGACCTATTACGCCCAAAACTATTGAAAGTGGCGATTCTTCTTTGTTTAGTTGATAAGTTCGATCTATAACAACATTGTTGCACCATTGAGTGCGATTATCGTTGAACAGTCAATGATCGAGTTTAAGCGTAAATAACAACTAGTGAATTAGTGACAGTTTGCCTTAAAATATATCCGCATAAGGCACTTTTTAATGATTACTTTTTCGTAATTGTAAGATTTTACTATATTAATATTATAAATAGGAAATATTTATTTGCATTAAAGGCTCCGGAAATATTTGACCTATTTAAGAACTTGTTTCAACTACAACTACTATTACCACATACACGGCATAACAACTAAAACAATTACATTCTATGATATCATATCACTTACAAAGATATCTCTTCCTGGCTGATATGCATAAGAACGTCAGTACTGGTAACGCCGACGATGATGCCGTTAATGTTGAGGGTGCAAGGGTCCGGTAGGAAATTAATATTCATGTGTTTTCTTCTGCTCGAATACGCCGGAGTGGGATAGATGTTGACATGAAAAGCATCTTTTAAGCTCGATACGATATAAATTTTTGTGAACGGACTGAAAATAAAAAGAAAAATTACTGATTTCTTATATTTTCACGCGCACAACTCATTAAATAAAACAACTTTGAACGGTTTCAACTTTGAAACGCTTAAAGTTGTTTTATTATTATTCGTTTTCATAGACAATTTGATTGATTTTAAAGTACGTATTTCGTAATATCTCATAGAAGATAAGGTTAGAAGTGAAGCTTAAATGTATCTTACCAGCTATTATTTAATTCTCCCAAGCTGTCAACAAGTTTCTCGAAGAATGATTTGAATGTTTCGGCCATTGACAACTCTTTGACCATGGAATGTTCGCTGTCCATAAATGGTCCTGTCATTATAACTACATGAGGCTTGTGAGTTGTAATGTGTGTGACCAAATCTTTCAGTGGCTCATAGTTCAAGTTGTCTGATGTTGTGTATGGACCGGCAGCTACCAATATTGAAAGTGTACCTAAAACATTTTTTTTTAATATAATAAATATGATTTTGAATTACTAAAAATTTAATTTTTAACCTTATTCCATTGCACACACAGTAGAATAGCACCTTTATTAAATATGAGCATTTTCACTGTTTTTTAAGGGTTAAATGTTGGTAACAACTTTTGATATCGATGTAAATCGTTTTCAGATATCAAATCATGGTTAGTTACCTAATTGTGAAAGTTATGTTCTAGATATATATACATTACCGCACTACACGACACGACGCAAGATAGACCTTACTGCTATAAAATGTAAAGGTCATTTTTAAAGGTATATGAAATTCCCTTCAACTCTTTTGCATCATGGATTTTGCTTATATTACAAAGAGAAGGAGCGAAACACGTTCCTATATGTAACGATTTGTATCGTTTGTTGGGTTAACCGATACATATAATCGGTTTTCAAATAAGTTTTGAAATATCGAATTCGTTCTTTACCGGTACTGTTAATAAGTATTAGGTTAGTGAGTGTAGTTTATGTCAACTTTTTAAATGGCTCTAAGAAATATGCCCAAAAATTACTCTATAGAAATATCTGGCTAACAATAAATTAGTTACCTTCTAAACAGTTCATCATGTCTGCTCTACAATCGGGTATAGGAAGTGATGAATCACAAAAAACCTCATGAGCTATAAACTTGTCGCCACGTGGGTTAATACCTTTCATCACCACCACTTGGCCAGGGAACAGAGAATACTGTTGTAAGCTGAAAAAGCGATAATTTTATGGGAACATCTTTTAAGCCTGTACTAAATCTACAATACTATTATAAAGAGGAAAACTAAGTTTTTTGTAATGAATAGGCTCAAAAACTACAGGATCGATTTTAAAAATTCTTTCACCATTCGAAAGCTACACTATCCACGAGTAACATAGACTATATTTTATTTTGGAACAAAATAGGGCTCGGTAAGATATTTGGGTTTTTCGGACATAAGGTGTAAAAAATCAACCAGAAAAGTTACTTATATTGCGTACGCTTCCTATACTATAAATAAAAGATAGAACCTAATAAGTCCGCGACACACTATACCTATCTATGTCGAGTGAAGCACAACAACCATATTTTTATTTCAAAATCTTGTTTTTTTTTTACTATATTTAGGGCCAGTTTCACCGGTTACTGATAAAGTTTCAGATAGTTATCTGATAGTTAACGCTATCTACTGGATAAAGGTTGCTGTTAACTTTTTTCTGTTTCACCATCAAACTGCTAGATAATTTATCTGGCAGATAAGTTATCGGCCACTTATTAGTTGACGGAACGGCAACGTCGCTTTTTTGCGTTTCAATACTACGACCCAAATTATCGTCAATCAAATATCATTTTTAAAACTTAATTAATATTATTTTTTGTGTTCAATATTATTTAAGTAAACTTTTTATACTTATACTTTACATATTTTGAATTATAATTTTATGATTCTAGAATGAAATAATACGATATTCGTATACTTAGCTACGTGTTTACAGAAACGAAAAGCAACTATCATTTGTTTTGCTTTGTTGATATTTTGTGCTTAAGACGCTTTTCAGTTTTTAAACTTTCTTTGTGTATTATTTTCGTATTTGTTAATTAATAATGGAAAAACAAAAACGTGAAAGAAGTGTGAATTTTAATCAAGAAGAAACAAACGGAGCTTCTTTACTTACTAGTTAACGGAGATTTTTTACTAAATAGCCCGTTGTAGTTTTTATATCACTTTCTATTAACGATAGAATATAAATAACAGCCCGCTTGGTAAGCCGAAATCGATTTCTAAAATCTTGATCCTCAAGTGATTCTCAATAATTAGGTCTAGGGTTAATTACTCGATTCCTACGGGGTCGCGTAATACGTTCGAAATATTCATCTAATTCGTCTTTTAAAAACTCAAATAAATCCATTTTAGAATATTTGTGACACTTGTGACTGCAATCGACGCAAAGCACACAATAATGGTCTAAAACTATTTTCGTTCCCGTCAATTGAAACTTTTTTTTTATCTATCAGATAACGTCTTTATCAGCCACTTGAATCGGCTGATAACATATCTAATACTTTATCTGCCAGATATTTTTATCCGAGACCTGTGAAACCAAAAGTTGTAGTTTATCTGGCAGATAAGTTCCTGATAGACTATCAGGGACTTTATCAGCAACCGGTGAAACCGGCCCTTAAACGCGTTTAATTTGCTCATGCTTTTAATCCTTATCAAAATAAATTTATTTAATCACTAAGTACAGTTTATGTAGATAATATATGGTCTTTGAATGATTAAAATTGGACGTTTGGTTTTGTAGTTATGGCGAAATTAAAATATTACGATTTCTGCTGCACGGTCCAGCGGACAGGTAGGTAAGGTACCAGCGGAACACGTAGGCGAAGCCGCTGGCGGAAAGCTAGTAGTTAATAAAAAGGCATTCGTTCATACTTATCCATATCAATGGAGACTATCTGGCTGAGTGATTCTTCCCAAGTCCCTTGAAGCATTACACATTTCGGATTTAATCTTGCATCTGCATCGCATTCTATTCGGCCAGCTACAGTCACCTCGGTCTAACAATGTTAAAGGTAAACGAAAAATAAACCTACAGGTCACTAGGTTTATTAGGCTGGATACATATCTCGGCCTACAATTGGTGCATATGATAGACGAGCTTGTTAGTTATATGAAAATCTATAAACCTTATGCGACCGCCAAATGTATCATTTGAGCAAACGTTTACAAAACACATTATACTCCATTCATTATAACATTAGAAAAAAGAGGATCACAGAAGCAGCAGTGCAGAACATTTTATTATCAAGACAAATTTTAAAATATGTATAATAGTTTTGTTGAAACTTTGAAAGTTAGGTAGTCTGAAAGAGTTGGGCAATTTTCCATTTTCTTTTGCTATGAGGCTAGAATTTTCTAAATTCATTTTTTACTCCCAAGCCAATATGGAACTATAACTATCTATCTGTTGTTTTGATAAATTCTAATTGTAAGTGTATAATTAGAATAGAATTTAGTAATATTTATGCCCAGGAAAGAAAGGTAAACAAAATGAAATTTTTAGTATTACTTTTATAACACTTATTCAGATATTATTAGATTATTGATTAATATATTGGAAAAACTTCCTGAAATGTCAGAGGTAATTGTTGTAGGCCATTTGGACCTGCACCGGAATCGTCCATATTTAGCAAAACTTAACATCAAAAAGATAACAACCAAAACAAAACTATAAGAAAACAACAATAATTTAATAACAACTCAATCACGGAATACGGTAAAACAACAAGAAAAGCAATAACATTCACAATTAATGAGAATCCCAGATTACGTATTTTGACTATTATGAATACATCATAATCTGACAAAATTAAAAAGCTGTACTACCGAAACGTTTGAAGGGATTAAGCAACGTTTTCAATTTGGTAGAGTTATAGTGACATGAGAATCGTGCCGAGACTATCCAACCCTGCTTCTGTAGGTTCTTTAAGATGAACACTTTTTATTGTAAAATTTATTAAGTCTTTTAAGTTAGTCAAATACTCATAATTTTGTTTAACAGATAGCTTAAACGAAAACTGTTAAGTATAGCAGCTGGTATTTAAGTGGATATGTAGCAAATAAGCCGACAGTCTTCCGTCAGCCGTCGTCAGAGTATTGTTATTGTTTCGAGTTGCGGATTATCTTGGGTTTATGCAGCCCAGTATCACTGCGACCATTGCTGATCTATTGTGATCTCCACATACTACAGTTCACGGTCAAGATTACATTCTACAAGGAACTGTAGTATTTTCTTGGCCGTAAGTTCTTTAATATCGTCTGGGTGCATCACGTGCTTTCCCAGATAGATACATCGTTTTCGCATTAGTGACAGGCAATCGGTCAAAATGTGCAAAGGTGTTTCCTCCTCAGCCTTGCATCCTCTGCACATTCTACTGCCGCTGATCCCCATATTGTACATGTGTCTGTTCAGTCCACAATGTCCCGTGAGTGCTCGTACTAGTGTGCGAAGGTGATTTTTGGTTAAGTTTAAGGCCTCTGATGCCGCCTTTTTGTTGAAGGTTTTAATCAGGGTCTTAGAGTGTTTCATACCGGGAGTGTTTCTCCATAGTTGAATAGCTGCGTAATGGCAGTATGTTTTCAAGGTGAGCTGGGTTAGGCTTTGAGGGATGCCACAGAAAGGTTCTGGTCCGATAAGGGCGTCTTTAGCACCCTTCTTCGCCAGTTTGTCCGCCTGTTCATTGCCCTCATGTCCAGCGTGACCTGGAACCCATCGTAGAACTACTTTGTTTTTGTTGCCCAAAGAGTTCAATGTTTGTTTGCAGTTCAGTTTGCAGTCGTCAGAGTAACATGATTGTTAATATTTTGTCACAAAGTATACCATAAAAAGAACCTTATTTAACTTCTGTCTAATGCTATAATTAAGGGAGTATAGTGAATTTTGAGTGTGCCAGACTAGCGGCCGGTTACTGAATTGAGAAAAGTAAAAAAATCTCAACTGATTATTTTTAATAACTTAAGTTTTTTTACGATTCACAAATCAACTGATCATTGAATAAACGAAAATCTTTTTAAGTACAGTTGGAAATGTTCTAAACTTTAAATGCTCGACGATTCAGAAACCGGATATTGGTTTCAAATGATTTTAGTCATATCAAGTATTTTTTTAGATCCCATTCTGTTTGAAGAAAGAAGATATTTTAATAGATACAGATGATTACGTTCAATACTACATGGGACTGTACCTCCAACCACTATACTTGAGCAGTATTTTTCTTCGAGCTATAAAATAGTTATTTAATATACATATTTTATATAAATACTTTTCCACATACCTGTGTTTTATGTCTGACTGATGTACTTTCTGCGATACCAGCTTTTTTCATTATACATCGTGATATATAACTAATGTGGTTGTCAAATGTACTCGCTTTTTCGTGTAGTAACTCGAATCCAAACCTTAGGGAGATAATAATTCAAATAAAAACAATAGAGTATTACTACCTACATGGCAACATTATCATCAGCCTTTAATGGCCTTACTAGAAACGAATCGAATGGAGAGAGCGGGCCACGAGTCATGGCCTACTCTCCGTTACCCGCCAGGAGTACCCAGTGCGGATTGGTGGGTGTTATCGACTGCAGATGCAGCCGATACGAGACGATTAACTTCTGCATCGAAGACTCCACGCGCTAACCACTACGCTATAAAGCTACATGTATTAATGATCATTATAATTATTATTATAATTTAAAATTTTGATTTATCCTCGGAGCGGAATGCATCCAAATCAAGATTGCGGGACCACTCTCAAAAATGCATGTTGATTATATTGCTATATAGAATTGAACTATTTGTAGCCCAAATATAATATGGTTTATGTATTAGATCGTGCACACGAAGGTGGAATGGGCAAAACGAGGACAGACTGCACCCACTTGCAGAGCTGAACGGCATCAATATTACAGTATACTAGATATTTGCATAACTTGTGGTTAAAGGTCACAGCACACATATCAAATCGGAAAGGGATCGTCACCGTATAGCCTTTCGCTTCGCCGTCAACCAGGCGTCAACCTAACGTATACATGTAACCAAAGCGTAGCAGCGGCTCCTGTACGTCAACTCTGCTAAGGCTAGGCGACAACGCGCTTACGGCTCGCCGACCGCTGGATGACCTGGTTGGCACCAAATTCTTCAATAAGTTTCTCCATTTTCATCGTCATTTTGTGTTGAATCTAACCTAAAAATTCAATAAAACCCACGCGCAACACGAAAGGAAGTTACCTTTCGCCAGGCAAGTCGCGAGAGGGGACAGGGGCAAGGGTGGACGAAGAGCCGTGAGCTCAGTTACGGAGAGACGTAAGCGCGGGAACGACGAACCGTAAGCACGGGAACTGCTAGTTAACCACGCACCGCATCGCGGTTCGGAGCCTGTTCCGAGGCGAGGCGATTACGTTAAGATTCCAATTAGTGTGCGTTGCAGTAGGGAGTTTCATACAAACAATACTGAACGGCTCGAGGTGACACGGTGGCGATCCCTTTCCGATTTTATATGTGTGCTGTGACCTTAACTAAACAAAGTCAGTCGAATAGTTGACTAGTTGGAATCTTAAAATATTTATTACTCACATAGATTTAGTGTAGCAGATTCCGTCATGATTGGGCACTTGCGTGACATTAACATTAAGAATGTCATTAGAGATATTTGGCTGCGAAATTCGCTGCAGAAGGTGTTCGTCACCATACGAATACACCACAGAGCCAGGGTTACTTCTAGAAGCATATTTTGCTGAACGATCACTGTAATACAATAAAATACTTGTTTTATTAGTCTTTGGACGAAGTCAACATAACAAAAATAATCTCGTCGAACGAGAGGTTTACATTGATTGTTATATTTCTGTAAATATCGTGTAGTAGCTCGAATCTCTGTACATTAAAAACCTTTTTTTGTACACTTTAAATACTTAATTACATGAAACTTGCCACCTTGCTTTCAACACACGATACTTCTAACAACTAACCAGAGAAAAACGTCATTTTAGAAGTGTTTTTCAATCTGGAAAATAATTTGCAGTTCATTTGTCTCGCTAACACCAAATTGCACAAACGTTCATTAAAATTGTCATTAGTTTAAAGCGACATTACCCATACAAATTTGACATTCAGACGGCCAGTTGCACAAACGTCCATTAAAATTGGCATTCGTTTAAAGCTACATTATTCATACAAATTTGACATTCTTTAGAGCTTAAAGATGTCATGAAACTCTAACGGATGTTTGTGCAACTGGCCGATTAGAGCTTAAATACATCATTAAAACTTCTATCTATGCAGGGTTTGACGATAAACATATATCAATAATTGATAGACTCAAGTATAGAATAATATACCCAAGAAATAAATATATTACTTACACATTTGGAGAATATGTCGCAGGTCGCAGTTCCGCGTGAAGCGTCGGTATTGGTTCTGTTTCAATTTTCACTTTCTGTAAATATATCAAATATATCCACAATGAAGCTTTTTTCAGTCATCTAGATCAATATTTCCTTAATCCTAGTTTACAACTATGAAAATGAAAGTTAATGCGGGACTGGTAAATTTTTGAAGCATGTCTTTTAGATATTTAATTTTTATTTATTTACTCCTATCATAAGCTATCTCCAGTTGCCTGAAAACTGACAAAACATACTCAAGACCAGAAAGTTAAGACTCCCTTCAGCCTTCATTTAAACAGGAACTGTAACTTTGCGTCCTCATACTACGAAACCTACTTACAGTAAAAATACACAAAAGATATATCGAAACATTCAAGAGGGCCACAAGATCGAAAGTTTGGTCACATGGGTCGGGGCACAATCAACTTTGGAAACCACTGATTTAGACTGCAATTTAAGCTCTAATTTATAATGTATCATATCGATTTATATAATAAAAAGGTTTATCTTTGTAAATCTAGAAAATATCAGTTAAATATTGAAATAATCACACTAATTATTAATTAATAAATCAATTAATATTAATTAAATACATAAAGAAATATTGTTACCATCACAAAAATGTTCATGACGCCATCGTCTTCATTGTAGAAAGATGATGTGGTCGAGTAGTGATACGTTTATTGGAGTTTTTATTATTAGCTAGTATGCCGATTAGGTTTTTGCTTCTAGCTCAAAACTTTAACTTTTGTTTCTCAGTCAGTGTGCACCTTAGGGATTATATTTCGGATAAATTCTATATTTTTATTAAGTTTTTTTTTTGCCAATAAAACAGCAAATGACGGACTCAATGCCAAAAAGGCATCTCTACCAGGTCATCATCAGCCGTAAGACGCCCACTCTGAGCATAAGTCTCGTCGTCGGTCCACCTGGTGGGGGACCTACCCACCGAGCATCGACAGATACGTGATCGTCATACGATAACTTTTCCGCCCCAACGGCCATTAGATCTACGCGCTTTATTTCCCGCCCACTGCCAGCTGAGCAATTCAGCAATTGCTCCCTCTATTGCCCGCTGAGTGAACATGAGCCTTATGAGTCCCATAGTGAACAACCACATTTCTCTACCAGATAAACTAGTGAAAATGAACAGTAAATTCAAAAGATGGTATAAAATAAAAGAATATCCTAGTTAAATAAAATCAACATACTATACTTTATAATATTTTTACCTTATTTAAAACAACAGAATTAAAAATGTATGAGCATAATCCCATCTAACTTGCTTTTTGACTATTAAGTACATATAGTAGGTAATGTATTCTCTGTATAAGTCTTTAATTTACCCCATTCTCATTAAGCTTCTACATACCAATTTTCTTTTTCAATACAGAAATGTACTTACACTATTTAAGTATGTAGTTATCATAAAATTAATTTATAATGTTATCAGACTGAAGACAGTAGGTAGAAAGGAGCAAGCACTTTTATAACAATAAAAATATTTAAATCATAAATGTTAAAATTATATCACTTGAATTCTCCAAATTTATTCTCAGTTTATTCAATAAACGAAGTGAAAGCTAACCTCGGCCTTTCTTAAATCTGCCATTTCTGCAAGCGGTAGTAATGCAACTTACTCTTTATTTGATTTGATTCCATCCAAAGGGTAGGTCTGAACACCAGCAGTGGGGACATTAAGGCTTAGGCTGACGATGATGATGAAAATTACTTTTTTTATGAATCATGTCACTTTTGTTTTTTTATGATTTTTTCACCCAACAAAGTAAAAAATATATCATATTTTTTTGTCACTATTGAACAACATATACCTGACCAAACTTAGAGTTTGTTAATTTTCTAATATTTTTTTTACTGATTTTACTATGATTTCTCTAATTATTTTTATTAAACCAAACATTGTATGCAGATTGAGTTGATGGCTGCAGACGAGTATGGATCTAGTCATGATTGTTTAAAACATGAACCAGAAGCAAACTCGCCCACAAATATCATCAAGTCAAAACAATATCTTCATATTTACTACTTACTTCTTCATTTGATATTCTTGACATAATTTCAGGATGCTCCATTATGAAAGCATTTGATTGTAGTTTGGTTAAAAACAATCAATGAGTGTAGATCTAGTCACAGAATTGAGCACTGTGCCACTAGACATACACCCATTGGTCGTAATGTAACCTCAACAACTCCTTAGCAGTGCACAATCTGATATAAGTTTTCACAGTATCCATCTAAATCTTTAAATGTTAAACATAATAAATACAGTGTAGACTATTTTCTAGGTTTTTAAACAGTACCTTCATTATGATTACAAAATAAAAAAATAAATAAAACAAACCTTATTCATAGAAGACATGTAATTTGACAGCACTGCATTATCTGGCCTGTATATTTTAAGGTTAAATTAAACTACTTCTCAAAAATTTTGGTAGATAAATATAGTAAATTGAAAATATCGGCTATTGCAGAAGAGTGCATATCACACAATAAAATTTAATTTAAGATTTAATAAATCGCGACGTTAATATCACAAAATAGTTGTGTAAAATAAATGTGCTTGACGCATACTAAAAGGATACTGAGAAGAAACAGTCGTCTCGTATACTGTCAAGCCAGTGCCGGTACTTGAATGTAAAGCTTCTTTAGCGGGCGGGTTGGTTCGGTTTGCCGATCGCTTGGAAAATTCCTTTCTCGCTAAAGTCTCTAAATTTTCAATAGTAGGTGAGGCACCATTCATGTGGTTCAAACTATACGCCATCCATTGTTCAATAAAAGATTCTGCATCTACATCGTATTCTTCACATAAACTTACACCTATAAATGAAAGATATAATGGAACAACCTTGAACGTTAAAGTAGCGGTAGAAACTTACATTGTTTGTTTACATGAATGTAATTTATCATTAATTAACAAACTACACTATGTCAACATAATAAATACTTACATTTCGACACAACTTCCTTTTGTACATCTATTCCTAAAAATTGAAATTGCTCTGTCACCAATTCTTCGGTAGCCATTTTCCGTAAAAAACATGAAGTGAACGAGAAGAGAACGAGCGAAGCGAAGCTGTCGTCGCAGGTACCACAGAGTTTCTTTTTTTTCTTAGTTTAATTTTTCCCATTCCTACAGGGGAGGGGAAGGCAAAGGGTGCTTAGTCCGTACAGCCTTGTCATTTGTAATTATGTTCTTTAATAATCAAATTTAACGGCCACAGCCGTCTTTTTTAATAGAAATTTGTATTGTAAGTCTAGTTCAAAAGGCCGCAGCCAAGTCTTTTTTAAGTTTTATGTGATTATATGTTGTACCACAGAGGAAAACCTATGAAGCTATGAACCCATTTATATCTCTACGGTATATATTAGCGATTATTATTTAGAAAAATCGAATGAGGAAGTATTTAATAAAAAAACATTAGTTCCCGAAATCTAACTAGATGTCGCCACGGTACGTTCTTGATTTCGCCATGACAACCTTTCCGGTTTTCTTTCATGTTGAAAAGTAAATAAGTTTTCAGAACTAAATAAACAAATCAAATTCTATTTGTACTTTTTCATATTTGTATTGATATTTAACTTTCGAACTTTTCAGAATTCAGTTTTTTAATATGTTAGTTAATAGGAAGAGAAATGTCTGTCTTTGGTCCATTCGTTTCCTGCAAAAATCCACTTTTGCTAGAGTCGCTGCGGTTACCGAAATTATTTATTCGATTAATTTTTAGCGCAGTGCCATATTACTATACCCGTGCGTACTACTTATGGTGCGGTGCGGCGCGGACGTGCGCTGCGCTCGACTGCAGTTATTATGTGATTAGCGCTAATACGTTATTTAGTTGTCTGTTTAGTAGTCAATCCACTGATTTTAGGGCACGTCCATTCGATCATCGCAATGTAGTTGTTACTTATCTACACTATCGAGCGACGAATAATATTGCAATATCATACAAACAAACCTTGATATGTACCATCGCTAATCCACAACTTCTTTTTAGGGTTCCATACTGAAAGGGTAAAAACGGGACCCTATTAGTGAGACTTCGCTGTCCGTCCATCCATCTATCCGTCCGTCTGTCTATCACCAGGCTGTATTTCATGACGGTTCATGAACCGTAATAACAACAGTTGATAGTTGAAATTTTCACAGATGGTGTATTACTGTAGTCGCTACAATATAAACATTTAATTGGGCTCCCATTAAAAAAACGTATTTTTTTTGCTTCTTTTTTTTACGGAACCTTTCGTGCGAGAGTCCGACTCGCACTTGGCCGCTTGAAGGCTAGCCTTCATCAATTCATCGACCATCCAGTCCCTACATCAACTCATCAAGCTGCCGACCAGCCACATGTCCTCGACCGGTTTGACTTTCCAGAAGTATCAGTTCATATCATAACAAAACTATAATCATGTGAACCATATAAATTCGTCAACCTGCTTACATACCTGTCTTACTTCACAGATATTACAGAATTCACTTTTATACTCATTACTCTCTTATAAGAAAACTATAATAGAGAATAAGTAATAACGATTTTTTTAGAAATAGCAAAATGAAAGAGTAGAAGGAAAAATGAAACTTTAACTTTAATGGATCAGCCTAAAGTTCATTTTCGTAATGACAATTTTTCAGATTTATCGGTCCTGTTATGTTAGTACTATGACCATGCACATGATGACAGATTGCTGGATCGAATAGGATTTGTGACTCGAGTCATTTGATTATCCTTACGCAAACCTGCGTCTCCTTAGCGCGGTGTCAGCGGGTTATGTGGGACTCTTCTCATCCCAGAATGGGGCTAGTTAAATAGCAAGGGCTCGTTCACCCCCATTTCGGCCCTCCTCATGAGGGGGATCTTTCTGCGCGTTGGAGGTACGTACGCAATTATGACCATAACATAAAAGAGTAGTGACGGAAAATGTGTAATTTTCAGAAATAATAGGTCTATTAGATTTATTATTATGCCAAGTATTGTGATATAGGTACTTAATACGTGGATCTGTTCTAGTAAATACACTGCAGCTCACCTAGTATAGATTAGATACTAGCGAACTTATACGCTTATCTCCAAATATAGTCTCTATTTTTTATTTTATTTTAATAACTCGAGACAACAACAGTCATTCCAACATAAAAAATTATTGTGAAAAGGGACAGTGAAGAAACTTGTGAGATGTGTATGACGTGTAGGTACGTAGGTAGGTATAAAAGTTGATTTTTACAGGAAACGAATTGACTAAAGACAGTCATTTCCGTTCCTTTTAATTAACATATTAAAAAACTGAAATTTGAAAAGTTCGTAACTTAGATATCAATACATATACGAAAAAGTACAAAAAGAATATGAGTTGTTTATTGAATTTTGAAAACTAATTTACTTTTATATACGGGTAGCACATCTGACCCTACTAACTAATTTACGGGTAGCACATCTGACCCTACTAACTTTAGACCTATATCCGTGCTACCTACGTTTAGTAAGATTTTTGAAAAAATCATGCTGGATCAAATACAAACGTACTTTTACAAGAATAAGCTTATGAATCGACAACAATTTGGTTTTACAAGGGGTCGCTCGACAACCGAAGCCGGTGTCGAGTTAATACAAGAAATTTTTAATGCCTGGGAGGATTCACATGATGCGTTAGGTGTATTCTGTGATCTATCTAAGGCATTTGATTGTGTTTTTCATGAAACATTGATTAGGAAACTGCATTTTTATGGATTTAGAGATAACTCATTGGATTTTATTGTCTCATACTTGACTGACAGAGTACAGAGGGTTGATATCAATGGCAAAAGATCCCCTGGATCGAAAATTAAGATGGGCGTTCCGCAGGGCTCAACACTTGGTCCTTTCTTGTTTTTGATTTACATAAATGACTTGCCTTATTTCGTAAGGGATGATCACGAAATAGTTTTGTTTGCGGATGACACTTCACTCTTGTTTAAAATTAAAAGAGGGTTACCTCTAAATGACGATGTGAACAATTCTATCGCTAAAGTAGTACATTGGTTTAATGTAAATAATCTTCTCCTTAATGAAGGAAAAACAAAATGCTTAAAATTTGTACTACCTAATGTTAAAAAAGTAGATATAAATGTTAATGTAAAAGATAAGAACATGGGCCTTGTGGATACCACAGTATTTTTAGGAATAACATTAGATTCTAAACTACAGTGGGGCCCACATATTGATAGATTGTCGAGTAGACTTAGCTCTGCAGCATATGCCGTAATGAAGATACGTAGGTTAACTGACATAGATACTGCCAGATTAGTATACTTCAGTTACTTTCATAGTGTTATGTCATACGGTATCCTATTGTGGGGAAATGCTGCCGACATACAATCAATTTTTGTGCTTCAGAAAAGAGCAATTCGATCAATTTATAATCTTAGGATTAGGGACTTTTAGGAACCTTAAGGTGTAAGGTTGCTGATGATCACGTCGGTTGAAGATCACGTCGGGGTCACCACATTAGGAACCTTAAGATTGAAGGTGTGGTCCCTACTGTAGTGACGGAGACAATTGGCCAGGGAGACTAAAGGATAATTGTCTCCCTCCGAGCTAGGTGTTGTTAGCCCGGGCCTTATGATTGAAGGTTGGGTCCCTAACTGTGGTGACGGAGACAACTGGTCAGGGAGACTAAAGGATAATTGTCTCCCTCCGAGCTAGGTGCTGTTAGCCCGGGGACCGCGGTCCAACCGATGTAGGTTGGACGTTCTATTTATGTTAATTAGTAATGAAACTTATTCTGTGTGATGTAGGTTGCTTTGTTCTAAATGTCTTGTAGTTATTAATTTATGCTGCTTGAATAGGTACAGCGCCATCTCGTTACTTGCTGTTGAAACTTATTGCAGTTCGTCTTGCTATCGATGGCTGTGACGATGCTAGTCTTCTCGCTATCGATTGTTGTGGCGATGTTACTGCGATGAATTAGATGTCGCTATGTATCAGTCGCCACAGTACTTTCCCCCTAGACCGAAGGTCGATCCATGTTGATAGTAGGTGGTATGCAGTCAGTGCTTCAGAGCTTGCAAGTGCCATGGTTGTGACGTCGGGACCGAAGCTGCTGGTGTGCAGGGCTGCCACGCCGGTGAGTTGTGTGTGAACTGAGGTCCGGTCGTGGGCTGCGAGGACCAGGTCGGGATGATGCCGCCATGATGTACCAAGTATCCAGGAAGCGTCGTCGATGCTGCTGTGATGGACCTTGGTGTTGGCTGGCTTGCTGCTGAAGTGACTGTGCTGGTGAGGGATGAGAAGCTAATGATGAAGGGTGAGAGAATGTTGATGAAGAGTGATGGGTGCGTTGTGATGCTGAAGGTTGCTTATGTTTTGCTGGGGTCACCACTTTAGGAACCGTATGGTTGAATGTTGGTCCCTAATGTGGTGATGGAGACAACTGGTAAGGGAGACTAAAGGATAATTGTCTCCCTCCGAGCTAGGTGCTGTTAGCCCGGGGACCGCGGTCCAACCGATGTAGGTTGGACGTTCTATTTATGTTAATTAGTAATGAAACTTATTCTGTGTGATGTAGGTTGCTTTGTTCTAAATGTCTTGTAGTTATTAATTTATGCTGCTTGAATAGGTACAGCGCCATCTCGTTACTTGCTGTTGAAACTTATTGCAGTTCGTCTTGCTATTGATGGCTGTGACGATGCTAGTCTTCTCGCTATCGATTGTTGTGGCGATGTTACTGCGATGAATTAGATGTCGCTATGTATCAGTCGCCACAGACTCTTTAAGGGAGAAATTTAAGGAAATAGACATTATGACTGTTGCTTCTCAATACATATACGAGAACTTAATGTACGTTCGTAAAAATATTAGTTTGTTTTCTATAAAAAGTGATGTACACAATTTTAATACAAGAAATAAAAATAAATTAACGGTGCCTGTCACTAGACTGCAAAAAGTTAATAACTCTTTCAAGGGTCTTTGTGTGCGCTTCTACAATAAGGTCCCAAGCAAAATACAACAATTAGATATCATGCAGTTTAAATCTACTATTAAAAAAATACTTATTAAAAAAGCTTATTATAAGGTATCCGATTATATAACAGATAAGAACGCTTGGACTTGAGATGATCCAGCAACTGGATAGGTGATTACTTCTAAACTCATTATCTTGTTTCCATTATTATTAAATGATTATGTTATTATTATAAGACCATAGTTTTTTTTATCTCTGTTTATAATGTATTGGTCTGGTAATGACATGGTTTTTGTAAATGTCATTACTCATATTAGAGCTGGTGAGTTTCTTGCTCGTTCTTCTTATCAGCCAAAAGACGTCCTGAACGAGTGGTAGGGAAAAAATGTTGGACGATTCAAAAGTACTTTTAAGAAGTCTATTTGAATAAAGATTATTTTGACTTTGACTTTGACTTTAAACATGAAAGAAAATCGGAAGGGTTGTCATGGAGAAATCAAGAACGTACCATAGCGACATCTAGTTTGATTTTGGGAACTAATGTTTTTTTTAAATACTTCCTCATTGCTCTTATGTTTTAGACTCTTTAGTTTTGTGTCGAAAATCGTATAACTTATAGAATAACTAGGTGGAGAAAGTATTTAGAAAATAACAATAACAAGAAAATAATAACAGGTGCGGCTTAGTAAATACCGATTAGATGGATCTGTTCTTGTAAATACGCTTTACCTCTAACCACAGACCAAGAAGGAGATACGTAATATCTAGTCTGTGGATACTACGTATCCCTACATAAAAGTGGATTAGTGGGAAGGGAATAGTGGTGGGTTGGTTTTTTGTAACAGCTGTTTGGTTGAGTGTTGAGGTTAACTTTCACTTTAAAAAAGTTTGTTGAACAAACATTGAATAAACGTGGAGAATTCGAGAGATATAATTTTAACGTTTATAGTTTAGATATTTTATTGCTACGAAAGTGCTTTCTCCTTTCTACCTACCGTCTTCACTCTAATAAAATTATGTATTAATTAATTTTACAAAAACTACATACTTCAATAGTGCAAGTTTAGTAAAAAAAAAATGGGTACGGAGAACTTTAATGAGAACGGGGTAAGTTAAAGACTTAACTCAAGAATACATTCGGTACCTACCGTATCTAATTATAGTTAAAAAATAAATAAGATGGCATTACACTCTCATTAGATTTCTAATTGTATTATTTTTTTAATAGGGTAAAAGTGAGGTCAATAAAAGTTATTAATAACAGTTATTCAACTTTTAAAAAGACTCCAATGAGCTTACAGTCAGTTAGCATGAGAGATAAGGCATAATGAATATTGTAAAGTTATTGGAAATAATATATTTTATGGGGTCAATCCATCCATAAGGAATAATAATATATATTATATCACAATGCCCATTTTTTATCAAATTTTTGGTAACAGTTATAATCGAACCATATGTGATTTTTCCATTCTTTTACTTTATTTTTAAAGTATACTAGTTGACCCGGCGATTGCATACTGACATATTTTATTTCCCTAGTTATGACTAAGGAAATATAATTATAACTTCCAGAAAAACGAAATCATAATTTCAAAATAATAATTGCACAATTTAGGCTTGTTTAGTATATAAAAAGTATTTATCAAATCAAATTAATTACTTAAATTACTGGAAATGGAAACCTACTGTCTTCACTCTAAGAAGTAGTTCGTTTTCAATAAGCTACTTTCACAAGGACCAAAAAATTTTTATCTCGAGCTACTCTGTGCTTCGGAAGGCACATTAAGCCGTTGGTCCTAGCTGCATTTGCAGTTGTTAATATCCTCCGATTTGCATTGGGCCAGCGTGGAGGGTCATGGCCCATCCTCCTTAACCATCCATAAGGAAGGCCTGAGCCCCTGCAGTGGGGATGTAAAAGGGCTGATGATGATGATGACTGGAAATGTTATTATTTAATGACAAAAAATTTGACTAAATCTTCTGTTTACGATATGACCATAAAATAAAGAAATAACATAGTTAAATATGTAATTTAACAAGAACTATTGTAATGCCTTGGGGGTCATCCATAAATTACGTCACACTTTAGGAGGAGGGGGAGGGGGTCGACGAACTGTGACATTAGAACAATATTTAGTAAAATTTGTACAGATAAATAGGATAAATAGGATTTTGACGCCGATAACGCCGATGAAAAACCCGGCGGCGTCGGCGTAGCTTATTTGACGGCGTGCTTCAGGCCGGTCCGCGCACATGTCTAGTAGGTAGCATTGGTGGCCAAAAATAATTTGATATAAATAATAGTATGGATAGTTGAAAGCTAATTGATTACAATGCTTTATGATTAACGGTTTCAACTGGTTTTATTTTTCTAGGATGGGCAATCAGAATCCCTTTATCCTGCACATCTTCTCCAAAATTTGGATTTTAATAAGAGTCCAGCAATATTTAAGCCAAAAATCAGTGCAGCACAACCTGGTGAAGATTGGATGGTAGTTAGGCCATTACAAAGATCAGATTATGATAAAGGATTTCTTCAGCTGCTAGGGCAGCTCACAAGTGTCGGAAATATCTCCAGGAAGCAGTTTGATGGTAATTATTACTTGTCAAGTTAACATGACACCTGAATTAGAAATTGACACACCTGCGCTACCCTGTGGGACACATCCCGTCGTCGCCTTTCAGTAGCGACAGCTTAAAGTTAGCGTCTTATAAGTCTTTACGCTATTAAATTTTCAACAGAATTATATTTGTCGGTATTAATTAATAAAAATTCTCTTGCTGTTATTGTTATTGGATTTTTGTTAAGTAAATAATGAAAGTGATAATGTCTGAAATAGAGGAAAAATTATAGTAACGGTCGAGTATAAAAATAACTCATAATTATTTGTTTTTTCTTTCTGTCGAAAATCTCACCAAACATAAAATTTACTTCTTATTTACATAGCTTACTTAACAAATTTTTTACTTACCTATGCCACTTTCGGATAACAAAATCCTGTATAGTTCTTATATTGAAAAATTAGTATGTCATTTCCTATGCGAGTTTGATATACCTATTGTCAATTTGAGTTTGATAATAATAGATCTCGATATTTTAATTAGAAAATATTACTGTAAGTTACAGCACAAGTAAAAAAAAAAATATTGAAAAACTTCGAGATTCTTTCGCCCAGAATGTATTCTTGCCAGGTTAAAAGTAATTATTAAATAGGTTTCAATTTTTCTTTTTTTGTCAGAAGTCAAAAATCTCACTTTGCTAACTTAAGAAGGCATCGAAATTTCATAAAACTTAAATACAGTATAAAATACTCCGGACTTACAAAATAATGAGTCTCAAAAAAAACAATAATTTAGAAGAAACATATTTAATACAATGAATATAACAACGTAAATCAAAGTTATTTTGATGTCGAAATCTTCATATATTCTGACAATGTCGCCTCACGAGTAAAGTTTTTCTTTTCTCACGTAAAATTTCCTTGTAGCATAATCGTTTGGATTGTTGATTCCGGTAGTTCAATTTTTTTTGCCATTTGACAAATTTTTATTTTTGATTCAGTATCTTCAATATTATTTAGTTTACTCTCCAAAGACAGTGTTTTTCGTTTGGACCAGGTGACTCATTTTTTTGGTCCTTTAAATAACAATTTAATATAAATCAATAATGTACACTGCGTAAGTAAAATAATTACACAGGGAACATCTTCGAATTCGTCATAAACTGAATGTGCGCTGAGTTTATAATAGAGTTGTTTAAATACTAACACGCTACAGACTTAATGCTAAGAAAAATTAGCGTGTTAATTAAAGCGTAAATTAGATCCTAACGCCCGGTTTCTGAATTGAGAAAAGTACAAAATCTCAATATTCTTCACAAGGTAAAATTGCTAGTTTTTATCAAACTACTATCAACTGATCATTAAAAAACAAATGAGAAACGAAAACCTGTTTAAGTGACACTATTGTGCAGTTTGAGACGATTTTAACTTTAAGTCCTCAATTCAGAAACCGGGTGTAAATTGTAAAAATATTAACAAATGACACTTGATGGTAATGCTTTGGTAGCCTGCTCGTTAGAGAAATAACAAAATGTATAAGGCACGGGTAACCAACTTGTTTAGACCCAAGATCGACTTTTCACTGACAGCACCCAGTACGATCTACCGATTACTTTAGTTCTTAAAATCTTAAATGAAACAGAATAGTTCGTACACAATTATTATGATTATTGTATTTATTATTGTATTATTATTATTATTAATTATGTAGCATTTTTATTTTATTTATATTTTTTGAAATGGCACGATCGACTGTTTGGTCACTCATGGTATAAGGTTTCGGTGCCACACGGGTAGTCAATTTTTTGTTACTTAGCTGATCCAGGCAAAAAGTAGGTTTTTTTAAAGAAAACCTCAAAATACGTTTTTTCGTGAATTTGTATAATCTGCATAAGAATTTAATATTTTTTATTGTCCAATGAGGACTATGGCAGCATAGCCGCATGCCTTCAATTTTGACGCCTTTCTGGGAAATTGCCCGTATCCAGTGACTTGACTCGTCGTCGTTTCGACTCGTATTTAATAGAAGTAAATATACTTGATTTCTTATCTTTTAAATCAGTGTTTTCTTATCAATTTGATTACATACTTATCAATTAATGACCAGTATATTGCGAAGCGGTAAACCAGTTATGATTTGCAGAATGTTTGTAGAATGTTAAATTCCAGTGACATTTAGCTAGATGGCCTCGAAATACACTGCCGTGTGATAATAAGCTAATGACCTTCTTAAAGGTTGTCTGTTCCTGTTCTTTATTGAAATTCTTTATTGATATTGAAATTCGCAATAAATAATTCATTTTTACTGAATAAAGTTAATTATAATTCCGCTACTTCTTATATCCGTTGTGGCACGGAACTATTCATAAAAACGAAAGTGGTATTTATTTAGATTGGTTTGATTAGATAAATAGCACAGAATTATTTTATGCGAGCGCAGCGAACTGGAAAAGTATATATAGTTTTTCTACATTCCTATGTCTTTGTTAACTTGATGAATACTTCCGATCCCCGGTATTTTAATGATTAAAAGGAATAATATTAGTCAAGATACTTATATACATGGCGGATGTTGAGTTGGTTTTGAGAGTATAGTAAAGGCAACTTGGTATACAATTAAAACGTCTATGTGAGACAATCCATAACTGAAATATTGATTAAATTTCAATAACATATTTTGGAGAAAAAAACAGTAAATAGTCAACAAATGCTAAAAAAGATACAACAAGAAACATTTATGGATATCATTCTGATGTCATGTGAAGATTAAAAGACTACACACAGAAGATGAGAAAACGTTTCATAGATCGCCAAAAAATCTAAATACGGAATATACGGAAAAATGAAATATACTTATTTATAATCAAATTTTTAAAGAGAAATTTAGAGTACGGCAAAGCAGAATTGGCACAAATATCTGTATAATAGATTGTTGTTACTGTTTGTTATGACATAAACGCACGCAGTGGCAGCTTGTAAACAAATCATCCCATAAAAATATTATAAAGCTGAAGAGTTTGTTTGTTTGTTTGAACGCGCTAATCTCAGGAACTACTGGTTCGAATTGAAAAATTCTTTTTGTGTTAAATAGACCATTTATCGAGGAAATCTTTAGGCTATATAACATCACGCTGCAACTATTAGGAGCGAAGAAATAATGGAAAACGCAGACGAAGTCGCTGGCGGCCACTAGTCATCCCATAAAATGAGCCGTTTGATCTTGTAACATTTATTAAGTGTATGTTTTGTAAGTTATCTTTATAAAAAACGAAAAATATCTCAATGCAAAATAACTATTTCATTTTTACAGAACGGTTTACTCTAATGAAACAGGCTGGTGGTTATTATGTTACTGTTATAGAAGACACGCGTATTTCCAAGATCATTGGTGCCGCCACTCTCACTGTTGAGCAGAAATTCATTCACAATTGCTCACTGGTAAGAAGTCACTGTCAATATTAATAATAATGTAAATAATCTGCTTTTTAAGGTTCCGTGCCTACAGGGACCCTATTACTTAGGTTGACTGTCAGTTTGTCACCAGGCTGTATCTATGAAACGTGATAGTTCTCTCTTTAGCCATTCTCTTGACAGAGTGGTCGATTTGGATAATGCTGCCTAAGCGATGTGTCTCCACTTGTTGTAACGCTGAAGATGCGTTACGAGAACATTGGACCATTGAGGTTTTTGTCGCGGTCTTTATGGTGTCAGTCCAGTCCTTCTACTTGTTGAATAACAGTTCTTGAACCGGGATATTTATTATAGTTGAAATGTTGATTTTATAACAAATATTAAAAAAAAACTCAAACATGATTTTGTTTTGCTAATTTTCGGTACTTTTTTTTAACCTTCGTTCGCGAGTCCGATTCGCACTTTCACTGTTATTAATTAATAAGAATTTTGAAATGTTTTCAGCGTGGCCGCTTGGAAGATGTAGTTGTTAATGACACGTACAGGGGAAAGCAATTGGGAAAACTGTAAGTTCATTTATAAACCTATTAATAAAATCTTGTAAATATATTTATTTTAGTCTCATTCGCGGAAAATATAAAACTACTATAGAACAGTTGCCGAACAGATAATTTCGTACCCGGCATTACATATCTCTTTCACTAGTGTGCAAACATATTGCTATTATATTTTTATTAATTTTGTATTCACAATGCCATACTGAAAATTATTCTTAATACAAAATGCTTAAAAAATCCACTTGGTCCCTGGCACCCTGTGATGGGAATCGAACCCACGACAGATGACAGTAGAATTCAAATGATTCGGCTTATACTGAAAGAGCGCGGCGGGTTATTATGTTTTCATAAAAATCATTCTAAAATTCATTTCCGTCGCTTTTCAAATATGTTACCTATAATTTGTTTGATTTATTAATATCAGTGGCAGTTAATCTGAAAAGCATGGCGCTACAAAGATAGGGTTGTGGTTATGACAGCTGTCACTTGGTCAGGCGTTAATAATAACAGGGATGACGACTGAGTACAAAAAAGTATTTTATTTAGCCTGTCAGTCAGATAATAGAAAAATACTAGATACGTATTTTTTTTGCTTCAATTTAAACAAGAAATGGCTTATATAATAGGCATTAAAGTTGAGGAATGGGGGGTCGTCACGTCACTGTTTTGTAAAAAATTAATAAAAAGCGTGATGTCATGCGACTTTTTAACTCGATGTATCGTCGTAAATTATTGATTACGCAAAAAGATACTTATTTAATATTCATCAACAATTTACCTGACAGACAAACAAACAAAAATTAAATGACATCCGTATTCTTTGGTTCGAGCAAGAAAAACCGACACTCAAGAAGATATTAGTGTAACCCAACCTAACTAGCGCCATCTATATTAACTTGTCAGTTTAGCTACCTAGGCGTTGTCCAGTGCTACCACTTATTATTTCCGTATTTATTTTATTACTAAAATCAACGTGTCTTATTAAACAGGATAGTGGTAACTGTATCTCTTCTGGCGCAAGAACTTGGTTGCTACAAAATGTCTTTGGATTGCAAAGATAAACTGATCAAGTTTTACGAGACCCTGGGGTACCGACTCGAGGCTGGCAACTCCAACGCTATGAATATGAGGTTTGTACCTCCAACAGTAGTTACATGGAATAGGGGTGCGATTCAATTTTCTTTAAAGTCAAAATACTTGTTGGCGATTTTAAATAAACAAAATTATTTAAACATTTCAGTTGTTTAATAGGGAATGGTATACATATTTAAAATAGAGTAGGATATTTTACCCATTTATGTTGTCATAAGCTAGTGTTTTTTGAGTCGCAAAAGGTGACACGGCATAAAGGTGCTTATAAAACGTCTTGTGTAAATTTTACACTGTTATTTATAGGTTCGACGATCCATCCTGACAATTAGCCGCTGGGACGTCCGACCTGCGCTCCAAACTGTAAGTAGATACTCTACAGCGACCGAGCAGATTACGCAACACCACGCCGCCTCCACACCTGCACTGCTATCTCATCATTTACTGTTATACATTTGTTTTTCCTAGTAACTTATCAGTTATCATATTGATTACAATCTTAAGACTACACCCGGATCAGTTTGTTTTCCTTTATAATGTAAGACTGCTAGACTTGCATGTAGAAGTTTTATAAACGACTGTATTTGAAAATTACCTAATAAGATATTCGACAACTGATTTATCGTTAGTAATGAAAGACAATTTTAAACATTTTGTACTTATTAGTTGCTTTTATTGTTCATTTCTTTGATACTTAAATCTTGATTCTTTTTATGGTTGTAATTTTAAACATATACGAGGTTCTTTGTTGTGAGTTCTGCTTGGTTTGTGGTTACAGTTGCAGGGTCAGTTGTTTTATCCATCAAATGTGGTTGAACAGTCAATTTTTTGAGTGGAGTGATTGATAATCCATGGTTGATGGGGTGAACAACTGATTATGGTTGTCCTAGCACATAATTTTGTTGTTGTTTTTAGTAATGAATCGTACAGTCAACAGCACGTCAGATTATATAAAACAGTCAACATAATGTGTATTAGTTTTTAAGGCTACATCTCTAATACATCTCGGCAGAATTTAAAATATATTGTGACAATTAGATTGTGATAACCTGATGCGCTGTTGTGTGTACTATAATAATATGCTTGGTTTTGAGTAACAAAATTGTTTTAGTTTGGTTGCTTTTATAATTTATTTTAACACGTGTTATTTGTATTAAAATTTGTAAAATTCATGCTCATGTACTTAAAGTTTAGTATAACTGTCGTATTGTAAATTACTAACATCGCAACATTAAAACATTTTGCTTGATTCAATTGTTTCATTTAACGCCTATAATTAATGAATAAAACGTTAAGTGTTTTTTTTTCTCAAAACTTTTATTTACAGAAGTGTAAATTTTAATAGCAGACAGAATTAGTATTAAAATTTCCGATACCTTAAAATTACCGGTAGACAGTATCAATAAATTTCTGCCCTATTAATTTATTCCTTCTGACGCTTCACTATGATGACTAACTCGGGATTTAAAAATCGATTCTAAGTGTTATTAACAAACAAGATGTAGCGTCTTAGTAAATTTATGTTTAGAATGCACTTAGTATTAGTTAAAATTAATATAATTTATGCTAAGCTTTGTTTATTAATAACACTGCTTATAGTTAATTCGCCGATACAAATCATCTACAGCAGGAGTGCGATGGTTCCAAAGGTAAAGACATCCCGAGAATATCAACATAGAATTATCACAATAAATCTAAATTTTCGGATGTCTTTAGGTTTCTTAATATGTTATTTATTTTAATAGACATATGTAAAACTAGTAATAAATAAATATTTAATTACACATTTTAAAAATTGTTGATATAAAACAAATTATGATATCGAAATAAATTGCCGTCAGTGAGCAAATTTCATATATTTGGGCATTTTAGGATATACATATATAAAACATTTAGGAAAGGGTTTGGAATGAAAAACTATACATACAGTGAACTAAATGCGATCTACTACTTTCTAACATGTAATGGAATTAAATAACATACAATGTTCAATAAAAAATCATAGACCATCTCAGTCTGGTAGTTCAATATTACAAAATATATATGAATAAATTGATACATATAAAATACATTACCTATCATTCTAACGGCTATCAGTCCTCGATACTTGAAATCGTATAAGAAACCAGTCTGTCGGTTACGTTCATATGTACTTGAAAACTTACAATATCAAGTATCAGCCCTGGAATTTTATTAACAACATACACATTAATAGCATTACAACAAATTGACACCCTCATTTGCCGATTGCACATTCCCATTTTGCTGTAGGAAAAAGCATTGGTATATAAATAAATATGTATAATATTGTAGTTTGAACGTAAGACGTAATAATAACAAGCTATTGTAGTGGTTAAACACTTCTGGAGTCTGAGCAATAAAAAAACCGTCATGGGATTTGATGGCGTAACTCTGTGTAATGACAGTTTTTGTTGTACTTCACAACACTGAGAAGCTGCAACTTGATAAAATAACAATTATGACGTTTGGCAAATAGTGGATGAGTTAGGTTGCCTTGTAAAAATCTTAACTTTAGTTTCTTTGCTGCCCACGACGGCTCTCTTTTTGAGCAGACTAATAACATTGTGTATTATTTAATATAAATATTACAGAAATAGAAAAAACCTTTCAAATATGTACAAGGTTTTATTAGCCGTTTGCTTCTAGTTACCTGTCGACGACCGTTACTAAATGACATCACAGGCAAATCGACTGGTACCGTCTACAAAAATATTTTTACTCAGTTTCCGTCAATTTAATACGTCTTGGGAGAACAAAACGACTAACACCTGACATAATATGCTGAAGTCATGAGACAACATTGATTTGTTTTTTTTTTGTTTCATTAAATTTTCATTCTTTATAACATACATATAACATACATTTATTAAAGAAAAACAATCTGTAAACTATCACCCGGTTTCTGAATTGAGAATTTGAAGTTGAGCAACCGTGCTTAAGTGCATTTTAAACGCCAATTAAAAAGGTTTTTTATTACTAATTTATAGTTTTTTAATGATCACTTCACACTTCACCAGCCCTTTTACGTCCCCACTGCAGGGGCTCAGGCCTTCCTTTTGGATGGTTAAGGAGGATGGGCCATGACCCTCCACGCTGGCCCAATGCGGATTGGAGGGTATTAACGACTGTAAATGCAGCCGGGACCAACGGCTTAACGTGCCTTCCGAAGCACGGAGTAGCTCGAGATAATAATTTTTTGGTCACCCATCCCGTGACCGACCCTTGCGAAAGTTGCTTAACGACTACGATCGCGGGCCGCGGCGCTTATCCACTACGCCACCGAGCTACTCAGATTTTAATTTAAATGATCAGTTGACAGCAATATGATAAAACTAAGTCTTCTTGCCATTGAAACTTAAAAACCTTAAGTATTGAGAATAATCAGTTGAGATTTTGTGCTTTTCTCAATTCAGAAACCGGCCGTATGTCTACTTGGTAAAAAAACATCGTGTGGTACGGCGGCAGAGTGCTTAGTGGCAGTACCACAACAATCTAATTATCTACGCTGTAAATCACAACGTAAAAATTTTAATATTGTACGTATAATTATGTCCAATTTATGAACATTTAATCAGTATAGGAATTATGCCTGTAGAGTATGGTAGTACCGCGATAGAGTATGATGTCTTTGCTAGCGGTACTCAGAGGATCTGCCTATATGCGGTTAAGCCGAGTAAATGGTAACAACCAACTCGAAGTAAACAGGTAGTATAAGAGTATTTCCTCCGTCTAAATTATATATTAGCATTCTGTACCATCATTACCGTTATCGTACGCATGAACACTTCTAAGTACATTCGAAAATATTTCAATTTATATAGCCTTATCGATGTCTAGTCTCACTTGAGCGTCCTATATTTGGTGCATCTTATTTTACAAAACTTGTTCCCTAATATCAACCTCATTTAACAGGACTGCCCAGTAGCTACCGTTCAACTAGGTGGATGGTGTATTAATTTGAATAATCATTTTTTTTCTTCACTTACAAGGACAACATCGGTGACTGCCGCAACATTTGAATCAACGAGTTTAAATACCTAGTGCCTGCCTATCAACGGATGCGGAACATTATAGTTGTTTCAAATATATAAGTTGTATTCATAAGTAAGGCGTACCGAGGTATATAAATTAAACAGAATAGATCAGAATACATACCTACTAAATTATGATAAATACTTTTTATGTAAACAACTAAGCAACTCATGTATCGAAGATATAATATTTCAAATAAATTTTCATTGTTAGGTAATAAATTTACAATGTGAAAAGTATATTATTTACCCAGGTTTCATTAGCGGCTGTGATGTGATTTTTTAATACAAAAAGAGAGCTATTTATAAAACAAATAGCAACATGTGCATGTCATATTTATAATAATATAAATAGCTCTAGATTTAAAAGATATTTCTTTGTGTTTTTGTATGAAGATCACTCAACAAATAAAACAAATCTAAGAAATAAATAATTCAAATATCGTTTAATCGCCCATTTATGTGTATTAGCGTCTGAGCTCGCGAGTTATTTGAGTATTGCGCTCACACTGGTTTGCTTATGTACGCGCTCGCTCTATATTTTAAAGAACACCAATCTCAAACTTCATTTATGAATTAAGGGTACCAGTATTGACAGTAATTTTTCAGTACAAGAAAGGACAAAATATATATAGCTATCTATTATATAAATAGTTTATGTCAAAAAGTTTGAATAAATGTCGATAATCGATCAGAAGTCAGCGAAGAAGGCAACCATTGCCTTAATATTTGAATTACCAGTTAGGTTACCCATTCCATGACTGGACCTTGCAAATTTTCTCAACTTCCCCATCACAGAAAGTGTCGTAATATCGTATCAAAATTTTTAAACATACTGATCGCTAGGAACCTGAATTTACATATCTTACAAAACAAAATGGACTCAAATTGTTCTATTCTATTAATTGTCGAACGAAAATTTGGAGCGTTCTACTTCTGTTGAAATGAAAATATCTTTATTCAAGTAAGTTTGTTACAAGCACTTTTGAATCGTCCAAAAAACATTTTTTTTCCCATACCACTTGTTCAGGACGTCTTGTTGCATTATAACGTATGAAATAAATACGAGGGTCAAACTGAAAGTTCTTAGAACTGGCCACTTATAAACAATATAATAAAAAAATAATTCTAAAATTTGAAAATATAACTCTTTGCCAATATTACTGAGTATATATTTCATTCATTTGTCATTTGTTTTACGATTTGGCGGCAAATTGAAAATTGTCTGTGTCACGTCATCATGAATTTAACACGAGAAAATTTTCGTGCAATGATTTTTTATGACTTTCGATGTCATTTAAGTCAACAAGAAAGTTATGATAGACTACGATTGGCCTTTCACGATGAAGCCCCATCTCGTGCGACTGTTTACAACTGGTTTAATGAGTTTAAACGTGGTCGCACTAATCTCACTGATGATTTACGTGAGGGACGGCCTTCTACGGCGACGACTGAAGATAACATCTGTGTTGTGCGGCGTATGATAGAGACTGACAAAAGAGTGACCTATCAACAGATTCGGACAAGCTAAGGCATTGGTATGAGTCAAGTGCACAAAATCCTCCACGAACATTTAGCGGTCAGGAAGCTTTGCGCCCGGTGGATACCTCATAATTTGACTGAGGCTCAAAAACTCCATCGTGTGGATTGGTGTCGTAAAATGATTGAAAGATTTAACGGAGGTGACTCAAATGCTGTGTTCGACATACTAACAGGTGACGAAAGCTGGATTTACTGTTATGATCCTAAAACCAAAAGACAATCTGCTCAGTGGGTGTTTCCTTTCGAGGAGTTGCCAACTAAAGTGAAGAGAGATCGAAGTGCGGGAAAAAAAATGGTGGCCTCGTTCTTTGGAAGGATAGGTCATTTTGCAACAATTGTGTTAGAGGATCAAAAAACAGTTTCTGCAGAATGGTACACTACCAATTGTTTGCCACTTGTCTTGGAAAAAGTTCGAGAGAAACGACCTCGCAGTAGGATCCTCCTTCACCACGACAACGCCTCGTCGCACACCGCCAAGCGAACGATCGACTATTTGGCGACATCAAACGTTGAATTACTGGGTCACCCGCCGTATAGCCCCGACCTCGCGCCTTGTGATTTTTATTTATTTCCAAAAATTAAAGAAAAACTTAAAGGAAAGCGGTTTATGAATGCTGAAGAAGCGGTGGCTGCGTATCGCGATGCCATTGAAGAGACCCCTAAGGACGAGTGGGCAAAGTGCTTTTCCCAGTGGTTCCATCGCATGCAGCGGTGTATTGACGTGAATGGACAATATTTTGAAAAGATATAATAAAACTAATAACTGGCTAATGTAATCAGTTTTTGATTTTCTAAGAACTTTCAGTTTGACCCTCGTATATGAAATTGCTTTTTCTAATATATGAAAGTGAAAAAGTTTGGCCTTCTGATCACTAGAAATGCATTTGAACAACAGAAAATAGATTCAAATTATTTCTTTAAAGAATATAGTTCTATGTATTAATATTGATAGTAATAAAATGATTTAATTTGGTTCAACACTGGTACCTGAGAGCTATCGTAACAGTACCGACTAGAAGGGCGGGGCGGTGATCTTAGTACCGAGCTTCATAGGGCCTTGTGCGCGCGCGTTTCGTCTCGCTTCCATTTCCCGTTGCCTTTGTATTTTCCTTTCTTCGCGTTTCCGTCGCATTTCATCCATTTTTGAAGCATTATTTTCTGTAAATCAGTATATTTTATTTATTACATAATTTTATATAAGAAAAGACGCGTTATTAATGACTAAAAGTCAATCAAGTCATTTAAAGAAGTATGTCATTAAATAAATCCGAGGGTTGACAATATTTCAAAACTTGTTTTAAATTAATATTTTAATCCGACATTAAATTCAAATAATAAATTAAACCAAAAAAGAGGCAACTCGATCTGTGACGTATTTGTACAAACTAACATATTTAATATGGCATATTTAACTGTTATATGGCATGACAGCTAACATATTTAAAGTAGGTAATATTTTAATGTTATATGTTGTTATTATTTGAAAATAAATCGAAATTTTTATCAAGATTCAATCTTGGTATGATCGATTTTGATATTTAAATGTCTTTCTGTGCTGTTATATTGATTTACAAATCATTTATAAATTAGACAATTATCAATAAATTGTAATTTGTTAATTGAATTTAATGTTTTTCAGATTCTGTACCAATAAATCTTTGTGATAGCACGTCAACAGTATTTTTTCAGTCTACAGTCAACTCGCGAATCTTAAAATTTCTCTCTTCTCCTTCGGTGCGTTCAATTCGGATAGATATCATCAACAGCTGAAGACGCCCACAGCTGAGCATAAGCCTTCCCCATAGATCTCCACGACGATCGGTCCTGCGCTGCCCGCATCCAGCGGCTTCCCTCAAACTTTATAAGCGTCGCGATTCTAGAACCTTTCCGCCCCAACGGCGGATAGAGATGCGATCACCTTAATAGTTAATGGTGGTTACCGTCTGCGTTTTCTTCGATTGGTTCGAATTCGCCGTCCTCCCAGCCGCCGAGCGAGTCGTTACTGTTCTGATGGTGAGCTGAGACGTTGCGCGGACGGACGTACGTAGCATTCGCGTTATTAAGCCCGCCCTCTAACCACTGAGAGTTATTCCACGTCTCAGATGGACTAACCAGATCTTGTTCCGCCGCCTGTAAGGACATTCATAAATATTATACCAAATCTAATATAATCCCCGCAATTTGCTAATGCGCATGACGCCATTTTGATGACGTAATTGCGTTAAAAAATCAGTACCATTAACAAAAAACATTGGTAGAGGAGTTCACTTAGGTTGTGTTGATATGACATACTACAGAATCATTTCAAAAATTATGTTTTTGTTGGTTTTCTTGTTATTTGTCATAGTGAAAAGTAAACATAATTTTTCCAATAACAAATATATCTAATGTCTCTCATTACATTATTACATAAGTAAATGTTGTTTTTTTTTACTATGCATATCCCTCGCATTAAATTATTATAACAATATTTTGGGAATTTTTTATAAATATTTCAGTAATTAATACATAATTTATCTTTTGCCTTTTGTGATACTTTCTATTTTTATATGACGCCAAGGGGGTTTTATTTAGACAAGGTTCTAGCGCATTAGCAATCTACGGGAATTGTATAAAAAGAATCTTCGTTCTGAAATACTGACTTACATTTATTTTATTTATGGTACACAATACAGATTACGACTGATAAGAAATCTAATTAATTAACAATTATAATTAATATTAACACCTGAATTGCAATCTACGAACTTGTGTACACTGAATCTCTTTATTATAAAAAAAATAATCCAAATAACTTATCATTGAGTTCTTTAAAATGAAGTTGATAGCGTTAGCTGAAGATTAGATAACATTAATTAAAATTAGATTACAATAAAATAAAAAAAATACTGTTAAATTAAACCGAAATTTAAAAAGAGTAATTACATGTACCATATATCAACTCAAAATAACGATAAAAAATAAAATTAAAAAGATATTCTCCCGAGTCGAGTCTATTTCATCCATATAAAAACCTAAAACTAGTACCCGAGCATTAATAAGCTAGTGTTGATGACTGACTTATGTAGATGCATTATAATTAATGTACAGTGAACAGCATGTCAGGCTATACATAAATTCTCCGCTTGATTCTAAACCTTAATATATCGACAGTACAAAATCACTTACGGAACTTTGATATATTTTCATAAACTGGCGTGCTGCTGTGTGTACAAATTAAAACCAACCAATAAGGATGTGGACTGGGTAAAAAAAAAGAAATTCTATTAAGTCCGTCAGTCAGATAATAGAAAAATATTAGATATGATTTTGTTTTTATTTCAATTTAACAAGAAATAGATAACAGGCATTAAAGTTGAGAAGTAGGGGCTCGCTACGTCACAGTTATGTAGAAAATGTACAAAAGCGTGACATCATGTGACATTGTAACTCGATGTATCGCCATAATTTAATGATTACGAAAAAAAAGTACGTGTTTAATATTTTTCAACAATCTACCTGACTAAATTCTACATTAAAAAGAAAAAACTATAAAAATATTACCCAATAATCTATAGCGACTTACTGGTTGTTCCTGAAGTGTTCCCCATTCATCGTTGTCCCAATCGTCCTCGCATAACGCCGCTAGCGCAGGCGTCGCTTGCGCACTGCCACTGCTCGGCGGTGACTTAGCACTAGCGCCGGTACCTAAACAAAAACGAAAATAAATACATAGTATTTTTTTTTATTCTGGTATTGTTCAATATACACCGATACTTACACATTCATGCTTATTATATTTATATTATTGTTTAATTAATTTTGAAAAAAAAAGTTTTTTAAACTCGTTGTCGAGTCCTCTACTCATATCAGAACTTAGAGAATTTAACCCTAAGCATATATAGAACGATGTTAGTATAGTAGGGGCGTGACGTCATAGCGACGGCATGAAAGAAGATTAAGTTTTCGCGGGAAATGTTGAAAAGTAAATTTATTTTAAGATATTAACTTATTACATGAATTATTACTTATACTTCATTTGAAATATATTATTTAAGGTATATAAATATTTTGTCAATATATTATTTTATTAAAATATTTAAAAAAGTTATCTACACCCCTATTATAATAGTAATAAACAATAAGGTACAGTAAAGAGCACCATACCTACACGATGAGTCCGGTTTGTACCCATGTACGAAATAATCGCGTCATATAATTTCAATTCGCGCAGGTTATGGCCATCAATAGCGGCCAAAAGTGAATTCTTTAAATTATGCTATTAATATATTATGGTAGGTATTATTAGTATGTAAATTTTATTTGTAGATGCACCCGGTACCATAGACATATGGATTGCAGTATGAGTTTTTTTTATAGAAATTAAGTCTTAAGTAAATTTATCATCATCATCAGCCCTTTTACGTCCCTACTGCAGGGGCTCAGGCCTTCCTTAAGGAGGCAGGACCAACGGCTTAACGTGCCTTCCGAAGCACGGAGTAGCTCGAGATAATATTTTTTTGGTCACCCATCCCGTGACCGACCCTTGCGAAAATTGCTTAATGACAACGATCGCGCTCCACTATTCCACTGCGCTACCGAGCTAAAGTAAATTACTCACAGTCTATTTCTCAAGTTTATGTTAGTTATGCAGATAATTGTGGTTGATTTTACCTGCACTCGAATCGATCTCTCCCCACGCGGCCATGTCCCAGTGTTCCGGATCGTAATCGGACACGGACTCGCTGTGTTCCAGTGACGTCATCGATGTCACAGACGATGTAGTGGTTGACATACTGCTCGACGACGGTTGCTCTAAAAGACAAAACACGTGGTACTGTATAATAGATTTATACAGTGTACACAAAGATCTTATAAACTACACAACGTATTATAATGAAGTTTTTATCAATATACAAAGTGATTCATGTGGATTTGTTTTTGTTGTTTTTAACAGGGCTTGGAAACCGGTTTATTTTTTGAACCGGTTCGACGTAAGTACATGCGGAACTTTACATAAAAGGTTCAGCTCCTTTGAACAGGTTTTTAAACAGGTTCACTAGAAAAACGGTTTTCTTAATTAACCGGTTTAAATATGACTCCAGACAATGATCTCACGAACTTCAGCGCGGTTTTTAAGTGCCTACACTCCTATCTATAACATCCGTACACAGGTATGATAAATTTCGTCGCTTAAAAATGATATAATTCGCATTCAAAGCGTAAGAACATTGCTTTTTACGAACCAAGAGAATTAACCGGTTTTTATTCTATCCGAATTTCACTCCGCATTTAGTTCCTGGTTTTTAATATTGTAATGGAAAGAAATGATTCCATAGAAAAATAAAGTCATTTTTCAATCAGTTTATCCTTATTATATTTGATCAGTTTTGCGTTCAGAAATGCTAGATGAAAAAATCTTTTTAATGAAAAATGCTTGAAAATCCACTATTGTCCCTGGCACTCTGAGATGGGATCTCAAAGGAACAAAGTGGATTAAGCATTTTGCATTATGAAATAATTTATCCTTGTTTATATAGCATTATATCTACATTCTAGCAGGATTTTTCTGCTAACGTTACAGGATTACCTAGTGTTGGCACTTATGTATACTAATTGTAATGTGCTGAATTATAAATAAATTATTAAAGTATCCTTGCCAGTTCTTCTCAGATTTAGGTTTATGAACTGATGACCCAATGTTTTCGACTTCCACGAGTGCCTGTGACTGATCTAGAGCACGCAGACCGGTTTCACACAAACGGGGGAAATAACCGATCTGAATTACGGAGGAATAAGGCTCGTCTATATGAGCCATATTCTTCCGGGGCTATGCCCCTCCCTGAGTTATGTATACCTTTAGAACTTCCACATAATGAAATTCCAAATTATAACTGCTGCAGAACTCTCGCACACGATCTCAAGGAAGATATAATAGATAAATTGTGATAACGTGGCTATTACCTAGTGATCCCGGTTTGGACAGTGCTGACTTTGTAGAATGTTGGACGCGAGTAGTATCTGAGTGCGAGCGGTAGAATTTAGCCGTGACGGCTGTGACTGCCCAACCGGCCCATGTCGCCGCCGCGTTGCTGAGAGACGGAGTCGCCGTATTCACATCCGCTTCTGCAATGTTAATTAATGGTCAATGAAATCAAGATCATATATGTTCACGATATGAGATTTAGTTGTAACAAGTACTTTTTGCGAGTGGGTGATTCCGCGGACACCGAACTTCCGGTTTCATACATTCGTTATTACTTTAAAAAAATAATGAATCATCTCTATGTAGATTTAAAAGTATAAAAAATTTACAGTCAAGGTATTCAGAAGTTCACCCAAAGAATCACCCTGGTATGAGAGAATATTAAATAATTTAGCTAATTTTTAGAAACTGAGAAAGTGCTCAGCTTGTAAACATTTTACTGTATCAAATGTATCATTATTCACCAATTTAATTATTTTCAATTCCATTTACATAATTCATTAATTTGGTATAAACGACACTGTTAGATGACAAAACGTTAATTACCCATTCCTTCCTTCAAGCTAGGATCCTCGGAAACCTTCTCTAACTTGCCAAGAAAACCTTTTATAGTCCTAAAGGCGGCATCACGAACCTGCAAAACATAATACATGTAATATTTCTATCAAACAGCGGGAAAAACAAGTCATAGCCAGTTACTCAATGTAACCAATTGGAGTAAATTAAAATATCGTTTTAGTATGTCACTCTCAATGGCTAAATATAGGTTAAATTAATTTAAGATAAGACATTTGAATGGACTCAGCAAAAGATTCTCCATTTTAAAACAATTTGAGAATGATTCAAGGTTTTTTTGGGTTTTTGTTTGTGCGTTTTTATTTTAAATACAACCGGAATATTGTTCTGCTGGTATATATTTTTTAGTTTTTTTACTCTAGTAGTTCGTTTGTTCCTATGAATCAGTTTTCATGTACTTCACCCATCTCAGAGTGCCAGGGACAAGTGAATTTTTTAAATGTTTATCATTAAGAACAAGTAAGTAGGTTTATATAAGATATACACTGAATAACTTGCTTAAGGCCCATGCAGCTAACTAAATCCTTAAGTATTATGAAAATCCATGGATGGAATGGAAAAAGAATGATAGTACTAAAAACAGATACTCAAAGACTGTATTGTATTTTTGTTTTTAACATTGACTCATTCAGGGAATTGAACACGGCCTATCCGGATCATGAAACTTAAAAAAAAAACAATTTAATGTGAAATAATATTTTAGAGTTGCACCTACTTGTTTTTCTGGATCTGCTGTAAGGGGGCATAATGCTGGCAATACTCTGTTAGCGACTTCAACGAGCAAAAAATACTGCTGTGTCGCAGCAAGTGCCAACACACCAGCTTGCCGTGCGGGCGGAAAAGCATCGCGGGTTGCGCGCACGAATGCCGAAACTAACACTTTTTGTCTGATTTGAGGATGTAGATGGGCTGCGATCTTGCCTAGGCACACTGTAGTGTTAGTCCTGTGACAATACAGATATTTTTTAATATTATTCATAAATATGAAGCTAAAAACTATAATTCATATGGAGAAGAAGAGACTTTCTTAAATAGCAATTAAAAAATTTAATTTTGACTTCTAATACAGTTGTAGACTGTAAACGAAAATATTTTTTTTCTGGTAGTGTTTAATATACTATTACTGAGAATAACATTTTTATGCTTTTAAATTTATAATATTGCTTAAAATATTTATGATAAAACAAATATTTTATGCTCGTTGTCACGTGACCGCAAACAGCGCGTGACGTCATGACCTTTTTACTCATACCTTATTTATATACCATATATGCATACATAGAACAATATTCGATTCAGTGCCGTGTCGTCTTAGTGACACCATGATAGATTTTAACTTGTTATACAAATGATAATAAAAATATTTTGTAAAGTTGTCTACACCCCTATCCGTTTGACAACATTATAGAAACATATTAATTTGAATTATATAGGTAGATATAAATTTGTACACAAATGAATGTACATTTTCGTAGACTAGACCTACCAATATTGACAATAATCAGACACAACTAAAATGTAAATAACTGTTATATAAATATTATCAATCATAAAAATTTAAAACAACATATATTAGTGTGTCAGATTTTTTTTACATTGAATGCATATTTAAAGTTGAAGTTACACAATAAAATATATGTCATATAAGTTACACAATAAAATATATGTCATATAAGTTCCACAATATAATATACCTTATTCCTCCTTGATCATCTTTGGCTTGCAATCTAGCAAAATGTTTTAGGACTTCTACATTCAAGTTGTTGTAGTTGAGTTTAGGTGCCAAATGGATTATAGATTTAACAGTTTGTTCCCTGATAATAGGATTAGTATCAAGAAAACCATTAGCCACTTGTGGAAATATTTGGTCATTCACCTTAAAGACAGAGGCAATTTTATTAGAATTATAACTTTCCTATGAAAATAATGTAAAATAGTAATAATGTAAATAGACTTACTGTGGCATTTTGTAGATGCATAATGAATTGATCAAGTTGTTGCAATAGCCGTGATCTTGTGGTGCGGTCATTGGACGCAAACAATTTTACAACACATGGCACTATTTGTTTTTGATAATCAGCATCATCTAGTAATTTTCCTAGCTGAAAATGTAAACACAGATATTAATGAAAGTGGATATATAGTCATTATGAGACATAATATATAAGATCTTTATCTTCTTTAGCTTCACATGGTTTACTTGTTGGTTGGTTGATGACTTGATGGTGCTTCTATCCCTAGGGAACTGTTTAGTTGAATAAAGAGTAGTCTATATGTAAATATCCCATATTTCTTCAAAATTAATCATTTTAATGTGAATAAGTAACAAAATTCGAAACCTACAAAATTTTGGCCTTACAATATAAGTAAGATTATGTTGTAATAATGATGTTTGGAGTACAACATCAACATCGAATTATTGTGAGTTGTCATATGATACAATTGTATTGAGATGAACTAAGTTGAGCAATTGCTAACAGAGCTATAACATAATGCACACACCTTAAACATTGGTGGCAGTACAGCAGATCCTGCATCTCCATAATGAAAAGCAGTGAGTAGCTGGGGTAAGATTTTATGAACACAAACTGCCTCAGGAAAGTTATCTAAGTGTCCAGTGAGAGTCGAGAAAAATTTCCCCTTTTCCACTTTATCTTTAATTTGGATTTCTTCTAGGAACAACATTGAGTCAATCAGATCATTTTTGAAATAACCGCCTAATTTGCGACATCTGAAATTCACACAATTTATTAGAAGTTAAAGTCAGTGAAACTCCATTGAAAATTTGTTGAAGTGGTGAAATAAGTTTGACTATGACATGTTACATAGGTAAAGTCTCACTGTAAGTTGCACAAATGTTCATTGAGGTTTAATGACAACTAATGAATAATAACAACTCATAATAATGAATGTGGTTTATCTTGATTTGCATACCTAGCTATAATATCTGCAGGATTAGGTCTGGAAGCTGGGTTTGCACTGACTAGTTCACAATATAATGTACACAGCTGCTTAGGTATGTGGTCAACAGTTTTCAATGCTGGTTGGTTTTTTAATGGACCATTAAAAGCTTCCCAAATGAGGCAACCCAAACCCCACATATCTGTTGAACTTTCAAGAAAAGAAATTAGTATATGTTAAAATTCAATCAGGATGCAAAATTAGTACGAAATATTTATATGATTGTTTGAATATTAACACTTACCACTTAGTAACTGCTTTTAGTTTAGCTGAATCTTTTTTCTCTGGTGGATCATAAATTTCAAGTGCAGGTAATATTTTGATGGGAATGGGGTTGGAAGATTCCTGACTCAGAGCAGAGAGGAACTCAAACCCACCAAGTTTCCACTCACCGGCCAATGTCACAAACACTGAGTAGAGGCAAACATTGTTGTGTTTCATATTACCATCATTATTTAAAAATGATAATGCTCTCTGGAAAAATACAATATTAAATATTAAAAAAGGAAATTTGTGTAAAGGTAGGTGTTGCAAAGTTTTTATATGATATTACTTTTTCTATTATATATAAAAATAGTGCCATTATGGAAAATGACAAAGTAGTATTTACTACTTTGTTGTCAATATCTGTCTGTCTGTAAACTGTATATATTATTATTGGAAATAAAACCATTTTAATACTTGATATCATTCATATCAACCAATTTACACCTATTTCTCTACTTCAAGAGATATAAGAATATTAAGGAACACATGCTGTGAACATTTTATAGACATTTTAAATATTTCGAGTTGCTAGCCCAGACTTATTGGATTATATAGGGGTAATGTTCTCAATATTATGTTTATACTCAAATAAAAAATTAAAAGAGAGAAACAACACTTGAATACTTACAGTGATTTGAAAAATTCCCCATGCAATGAAGAGTTCTTTTTGTTGTCCTTCCAATTTCATTTCTTCTATATGAGTGGCTAAAGGTTCCACATATTCAGTAGCAACATATAAAAACTTTTCAGTTTCACAACTATCTAAGTAATGTAAAAGGCTAGGATGTCTCATAGTCTTCAGTTTCTTTAAAGAGGCCTTTGCTATGTCAAATAAGGTTTCCGAATTCTTTTGAACATCAAACAAGAAAATAGATACTTCATCCTGTGTGCCTCTTTTTTTACCCTTATGGACAGACCACACCGACCTATCTTCTAAGCCACAAACTGGATCACCTACTTCAAATGGGAAGTCTTTTGTAGGATCACGAGAGAAAAAGGACCACATTTTGCGCGGATTCAATTAACAACTAGAATGCACTATAACGACATAATTTTGGAAATTAAGCATTAAATTTGTGTTATCGAGGAGTAAATGAATATTTTAAGATCATTTCAAGTCTAATTCTAATATACAGCTCTGTAACACACTACAAAAAATATCTTTATTTCGCAAAATTACAATAAGTTACAAGACGACGATACGACGATATCAACTGAACGATGACGTCAAGTCAAACAATTGCTAAAATGACTTTGACAGTCAGTGCTGCCAACACATTAATGCGCCGATTACACTACCCAATCTATCGGGCACGTTCCATCGGGTACACTGTAAATTGGGTAGTCTAATCGCAGTTAGAGAGTTAGGGTCCCGATATCGGGTGAACGTGGGCGTCCGACCGCCCGATGAGATTTAGGGCCGATTTATCGGGTAATGTGATCGCTGTTAGGGTGTTAGAGCGCTCAGTCGGTTGTTGCGCAGCGTGCGTGTGAGACGTCAGTGAACGACAACGAAATTTGCGAACAGAGAAAAATGTCTTCTCTAAAGGAAAAAGAAATAATATTGAATGTAATTTAATATTATTACTTTTTCTTATAATATATATATGATATAATGTTAGTAACATTTCTAGATAGCCCTGCATGTGTCTGGTAAAATTTTTGATAGCAGGGGTTCTGATATCAATGATTTTAGCGAAATTGAAAATTTATAATTATGTATTATAATTTTTTTATAAATTACAATGATAATAGAGTTTGGCAAGCGAAACGTGACACCACCTATTTTTCCGTTTTCATATGGCAACAACATAGAACTGTCAGTTTGACACTACGTGGACACTACGTTAGACAATTCAAGAATATTGAATTTTGTTGTTTTTGCGAATTTGAACTTGTGTTTTTGGTTAAAAATTATGTCGAAGCCGATAAAAAGTTCATCGAGGAAACTTCTTTCCATCATGATTGACAAGTTTACTGAAGTGAAAACTGAATTAAATAAAAATTTCATGGAGAAATTACAACGATTAGATAAAGTTGTATCTTTTTTAGGTTAGTTTTGTATTATAATTTTGATACTTTCGTTTTAATTTTCTGTAATTAACTAAACAGATATTTTTTTATAAAATATTGCTCTATTTCAGATAACTGTGATGGTGATATTCAACCAATAATGGAGGAGATAAATGCAATAAAAACTTTAGAAAAACAAGAAATGCTGAATTCGGAAACGCAGTACTTACAAAAAATTTCTTCAATGACAGGTCTCTTTTCTTGTTTTGATTTAAGATAGATTGATAGTATTCCTATAATATTTACATAGGTTTTTTATGATGTATTGGTTTTTATTGTTGACATCCAATGATGTCATAAGAATGTTTTGTTTAACAAGGAAATTCACAGAATTCATGAAACTAATCAAACCATGTAATTGTTATACATGCTAAATATGCACATAAACTTAACTAAATTAAACATAAATTGCATTCATAGTTGAATAGGTATTTAAATTATTTTGATGTATGTGTCTATCATTATTTGCTTTTAAATACATTTAACATATCTTTGTTTCAAAGTGTTTAATCTTTTATAGATGTAAGTATAAGGACACTAAGAAGGATAAAAAATGAAGCATTAATTAATAAAGGAAAATGGGACACTCCTGGGAAAAAACGACCTCATCAACCAACAGTGTCTGCTTTAGATAATTTTGATTTAAGTGCAATTCGGAATAAAGTAAATGAATTTTACTGTGTGAAAAAAATTGTTCCAACATTAAGAAGCCTTCACAATGAATTAAAAGATGCAATAGGATTCAGTGGTAGCCGTGAGACTTTACGAAAAATTATGCTTAAGAATGGATTTTCTTTTAAAAGCAATGAAAATGAACGTTCTATGCTTATAGAAAAATACCAGATTTCTGCATGGAGGCACAAGTATTTGAGAGAAATAAATATAAAACGAAACGAAGGAAAGCAAATTGTGTACCTTGATGAAACTTATGTACATCAGAATTATAAAGTTAAAAAGTCTTGGCAAGGACCTTCAACAACTGGTGTCACTACAAAGATATCCTCTGGAAAACGGCATATTGTTGTGCATGCTGGATCTGAGGAAGGTTTTGTGCCTGGTGCATTATTAGTGTTCAGTAGTAAATCCAAATCTGCTGATTATCATGATGATATGAACTCGTCGAACTTTATGAAATGGGTCAGAGAAAAATTAATACCAAATTTAAGTAAGCCCAGTGTAATTGTTATGGATAATGCCAGCTACCATATAAAACAAATCAATAAACCGCCTATAATGTCTAATACCAAAGCAGATATCCGTAAATGGCTTGTAAATAATGGAATACATTTTGAGGAATATCAGACAAAGGCAGAGTTAATGTGTTTGGTTAATGATAAGAAAACATTGCCTGTATATGAAGCTGAAGAGATTTTAAAAGAACATAATCATGAACTTTTATTGCTGCCACCGTATCATTGTGACTTAAACCCAATAGAGATGGTTTGGAGTCAAGCAAAAAGAAAAATTGCAAGCAGAAACATTGGAATACCAGGAAAGGAAATGGAAAACTTAATAATAGAGTGTTTTAACTTAATTACCCCTAGTGACTGGAAGAAATACACTGATCATGTTTTAAATGTCGAAAATGATTACAAATTAAAAGATGGCATTGTTGAAAACGAACTTGAAAAATTTATTATATCTGTTGGTGCAGACAGTAGTGAAGAGAGTGACTCTGATGATTCCTTGTCATTGTTATCAGGTGTAGAATATTTAGAAACAGATTTTGACTATGAATCAGACTAAAGTATTTTTAGTCTGATTCATAGTCAAAATCTTATCTTAAATTTTCTATTGTGATTAACATGATGATTTTGTGACACCTGTATTATGTAATTTATCCATGGCACTTAATTGTAACAAAAATAAATGTTTTTTTTATTGTAATCTGGTGTTTATATTGACTAATTTAATTTGATAGATAGTGGTTCTGGATCAGAGCAAAAGGTTGTGATGAAAATCCCTTAGGAGACATGTGTTATGAACACATTATAAATATAAGGGCCAGAAATCAAAATTGGCTAACATCACATTTATTAAAAAAATGTGGCCAGAGTCGCCCATATTCATTACAAAAAAACAAAGAAGTCGTTGCAAAAAACACCCTTTTAATTAATGACAAATATGAATTTTTAATATTATAAGTGCTGTTAGCCAATAGGTATAACGAATGGGTTAAAAAAAAGATTCGATTTAGTCCGTCAGTCAGATAATAGAAAAATATTGGATACGTATTTTTTTTCGCTTTAATTTAACAACAAATGGCTTAAGAGGTACTATGCGACGACTTCAAATATGCTTTGCAACAATGTTACTTTAATACAGTTTATCGATACGAAATCAAGTGTCAAAATGGAGTCCAGTGGAGAATGCCGATATTGACATTTCGAAATTGCTCATCATTGATAGAGAATACGAAATAGTGATTTTGACACAATCAAAGTGTCTATTTTTTACGGTGATGACGATTCTTGGTTGTCAGTTGAGTTAGTGAATAGGCCTACTGATATGCTGTTAACTGTACAATTAAGAACAGTCACGCTTTAGTCAAATGTTCCAAAACAAATAATTTTAATTGATATCTAAATGTTAAGATTAAATATAATTAATAAAAGTATCAAAATTATTTTGCAGTACTACATTCAGTGTTTACTGCTTAAGAATTTTTTAAATTGCCGCCCTTTTCTTGTGACACGTTTCGCTTGCCAGACTCTAACTAATGCTCATCCTTTATATTATTGTTGTGCCCGATAGGGTCCATAGTAAGACTAACTTAATTATGTAATATTATTTTAAATTATTTAAAAACAATAAACTTATTGAGTATTTATACTGTAAGTCATGATATGCATTTCCCGTTGCTAAAAATTTTAAGGTTACAGCACAGCTAACCGCTGTTTTGCGCTATATAAGGTATGACTAAGTTTAATATATGATCAAATTGTGCAGAACTCATTCTGTAGTAGTTCAATCTGCATAGTTGGCCTCTTAGAAACAAATATTTTTCACCCAACATTTTGTTTTATTATTTACGCCCGCAGTTAAAGTATGGGCTATACTATTTTTGGTACTCTGTGAGCGGAGGAGCCATCCTTTCAACGCCACGTTTGCATGTCAACTGAGTTAGGGAGGCGATCTAGTGCAGTGTAATCACAACGACGCCAACCGCCCTAAATCGAGGCCGATATATCGAGCCCGATAGATTGGGTAGTGTAATCGGCGCATAAGCTGGAAAGGAGCTAAATGAATACCTATTGTTATCTATGTAAAAAGGAGCTAATATCTCAAAGGCGTATTACACTATCCAATTTTAAAGTGCAATCCTCACGGTAGGTGATCGAAGTTCCAACCACCGACCATCTAATGGTGGCCAACCTAGGGCTGTCCAACCAACTTCATAATGATCTTCAATGCCCTTTTTCGAAGCGTACTTTGGTCGAATCGGAGTGTTGCCACAGGAATTTCGCACAAGTACAAGTATTTGGGGTATCTCAAAAGGATAAAAATTGATTATATATGTGGTCGTTTTTATAGGCTTTTAATTTTCACTATTAATCTAATATTATAAAACTTTTAATGAATAAAATTTCCGAAGTAAAATACTCTAAATGCTACTTTTATTTAACTTCTTTACATATCACATCGAAATGTTATTAAAAATAAATCAAATTGAATGACTTCACATCTTCATAGATTTTGAATTTAATAAAAACATGTAAAATATTTTGTTTTTTTTCAGTCTCTCCACCATGGTCGGAACGCTTGATTGGAAACCAGTGTGGATGCACACACCTCGACGCCCCGATCAAGGTCACTTAAAGACCTACCAATGTCAACTGGTCGGAGCTCTGACCATTGACTGCACTTTAGGGCCTTTTGAAAGGTAGAGCGTGTCCCTATTGTCTTTTCACCAAAGATTATGCTGTATGGGCTGGTTGCCTATGCATACATGAATAAAATATTGACAGTTGAAATGACAGTATTTATTTTTTGACAATTGAATATTTAAAATAGGTGTTGAGGTTTTATTAAACGTGATTGAATAGATCAATAGGTGATTTGTTAAATTATTTACAGGTTTTTAAATCAAAGGAGCTTTGTTTTAATTGGTGTAATAATAATTGGTATGTATACCTTATTTTGTCGAGTTACCGGTTTAAGTTAACAATACAAAATATATTTGTACATGCTTTTACAATTTTTGATTTTGTTCAATTCTACCAGTCTTCTATACGTACAAGTTTTGAACTCTGCACAAATCAAAACCAAGTTTATAATTATTGTTTTGCCTCTTTATACTTACTTTTATATGTATCTGTAGCAGTCGAGTGCATTTTTATACCGATAGAAAAATGTCTAAATCAGTGGCTCGATTAAAATCTATGAAAAAAGTGGCTGATAAAATAGACCATTCTTCAAAGTTAAGAACGAATATTCCAGCTGGCATGGCTGCCGCTGGACCTCCTCTCGGACCTATGCTAGGCCAGGTAATGTGTTGCAAAATCTCTTTATTCAAGAATAAGGCAAACTTGTTAAAATAGTATTTAGATGATCATCTACTTGCACATATAGATTAAACTTTTTAAATGTATTACGTAATTTTTTTTTAATGTGTACCCAACATAATTCTGAATTAAAATATATCTTGTAAGTTATAAGATTAAAAAAGACTAACTTTTTTTGCCCATTTGAATAAATATTAAGTTAGAAAAATGTTTAGAAACCTGTTGTAGGTTTTTATTGATTTATATTATAACATACTTTTATTTTTAGCGTAACATCAATATTGCAGCATTTTGTAAAGATTTCAATGAACGTACAGCCAATATTAAACCAGGTATACCATTACCAACAAGAGTAAAAGTAAATTCTGATCGTTCATATCAACTTGTTATCCACCAACCACCAGCATCTTATTTTTTAATGCAGGCAGCAGGTGTTAATAGAGGCTCCATGTATCCTGGTATTTATCTTATATCTCTGTTTGAATAATATCATTCTTGTAGTTTGTTAAAAAGCTCAGCAGGTTTAGTCTTTAATGCAGTCTCAATTTCAATCTAATCCAATAACATTCTCAATTTTCATCAAATCTTAGCTTTCATTCTTCACATAGACTCAATATCAATTAGTTCATTCAATAACCACCCAATATTGAGCCAATTGGTGGTTACAATCGCAATGTCGATTGATAATGATTGTGTTCAAGAGTAACTTTGTGACTATGCATCTAGTTTAATAAAATCTACTCAATATTCATATGTCAACTGAATCAAATACTTTGTTAACATTTTGGTTAGTTGTCTATTGAGTAAATAAAGAATCAAATTTTAATATAATTAATAAAATTGATTTAAATATAACCTTGGTTTTTAGTAAAGGAGATATGTGGTAAAATAACACTGAAGCATTTGTATGAAATAGCCAAAATAAAGTCCCAGGATCCCACTCTTGAATGGAAGTCTTTGCAAGAAATATGTAATATGTTATTAGCAACTGCAAGAACATGCGGAATACAAGTAGTTAGGCAATTAGATGCTAAGGTAATCAGACATTTAATTTATTATAATTACAACATGGTTAACTACCTGTCAAATATATCACTACAATAATACTTATATTCCTGTTACTCTTTTGTATGTGTCTGTATTTTTTAGTTAGGTTTATGTTTTTTTTTTGTGTATAGTCCTAAAATTACCCCTGATAGAAATCATGTCCATCGTAAATCTAAGGTGCTTAAATTTACAATTTTATAAATATGCTAGCTAGTATTAATATTGTTATATTGATATAGGAATATGGCGAGTTTTTGGAAGAAAGAAAGAATATTGTAGAAGAACAAAAGAAAATGTTGCAAGAAAGACGAGAAGCGAAAATGCTGAGAACTGCCTAGTGTTCGTTATTTTTAGTAGTTATGCATATAGAACTAGGAATAGTATATTGTTCAATAAAATAAAACTTTAATTTTTTAATTTTATTTAAAAATAAATCTTTCAACAACCATTCTTTATTTTACACTATTTGATGTGGTAATAATTATACCTTGTCATATGAACAAATACAAGTGTATTGGACTTTAAAAAGCTATGTCAATCAATTTTAGTTTTGAGAAATAAGTTTAATACTTTCCATTTTTTATAGTTAATTCGAGATTTCAACTTAAAATAGTCACCTTAATCTGATCAGTAGTTCCTAACCTTTCCATGATTGTTACTAGTATGACCTATTAGGAAAACTGATTTTTGCCACCATACAATGAACACCGCTCTCAGTGAGGTATCTAACTACAGGCCAGGGGTGGCCAGGTCTAAATTTCTAGCACAGGATACGACAATTTACATATTAAAGTCGTAAAAAGAAACAAAATAGTGATATAACATAACTAGAAAATTAAGCGATCACTGTGTGAGCTCCTTCTGAAAGATTTCGCTAGTATTATATTATAGTTTTCTTTTCGCTTAATGCACGTCCTAAATCATGTTTTACTTTGAGAAATTTGATCTCACTAATCAGTTTCTTTGTAAGCCCCACAGAATAGCTGAGGGTAATTAGGTTAGGAACCACTGTTTTAGATCATTAAATACCTAAAATCTCTATATTACTCAAACTACACAAGGCTATCAGTTTACATGTTGAGCTCTATTATATACATCGAGATAAAAAATTAATTTAACAAAGAAAGAAACAATAGAAGTTACTTATATCAATATCACATTTAACAGTCTTGAGAGAAACTACTGAAAACAATGAAAATAAGAAAAGCCTCTTCCTCACAAAGCGCATATGGCTTACTTAACATATTCATAAAAATAGATACTTTGAATCTGGTAAGAAAATACTCTTTATTTATATAACTTTTTAAATTCGCTCACTCATAATAATATATTAGCGATTCATACATCAGAATGTATGCAAGGAAATAAAATAGACCTTTATTTCAACTTTGCGTAAGTAATAACTACTAATATTCATACAGTATTTACAATGCGTAAATAAATCTATACCTACTCTATTAAATATGTGTAAAATGTAAAAAATAAATCCACAACAGTTTGTGTAACTTTCAATTGAATAAGAGACCTACTTTTTTTTAGCGCATGTGAAAGTTTAATGGTAACTAATATGTAACTAGCACATTCATTTAAAATTATAATCAACATGCATAAAATATACTGAATCCCTAAAATTTTGTACTTGAATACTGCTAGAACAGATCATATCTACATTAAAAAACAAGAAACAATTATTATACCTAATTGTCTTGTAAATATATCTATTTTACTTTAATATATGGTGATTGAAACATTATCTGAATATAGGCATGGTTCGAGACATTGTACATAAAATAGCAGACAGGTGTCATATTGTCTAATATACTAAATGAACACAGCCTAAAACTTAATGAAATCATCAACAAACTTTAGCAATGGTTCGCTTCAGTTTAGGAGAGTTTGGTAACACTTCTGGTAGTTCAGTTACTTTTTCAATAGTGAAATCTGGGAGGTCTGATGATTCTTCGTCTTTCTGCAGGGGTATCCATACTGTTCCTCCTAATTCTGCTTCTTTGCCACCCTGAAAAACATTTAAGTGATTGAAATAATGTTATAAATCGTGCAGTCTTGTAAGACTGCGTATATGATTGGCTTAATCTGCAGCTGCGTTTGCATTCTTAATGAAAAATACTTAAAATGCCCTGAGGTACTCCGAGATGGGCAAAGTGGATTTTTTAAGAATTTTTCAATAAGAGTACTTTCCAATATAGCATTGTGAATGCAAAATTGATCAAATATAATGCGTTTACATTTTATTTCAAATGTAAAGTATAAACATTATTTTTTACATTCATAATTTGATAAAAGATGAGTTTCATATTTATAAAAAGAAAATCAACGTCTATTTCAATCTCTCCTAGCTCTTAATTCTTATATTATTTCATGGTTTTCACTTATTGTAAAAAAAACATAAGAAGTCTTTGGTTTTAATTTCATCAAATATGTTCGGAACCGTTGGTGCGCGCATCCGACTTGGTTTTGGTTTCTCTATTTTCTTTTAGCACTCAGTTGTTAATATAATCATTTTACTCAAAGACTATGTAACACATATTATAATACTAGCTAGTAACCTGTGGCTTGCACACTGGCCTGCTATATTGGAGTCTTTAATTTTAATAAAAAAATCTGCTAGTAAGAATCCATTTTTATATCATCATCATTAGCTTATCAGCGTTTTCACTGTTAGGGCATAGGCCTGCCAAATAGATGTAACCAAATAGGAAATATCTACCGGTGTTTCTGTGGATAAATCTTTACGGAATGGTTCAGTTGCTCTTCTTTCTATTTTAGTGCGCAGTAGAATCGACACGCCTTTCAAATAATTCAGACATTTTCTTTGAAATAATAGTCCTTTTATTGAAGTCGTTTAATAATGACTGTCGTTTTGCTTGGATCTGTATATTTGACTACTCTGCTTATTCTGGACTTTCAGATAAGGCCTTTCATTTTAAGGGTTTAAAACAGCCTGATGCTTTGATTGTGCAAAATTCTACGCCTCATCTTCATAGCAACTTGACGATCTGCTTGTTCTTGGTTTCTCAATTCAGCATTTTTCAGAGTTTTAGTGCGTGACGCCAATTAATATTTTTCAATGGACATCTCTTCAATTTGTAGGCATACGAATATAGTTTTGGCCACTCAGTATTTTTGTCGCCTAATTAATAAATTAATAATTAACATTGATATTTTGAATTTTAGTTGCTATTTTAAATAAAATTGTTCCTACTATTACTAGCTCATTTCAAGTATTTAACGATTTTAGCCATTTATAATTATCGACAGTTTAGTACATTTTTCACAAACTTATTTAACGTATCTCGTTAATAGTCACCCATATATTATCAAAGAAAATATATGGGTATAGCAATATAGCCGAGTAAGCGCAAGTCGGACTCGTGCAAAAATAGTCAAAGGAGTTGTTCGACATTTTCGAGTTAAATACATTTGGTCGACTAATTACTCGTGTAAAGCCAACTTAAGTGTGATAGTTTTCTAGCTATATTCGTTATATTACTGTCGTAACGTTTAAATTATTAACAAAAACCGTTTATTTGGTAAAGAGGGGGGACATTTGACTCTAATGAGAATTGGCACTTTGAAACTTAATAAAGTCGCGAACGATTAACTAAATAAAAAACGGTCTTCCCACACCCCCAATATTTTAGAAGAATACGATACTCTACGCTATAGGAAGTTAAAATAAATCAATCCAACTTTACATATTCTGTCCTGTTTCTGCAATAGTTTTCATTGTCACTCGATTCCTATAAGTCATAGCGTGATGTTGTATAGCCTATAGCCTTCCTCGATAAATGGACTATTCAACACAAAAGAAATAGAGTTCACGCAAAAAAAAAAACAAACTCTTCAGCTTTATTACTAGTATAAGTATAGATCTGTGTTAATACCTTGATATCTGTTTCCAGTTTATCACCAACCATAATGCACGTTCTAGGTTCGACATTCAGCTTCTTACAAGCTTCAAGAAAGATTTCTTGGTCTGGTTTCTCCCAAGGCAGGTCTCCGGACACGAGCAGGCAGTCGAAGTACTTGCGGAGGCCCAAACGTTCAATCTTCTGCCACTGGGCTCGCGACGGCCCGTTCGTGATCAGACCGAGTAGGTAATCCTCCCTGTACCACATTCATTCACCAGCCTTTTGTTATTACTGGCTCCGAGTTATGCTGTAACTCAGCACATGAATAATTGGACGCTAATGACCTTGCAGGCCTTGAGAGGCGAGAAATTTTACTACACTAGCATTTCTTATAATATTATATTTAATTATTACGTTTCGAGGATTTATTTGTCATCATGAAAGGTTATAAAAACGTGCAAGATCATTTGGTGTCTTGAATGGATGTCATGAAATGAAGGGTTAAAAAAGTTCATATGTAACTTGTAGGAAACTCTAGTTACATAAAAATTACAAATGAACTATTCTTAAGATTAGGGAAGTGCTTTGTTGAATTTTTCTTAGTAAAAATGTAAAGGCATTTTTTTATTATTATAAATCATTTTGGTTCAACATAACACTTTTTGCATTCACTTACAGTTACAATAGAGATATTTATTTAAAAAAAATATCAACATAAAAATTCAAAGCGTTTCACTACAGAAGTGTTCTTTGAATAATCTAATAAATATCTCTATAGTAAAATTTAAATTTTTGAGGTAATGTATTACCTTCTTCTTGATGTACTCCCTCACATATTTTACAAATACAATTCAAACCTAAGTGTTGCGCACGCAGCGCCCCGAGTTTAGTCACTCGATGAGCAACAACTGAACTGTTGAAAAACAAGTAATTTATTAGCAACATGCGTTCCAAGTCGGATCAACTTAATTGCGAAGGCATTTTCTGCAATACTGAAGACATCATAGCCATATAAAGGTGATTTAAATTAAAATGCCTCCTCAATGCGTTGATGCCGACTTTCATGACATGACAATTTCTGAAGATCAGTATTCAACTGATAAACCATAGTATTATGTGGCATGCACCACATGATCCGGCAAAGTAATTAGGTAAATAATGAAAAAATGCATGAATGAAAAATATAGTATATTAATGTCGAATACATGTCTGATAATTAACTTCAAGACAATAGCAATGAAAGAAACAATTTGTGTACCACATAAAACCATGCACTTAGCTGAAAAAGTTATTTCAAAAGATATATTGATATATGAAAAAATATATCATTCACTAAAAATATGAATATGATAAAATGTGAGGTATAATGACGGAAAATAACAACAATTATTTGTCAATTGAAACAACTTTTAACTGCAAATTGAAGGTATGAGATAGTTTCCAAGTTTATATGTATAAGTTCATAGTAAACAATCATATATTTTTTTTAGTTTACTATTTATGTAAGTAGTATGTACTTAAGGACGATTTTTTATTCATATTAAATCTACTATATAAAATAAAAAAATATCATGGAGAAATATTTTATATGCTTAAATTGCATTAATGCTTATTTAAACGTAGTAGATAGCTTAAAATATTTCTGCATAACACTATAATGGTTTGATTAAAAATTTAAAGAACATACCGCAACGTTTCTAGTAGGTGTATCACATCATTTGTGAGAGCCAAATTTTTAAATCTTAAATTTATCCATTCGGCAGATATATTTTCTGTAATGAAAAAAAAGACCCTTCAATTTTAAATATAATCAGAATTTCTGTTTTTCAATGACATTAAAAATTATATATAATTTTCTGCTGAACCACAAACATCAACAATATGAAAAATTATAGAAGTTAATGTTTTATAAAATTTTGCTCATATGAAAAATTATAGAGTCAATGGTTTATAAATTTTTGCTCCAGAATTTAGACAAGGTAAGTGTTTTCCATATTAATATAGTATTTTAGATGCAAAATTATCTACTTCATTTAATAGAGCTTATCTTTAAACCTTGTAGAAGATTTAAGAGCGTCATTCTCATTCACTTTCTACGTGGGAAGTTTTGTATTTATAGATTCATTGCGACAAAAATGAGATCACGGGAATTATATAAAACTAGCTGACCCGGTGAACTTCGTATCACTTATCTCTTAATAAAAACCATATTTATATTGAAAAAAGTTGCGTTAACTGACCACTGCACGACCATAAATATTGATCCGTCAACTGAACGTTTGACAGCTAAGAACAGTTTGTATGGGAAAATCAAATTGTCGGTTTTAGTATTATACTCTCAATTTTGTTATATTTTCTCATCGTTTAAACCTTCCCTGGACTTCCACGAATATTTCAAGACTAAAATTTGTCTAATCGGTTCAGCCGTTCTCGAGTTTTAGCGAGATCAACGAACGGAATTTCAATTTTATTTATATAAAGATAAAGATAGATTAAGAAATAAAGCTTTCATAGAGAAATTGAAATTGAATAGTAGAGCACTCTTATGTTAAGCACCTATGTACGGCAGTGGATTTAAATACTTATAATATGGTATTGATTTCATAAGTTTCTTACTGATAGATAACTCTCTATCTTTGTAAATATTTTATGCACCTAAATACAAAATATTTACAAAGATTAACAAACTAAGCTATATCATTATTATCTATCAAAATAAATTTGTCTATTCAAGTAATTCTGCTAAAATATGAAATACAAAATGAACACTAAATTTTTTATCAATATTGTTTTTTTTTTAAATAGTTATACCTATTTTGTATTATTCTTAACGTACTAAATAGGAAAGGCCTGTAATCTAAACATCCTACATTATTTTCATTACCCTAAATTACAGTTGCGTCTTTGCATGACATGTGATTAAATACCTACTATAATGTACAATGTAATTAGAACCACCGTCCACAGATAACTAGAAGGCAGTAACTGCTTATCTTAAAGTCGCTATTAATTCATTATATATTAACTACGAACTAGCACTATTTACAAAGTTCTGTAGCCACATGTTGACATTCTGGGCTTCGAGCCAAGTTGAAGACGTTTGGAACACATTAATACGTTTGATAACTCAAGAGTGGCCGCAATGTTTGTTTGTTAGTTTACACGTGATTAGGGTTGCCATATTCAGCTAGGATCTCGTCAGAACGGTCTAGGGAAAGGGCAAGGGGCGAAAAAATACCTACTTAATGCCTACTTTAATCTAGTCTTTATTTTTAATAAATATCACAAAGTACTTATATTGGCATATTTTTAAAGGACTGGTTTTTTGTTACCCTGGACGCACTTCAATGTGGTGGTAGAATTTTGTGTAAGTCACAATTTACTATGATACTGTGAAATTAACCCCATTCTCAGGAAGCAGTTGCGCTGTTTCAATCGGCATCCCTACACATTATGCATATTAATAACTTGATGGAACTGATACAATCAGTGCTACTAAGAGTTCTCACAATGAAGGAGCTCAATACAAATCTGACATTCTCCACTTGATTATAATGCATTGAGGGTAGAGTATAAAATCAATTGATAATTTGACATATTAAGGTAGCTTGACGTGTGTACATTATGACATGATAAACATTTATTTTAAACTAGCTGACCCGACAGACTTCGTCCTGTCAAAAAGATTTGTAATGTGGCAGTTTTTTTTGCCTACGTATTTAAAAAAATTCTGCGTGCCTAAACTAATACAAAAGAAACGCGAGTTTCGGAACGCGACATTAAACTCCTCCAACTATGTATTCTGTGCTCCAACGCACACACGCACATTGTTTTGATAGATATGATCTTTGACGTTAGGAACACACCTACATTGCTTAGACAACAGTGAGTGCTTGTAATTTAATATGAACTTTATACCATAGCAATAAAGCTCAAATTGACTACGTTTTAGTTACAAATCATTTGTATGGGAAAAAGAAAAGGGCTATTTTTAGGGTTTTTCCAGCAATAATTCTAATTTTTCTCGCCGTAAAAACCATCCTTGAACTTCAACGAACATTTTAAAAAAAGATTTGACCAAATTGGTCGAGGCGTTGTTGAGTTATGCGCTTACCAACACATTTTGCGATTCATTTTTATATATATAGATGGAAGCTCACCATTTCGTTACGTTTGGCAATCAGCTAATGGTGCTGGTATTCTAATCTCTTGATTTTTTTGTCATAGCGATTTGATGCGATATGATCATTGCCGATGTTTTTCATTTTTTTTTATTTGTATTAAACATAGAAAAACTCAGAGAGAAAAATAAAGCTATTTAATTTAGTTATGAAATGGGCATATGCAAGCATATTATTATAAAATTTCATAAATTGATCATGAAAACATCAAATTGGAACACCACCTTAAAGCACATAACACAGCATAATAGCCTTAGATAAATATTGTCTAAACTTATCTTTGACCTATTAAAACGAATTAACTGTCACGTTAACGGTCATTTAACTATTAGTAAAATATTACACAATAATAACAAACAGGCTAAACATAAAAAAAAATGTACAAGAGTACAAGAGTACGCCGCCTACACACTCAACTACATTTGTTTCAAAATTATATTCCTTCTCAATATTTATAACAGTGATTTATGTGTTTAGGAAACAGTTATTTTAAGATGCGAATACAAATTTCATTAATGTCATGTAGCATAGATTGATGTAATAATATATATATATATGTTGTGTAGGGACAATGTAGGAATTTGATTTATTTATACATATAAATTTTTACTTTTTCTACTGGTTGTTTCTTAGTTATAATTAACGTTTTCATTTTGTCGACCTTTTTAAACCAAAAGGGGTAATACCTAATTTAATGTTTGTAATTTAATTGGAAGGGTTCATTGTAAACTGTGTTTCCGTTTTCTTAATATTTTACCATTTTTTTAGCGTGAATTTTTATGACTACTTTACTTAGGTATAATATTGTAGTTGTCAGAAAAATACTAAAAATGTAAACGCAATTGTTTTTAGTTAGTACGTACTGGCGATATGTCTGTAGTTCTTTGGCAGGGAATTGCGCCAGAGATGGGCAGGCCACTCATCCAGCCCGTAGGTGTCATCGTCAGGTCGTGCGCGAAAAGCTCTCAGAAATGTGGTGGCGCTCTCCACCGCTGCATCTTGCGGCAAACCATATTCTTGCTGCAATACTTCCACTAACTGAAATCATCAAATAATAAAGATATTTGATTACAAGTCTAGAGCATTATTTCCCAAACTATGGGCCTCGAACGAATATTGAAAGGCCCCTAACCGCCACATATATTTATGCCCTCTTTTTCTCTAAGACTAAAACTAAGATTGGAAAGTTTTGTTAGGTGCGATCAGGGTGCAGGTAGTATTGGTACCATCAGTCGAAGTAGATGTCTTCATAAAGTAATAGAGTTACATACTTTATTTTCTTGTATTCTCTTTAATAAATGTTTCAGCTTAAATGTAAAATGAAGCGATGTCAATTTGTAAAACCGGCAGGAGTTACAGATAATAATATACTTAACTGTAGAGAATTTTATATTAAATTGTTCATATTTTCCGAACATATAACAGATATATTTTCACTTGTAGGACACAACACTATTATTAAATAACGATCGCTATGAGTTAGCTATCGATGGATGAAATGGCGGCAGGTTACGGGAACCATTTGTGACCCCCGCATTCCCCTTAAACTGAAGGGGAAGATCTGTAAGACCATGGTCAGACCTGCTGTCCTGTATGGATCAGAATGTTGGGCTAAAAAGGGATGAATGAAAGACAACTGCATGCAGCTGAGATAAGAATGTTAAGAGGAATGTGTGGTGTTACGCGAATGGACAGAGTACGAAATGAGTATATTAGAGGAAGTTTGAAAGTGGCACCGGTAACCGAAAAGTTATGTGGAAACCGGTTGTCGTGGTATGGTCATGTTATGCGAAAGGAGGAAGAAAATATTGTGAGAAAGGTTTTGAGCATGAATGTGGATGGCTATACAGGAAGAGGAAGACCAAAGAAACGATGGACGGATTGTGTGAAAGACGATATGGTTAGAAAGGAAGTTACTAGTGAGATGACGTCAGATAGGGAGATATGGAAGAAAAAGACATGCTGCGCCGACCCCAAATAAAATTGGGATAAGGGCAGGGGAATGATGACGATCGCAAACTCTGACGAGACTATAGTTCCAGGGGTGCGACCGCCTGGGGGGTGAGCGTCACGGCTTCCCGGGTCTCATCCCCAAGGTAGGGTACACCATAGGGGTTTTTGTGGGTAGGCCTTCGGGAGCCCACCGCGCGGCTAGCCACGGGGTGGGCTCACATAGGAGAGTCTCACAAAAACCCCTACGGTGTACCCTCCCCTGGGGATGAGACCCGGGAAGTCGCTTGCCGGGCGGCAGGGGTAGTCGGCATTTCATTTCCTAATGCATTTCCTCGACATAAAAAAAAAGAGGTGCGACCGCCTCATTCTAACCATAGGGTAGGAGATCTTAGCGACGTTTTAACGATATTTCTCATTTTACTACTTTCACGTGTCTTTTGGTGCACACATTTTGGGATAAATGATTAAGTTCATATCACTGCTATTTAAAGTACATGTCAAAGTAGTAAACGAAATACGCTATAAATATGGCTAGAGTTAGGCGGTTGTTCTGCAGGTCATAACTAGGTAGTGCGGAGCTGTGCGCAGTGCACCCTGTAAACGAACAACAGGCAGACTGCTCCGCATCAGAGACATTGTATTGTATCTACGCTTCTATTACAAGGGGTACGTTTTATTGATAAAGTAAAGCTCCAAGTACTAGCTAAGCAACGGTGGCGGTTATGTTTAATTACCTTAACCTGATATGATATATAGATGCGGTTTTAATCTTAGCAACACATACTGTCTGATACGGCATTTTTAAGTTTTAAAGGTGACGATTTCCCTACTCCAAGGCTGTCACCTAAAATATGATCTGTCTGCTAAAAAAATTCAGAACTTTGGCGACCTTCCTCTAGCCCCTTCCCCTATGCTCCGTGAAAACACATTTTATATTACCATATTTTTGCAATGTATATTTTTATTCAATTTATATTTAGATAGAGCTCCCACTTGCACTCCCTAGATCCGGCTCTGATAGACTCCATACGTATTTGATGAAATTGGTATATAAAATTCTTTACAATCATTAGTAAGTGAACCAAGAACTTGCGTATTGCGTATATTAGCATAAATAGAGATATGTACTTAGATAAGTGTTAAAAATTGATATATGTACCAACAACCTACATGGTAATATTCGGATTAAGTGTGACCTTTTAAAAGAATTTAAACTAAATAGGTCACGTCTCTGAAGAGCTATTCTTCACGGAAGTATCTGTGGTTCAGAAATAACCCAGGTCAATGATCTGTATATGTGGACATTGCTACGTTCACTCACCTGGCTTCCTTGGCAAGCTCCTTCACGTAAGCTGATATATTAATTACAATTAATTACCTGTTCATTACATATACATAAATGTATTTCCTAAAGTGATTTGTATGTGTTGATACCTATTAATTTTAATAAAAGTGTTTGAATAGTTGGTATGTCAACTTTATTAAATATAATTTTGTGTTACATTCATATTCAACATTGATAATAATTTATAGTGTACATGATTGATGAAATACTATAGAAGATAGGAAATAAATAAAACATTAAATTGTATTTTTTGTCAGTAATAGTAGTCATTATGTATGCGAAATTGTGATTGGTAATGTTACTTATAACAAATAATTTATAATTGAGAAGTCATAAATATAAAAGTGAACAAATGTTTTATTAAAATAAGTAAGTACAGTTAAGCTTTCAAAAAATTAAAGTATGTCAGTTAATCACCAAACAATTTCTTCCCCAAATCCATCATTCTGTGACTTCTGCACATTTTTAGGGCTCCACCTTTTTTCAGTACTGGTATTACACTTTCATTTGAGTCCACTAATCTACACAGAAAATCTTCAAAGGCAGATTTTATATTGGGAGGAAGAGTTCCAACTTTAACTTTGGCAAGCATTTCAGATATGCCTTCTGCCCAGCCACTTTCTATGGCAAATTCGGATATCCATGGAACTATGGTGAGAACACCACTCATTGTTTGCATACCCAAAAACCACAAATCTGCAATTTCATTCCAATGTTCTTTGTAGCTCATGGATACCACTAGTGCAGTGGGGTCGTTGGATTCATCGACAATGTATGCATCCCAAAGGAATCGAATGGTTGATTGGATATATCTACAAATTGAAAAATCATTCTTTTTAACTTTAGTAGCTTGCTGCTTCAGTAATAACAGTCCTAATACGGCCATATGTCCATGGAGGACAAGATTATCAGGAATATCTTTCAGTTCAGGTAAATTGTTAAATATGAACTTAAGTAATGTGTTAAACAACATGCTGTTTTCAACCACTTTAGGCGCCAGTACTGTCAAGTTCATAAAAATATTACAAAGGCTAACCATAGCAGCTCTAGAGTCTTTCATGTCTTCCAAAACTTTAGGATCCAGTTCAGGTTCTGGTTTAGATTTCACTTTACCTCTTTCAGACTTTGGTACTGGAGGTTTTTTGTAGTGTACAATAGACCAGTGAAAATTCATAGCTTCATATAAAATATCTTCTTGTTTCAAATTCAAAACAATATCTCTGGCTTTATCTTCAACAACTAAATGACAAAGAGCTGGCAACATCAATCGCAGTAAGTCTATTTGTCCCATAAGCGATGTATCCATGTCCATGGATTCCCCTTCAGACTTATTTTTTTCAGCTAATTTTCGAGCTCTATATGCATGGAAGGAATCATTTGCTAGTGTAAATATGAAAGGAAGTAAGGAATATATTTGTTCCCTCATTGCAGTAGTCTCTTGTGCTATCCAAGCAACTAGTACTCTCACCATAGCACAAACATAAACTTTTTCAGCATCAGGAAGTTTATCTCTATTTTTGTCATTAGAAACTTTAGTAAGAGTTGAGACAACAGCATTAAAAGCTCCTTTGAGACTTGTATAAACTGATTGTTTTTCCTTTTGTTCCAAATCAAGTTGGTCTGTAGCCATGTAATTTATTGACAACTCGAGAACAATGAAGCAAGCTGTAACTAAATCTGCATTAGCAAACGCTTGCTTGAAGCTCCTGTCTTCCAACTGCATTCGTACTTCAATAGCACATAGTTGCAATAATAATAGAAAAAATTTCTTTGGATTCTCTTCATCACCACATTCTATGCACCATTCAATTCCAAGGAGGTCAAGAATATTAGCAGCCAGTTTTAAAGCAGGATCTCTTTGGTTTTTTCCAATTTTACTTGTTAGTATATCATACAGGGCTTTATAGATACTCATTGGCCATGTCTCATCTGCATATCCAGGTAATACAGTAGCTTTATTACAACTGTAAAGTAATGCACTCAAAATAGTGGCAAGTTCAAATTTTCGATCTGATTGATCTGTAGCAAAATCTAATGCAATTTTGTTCACTAAAGCATGGAAAGGCTTGGGATCATTTCCCCAAGCCGCAGGTCCATATCTACTAACCAACTTTACAAGTATGTTGAGTGCCTCATCTGTTTGAAAACTTTGATGAGAGTAGATTTCAGACATTTTTGTAATAGCACCTACTTCTATAAGTGCTTTTTGGCCACTCTCTTGTTCAGCGATGCATTGAAGGCAAGTATATGCTTCACTGATAATTATAAGATTATCATCATAATCATCATTGTCTGATGTTTGTACAATGTCAAGGAAGAATGGTATGTTTGCTAACATTTCAGGATGTGTGGATAACTCAGGATCTTTGCAAAATGTAGTAAGGATTGACAATGCAACTGATTTGTAGACTGAAGGTGGACAGTCATCTTGCACATTGTTACTAGTAAGGAGTTTCTTCAGGAAATTGAATCCAATTGCTTCAAACAATGCTTTCTTTGCTTGTGAATTGCAATCTTTGCTTTTCACTAACTTCGTCACCATGAATAGGGCAGCGAATTTTTCTGTATCGCTTTTTGCAGATTTTAAAATGAGAACGCATTTTTTTATGGGCTCCGATAAATCACTCATTGTCACTAAACACTGGATGCGATTACAAAGCGCAGCAGTTCGCGCTCCACTAGCCTCAGTTGAATCGTTTTAGCGGGCGGCGAGTTTCGATCTACATCACGTTTATAATTAGCATGGACGCTCTTCCAAAATATCTAAATCTGGACGTCGAGCTCACGTTCTCCAACTAAGAAAGTCTAATTATAACCACACTCTGGAACGTAGGCTACACGCAGAAAGTATAGAGCAAGGCAAACAATCTGAGATCGACTTCGTAACGACGTAGAAACTTACGATGACAGCGCGCGCACTTCGTGCCGATCCATGACCGTGGCAATGTCACAAGAAGTAATCACAAAAATATAATTTTTACTTGCCTTACTGCACGTCCTCGCGTCCGCTTTCCTAGTTTGAATTAATGTATTGTCCAAATCGAAGAATATAGCCAATACATCACTATTTTCTGCATATAAATCGCTAGCCATCATAATAAGCACGTACACTTACACAATAATCCAATATAAAAAATACACAAAGAATGAAGCAAAGAGTAAAAGTACATATATATATATGGAATAAAGTATGTGTGCTTTTCAAAATGTCATTGTGCCAAGTATAAAATAGTTCCTGAAATCAAACTAGATGTCGCTACGGTACTTTCTTGATAAAATAATTTTCAAAATTCAATAAACAACTCATATTCTATCTTCACTTTTTTGTATCTACGTTTCGAACGTTGCAAATTTCAGTTTTTTAATATGTTTATTGAAAGGAACGGAAATTATTATCTTTGTTCCATTCGTTTCCTACAAAAATCAAGTAGAGTCGCCATCTAGTGAGGTGTTTTTTAGTGCTGTCTTTTTTGTCTTAAAATACTTCCTCATTCGTGCGGTTGGTACTCTGTGGTAGGTACTGGATATTCAACCATGGACATAGTATTCCTAATATAACAGGACCGAGCACTCGCAGCTAGCTGTATTCAAGTACAGAGGCTATTTGTCTCTTTCAAATAAAATGACTATAATATGTTTGTTAAGTGGACTTTTCTTATGGGTCAGTTTTTTAAATACCGCGAATTATCGTACACAATAATCTTGTTAAACTTGGTGCATTAAATATGTTTTTATTTTTACTATTATTATGTATTTTAGATTCGATGGAAATTTATTGTAAGCACTTAACTTACAATACAGATGCAGAGGTTGTGAAACGGATTACGATGCGAGGTGTAGGAAACATGATATCTTACCTCTCGTGGAGAGACGGAAAATTATCGATAAAGTCACGTTAGTTAAACTATCACAATCTCTTATGAATTCTCCATTACTCCTCTCTCTAATAAATTTTAGAGTTCCAAGAAAGGTACAAGACACCAAATCTTGTTTTGTAATACAAATTATAATTAGGTGAATTCCACGCTTGACATTTTTAATGGTAAACTAACTTATTTCAGACAGCGTCTGAGTAGTGAATGGTTTGATGTGCTTCCTTAGCAAAAGGTAGTCTTTAGTTTTCCCTGATTGTTCATTATTAGTCTTATATATATATATAGTGTATATATGTGATAACTGTTTACTATGTACATTTATACCATATTTAGTTACTACACTAGTTATATCGATATTGTATGTTTTCCAAATAAATTAAAATAATCTTCGCTCTTCATGCAATTCAGACATCGAGGAGCGATATCAGACAAATCGTGCATTCTTATAAAATGTATGGGGAATCGCAAGTGTTTGTTTATTCATGACATGAGAATTGTCTAGTCTCATGTCTGTCTTTGTCAATATCGGTCTCAAATCTCCTCGATATCGAATTGTATGTACGTTTTCATGGTCTGCTATATCGCTTTAATTATATAAGGGCTCAATCAGCTTGACCTAATTTTGGTTTTCTGTTCAGAAAAACGAAGAGCGATACCACCCATCCCATTACTAGCCTTTGCTAACGACGCTTAATATTAACAATTGCAAATCAAACACTGTCATGAGGCATGAAATGAAGAAGAGGAAGAACGGGCTCGGCACTGGCCAATTTTTAAGGGCGCAATTTTTATGGACAAAAACATTGTTCACAGAGCTCTGTGAGCAAGGCGTTGCAATATAGGGACCAACATATTATACCATTATCGCGCGGGTTTAGTATTCTGTAATATTTAAATCCTACAAATTGTGCTGCCATCTAGTGACATAAAATTTTGTAGGTTCTTTTTTTTTAATACTTCCTCATTATGCCACGAAACGTTATTACCAATGAGAAATTACACAAAACGTTATTACAAATTTAACAAAAGTTCTGAAAACAATAACAACTATGCAAGTTAAGACCGCTTATAAACCTAATCAACATGGCTTTTTTAGTGGGCGGTCTACAGAATCTAATCTGTGTGAATTCTTAGACTTGTGTTTGAACGAAATGGAGAATTGTTAACAGGTGGACGCAGTATATACCGATTTTTCGAAAGTATTTGATAAAATTTCACATAATCTACTAATTATAAAATTGGAAAATTTTGGTATACACGGCGACCTACTTAGGTGGCTAACTTCATACTTGCGCGACAGATCTCAGGCAGTAGCGATTAAAGCATATACCTCTAGCTTTATTCCCATTACCTCTGGGGTGCCCCAGGGTTCCCACCTTGGCCCTCTTATTATTAACATTTTTATTAATGAAGTAATGAGTTGTTTTTATCATTCCAAAGCACTATTGTATGCTGATGACAAAAAATATTAATTCTTGTTAAATCTGTTCAACATTGTCAATTATTTCAAGAAGAATTAAATAAATTTTATGAATACTGTTCTAAAAATGATCTTAAATTAAATATTAATAAATGTAATACAATAGCCTATTCTAGAAAAAAAGTGTCCAATAAATTATTGCTATAACTTCAACGATATTCCAATTAAAAGAGTGGCCGAGGTGCGAGACCTTGGTATATATCTCGATAGTCAACTAAGCTTTGCTTCTCATATTGACAAAGCTACAACAAAAGCCTATAAAATGCTAGGGTTTGTTTTCAAACAGTGCAAAGATTTTAAAAATTTAAAAACTTACATTAGCTTGTATAATTCTCTAGTAAGAAGCCATTTGGAATATGCATTTACGGCGTGGAACCCAAATTGTACTACTTACATTGAACAAGTTGAAAGAATTCAGAATAAGTTTCTGAAAAGACTAAGTTATAAATTTAAACATGATGTTCCTTATTTACAAACTTTAGAAATAAGACGCGAACACAGGGATCAGCTGTATCTGTAAAAAATTTAAATAACCATATCGATTCCCCTTTCCTCCTAAGTCGTATATTATTTAGATGACCTAAATCAAATACTCGCTCCAATGCAGTATTCTCAAACTCCTGTATGTAAAACTAATTAAACTAAAAATAGATATGTGGTAAGAGCTTGCAGCAAACATAATTATCGTTACCAGCATATTGATATGTTTCATTGTAAATTGTCCTGTTTTAAAAATCTGTTGAGAAAAATAAAATTGTTTAGAATAAACTTGGATAGTGATAAAATTGTATAGTGGTGATATCGTATGACCTCACCTTAAAAGAATGTCATCATCACCTTAGTATAATTAAGCGTTGGAAACTGTTTTTTGGCTAATGAATAACCTATTTAAGTTTCTAATTCGTATTTAATATTAACAGCTGTTTGTTTCTTTTGATAAATAAATAAATAAAGTTAGTTTTATTGTTATTAGTCGTTTGTTAAACTTCATCATCATTATCATCATCATCACCAGTCCTTTTACGTCCCCACTGCAGGGGCTCAGACCTTCCTTATGGATGGTTAAGGAGGATGGGCCATGATCCTCCACGCTGGCCCAATGCGGTTTGGAGGGTATTAACGACTGCAAATGCAGCCGGCTTATCGTGCCTTCCGAAGCACGGAGTAGCTCGAGATAATAATTTTTTTGTCACCCATCCCGTGACCGATCCTTGCGAAAGTTGTTTAACGACTACGATCGTGGGCTGCGGTGCTTATCCACCACGCCACCGAGCTACTTTTTGTATGTTTTGTTGAACTTACAACAACAAAATTACATCAAGTCTCAATGATATTTTTATATTACGTATGGTGAATGGATGAATAGGGTTTATTAATTAGCAACAAAAGGCATAAAAACAATAATTATAATAAAAAATCCGTTTATTATCTATATATTTACCCGATATGTATCAAATGTACTATGTATTCGTACAAAATAACATGACTTGTGGCTAAAATGACGTTTGTGCAAAGTGTAACGTGCAAATAACTTGTGCTTTCGAAATTAAGGCTTTAAAAAACTTTGATCAATTATCAAATCTTATATTCATAACTAAATCATCTTAATAAACATTCAGCAATCAACAAGAAACGTCTGTTCTAAACGAACAGCAAGTTTATAACTTTAAATTTCAAAATCTCAAAGACATGTACTACAAAACCTACTTTAGAAATCAGTTTTGTTTTAATATATTATTTACTAAGTACCTAGAGTAGTCATGCTCTCTTAAAATCTCTGCGGTAGTGTCGTGTCGCGTTATTAAGTAGTTACGTTCCCTGAAATATAATATAGTTGAGTTGTATAGTTGAAATTAAAAAAGCAGCCCTTGCTGAGTTTCTTGCCGATTCTTGTCAAGAATTCTTGGAAAATCTAGTTAAATAGTAAAAATAACGGTGTGGCGCTTATGTATGCTGTAAAATTACAGCGTCGAACACAGTGCTGTCACAGCATTAGAGGTTCAGGAATCCACCTAAGCCAGGTTGTAATTATACGGTGAATTCTCAAATTGACTCGGAGCGCCTTAAATCGATGCCAAGCTTTACAGTGAGTAAACTCTGGCTTACAATGAGATTAATGTATTTAAAGAAAAAAGTTAGTTCCCGAAATCAGACTGGATGTCGCTACGGTACGTTCTTCCAACAACCCTTCGTTTTCTTTCATGTTTAAAAGTACATTAGTTTTCAAAACTCAATAAACAACTCGTATTCTATTTGTATTGATATCTAAGTTTCGAACTTTTCAAATTTCAGTTTTTTAATATGTTAGTTAAAAGGAACGGAAATGACTGGCTTTAGTCCATAGACTACGTACTAATAGACAGCTATTACGCGTATCAACGTAAAGGACGACAAATAAATCATCAGTGTTACTAGGTAGTTAAATGTTTCTCGATTATGAATAGATATTTTGTTATTAGCAAAGGAGGAATAATTTAGTGAGCATAATTTGTAGAAATGTTCAGAAACTACCTACTTTTTATGTGACTACGGCTATACTTTACCAAATTATAGCCGTAGTCACCCACGTATGATGTAACTTCCCAGGGTGAAAGAATTAATATTATTGTAAAGAATTATTTTTTATTGTAGAAATATTGATACACTATCTATTATCTTAAATTAACTAGCACATTGAATCAACTGGCTTAGTTACTGTAGTTTTTTAAATAAAATTTAGTTTGACTAAATTAGAATATGCTCAAAAAATTTAATTTAGAAATATTTTGAAATTTATAATAACCAACATTTTAA